ATGAGCGTGGTTTGGCGATGGATGATGTCCTTGAGGTTGTCGATGAGCTTCCACACCTCTCTGGTGGTGATCCGGCCTGTGCCCTCGGTGGGTGTATAAGCTTCGCCATTTCTCGTTCTTTTCCCTATGATTTGGCCTGCGTCGATCGATACTCGAGGCTGGAAGTCCTCAACTGAAAAGCTGGCGTGGGTCTCTTGGGTGTTTGTGGGAGGGGACTCGGGCCCTCCCGCGGGTGGGTCCGCCATCGGTCCAAGGTTAGTTCCCGCTCGGTACACAACCACAACAGTTTTATATTGAAAGTGATATCAACCACGAAGTCCCGAATCTGGATAAAAATGTGCGGGTTCGACGGCTTCCGCATTCGGACATATCCACTGAATACAGGCAAGTGCAAAACCAGCTTCACCATCAAACACTCACGAATTAATTCTGAGCCCCACTGCCAAGGCGCTAGCTGAAAAAAAATGAGTGCATTTAAATGGACCATAGTGTGTGTGTGTGTGTGTATTTTACAGCCGTGGCTCGTGACTTGCACGTCATCCACTGTCCCCGATCGGGGCAAAGGCCGCCAGGGGGTGAGCCCTGGGTGTCTCTGACTATTGCTAGTTCTATGTACAAATAAGAGACTTTGGTGCGTTCACATAGCTACCTCAGTCACAAGAAATATCTGCTGTAGCAGGTTAAATGGTAATGCCAGCTGCATGGATCCGCCTCCGCACCATGATCCGCCACTCCTCCGCCTCTCTGCTTCCTTTCTTTCTTTTATTTTAGAACCTCTTTTTTTATATATATATATATATACGAGTGTATGCTCAGTCAGGCGTCGTCTTGTACAGATATCGTCAAAGAACCGAGTCTCTGAGAGCCAGGCAGCCAGCTTTGCTGCACCTTTTTCAGTTCCTAGAAGGAAGGGATTCGTCTCTGAGGGGGGCCCTGAGGGTCGGGGTAGGCGTCTCTTAGCTATTCGGCAGAAGAAGAGGTAAACTGGAGACTTCCTGGCTCCACACCGGCATTGTAGGTGTGCGCCTTCATGATTAAACCGCTCATGATAGTCTGCAAAATCGCCATGTCCTATACGAGCTGCTAGGATCTGTGCGAGAAGGTGGCGTGGGAGGTGTAACTCATTAGGGCACCGGGGTGAGGAGGTGATCCAGAGATCTTGATACGACTGCGGAGCCATGGCTTGCCAGTGCTTTTGTAGGCTAGAGATCATAGCAGCTTTTGTTTGGCGCTTGAGCGAGGCAAAAGAATACTTGTAGGAGACCGGGGGATCTGAGGTAGCTCCCTTCTTTGCGGCTTGGTCGGCTGCTTCATTTCCAGGGACCTTTGCATGTCCTGGGACCCAGCAAATGTGTACGGAGCCCCCATTGGTGTAGGAGAACCTCTCCCGCTCAGGCCAGGTTGAAGCTAGGGTTCGGAAGGTCTCAAAAACTCCTTGGGAAGAGCCTTCGAAGGGCGAGAGCAGGCGAGTGGCCACTTCTAAGTTATCTAGGCAGACCCAGAGGTTAGTGGCAAAGCGTGTAGTAACAGACTGCATAGCTGCCTTAATACCAGCAAGGGCTGCTTCTGCTCGGCGTCGAAAACTTCTTTGTTTGGTCCGAGAGAGAAGGATGATTGGAGACAAAGTCTTCCTATCTGGTATAGAGCGTCCGCCCGTGACTCCCTTGGGAGCCACGGGGCATGTTGCAGCGGATTTAACTGCTCCGATTCTGGCAGGGCGAGGACACGGCATGTAAACCGGCTAGTTGCCTAGCTAGTCTGTGCTATATTTGCTACCCTCTTGCGCAGGGGGTGGTGGGGGTCTAGGCGACGAACACGGATGGTAGCCGATGTGGCTATGTAGTCTAGCTCCACTTCAGCTGGTAGAAGCCCTGATTCCCGATATAAAGCAGGCAAAGGAGTTGTGCGAAAGACAGGAAGGATTGCCCTAGCACCAGTCTGTATGACCTTGGCTATCTTATCCAGTTGACCCTGGACCTGATTTGAGATGGAGCCTGTTCGGGGCCGGGGGCGTGAGCGGCCTGGCCACCAAATTTCTGCACCAAAGTAGGCTTTCCGGAGCACGCAGGCTGTCACAGCCTGCCGCATGAGATAGGGCTTGATTCCCCAGACAGTGTTTCCGAGGCCGCGGAGGGCGTTTGCAACTATCAGGGCCTTCGAGGTTGTCTCGCCGACATGGTACTTGAAGCTAAGCTTCTTGTCAAAAAGGACCCCAAGCCAACGCAGGTAAGGGCGATTTGTGTTCTCAGAGACTGTGACCGAGCCTGCCACAACGCTAGGTATGCGGCTGGGATCCTGGTCATCCTTACGGCGCGAGAAATGGATCAGTTCATATTTGTCAGGCGCCAAGGTGATTCCCTCCGTAGTACCCCAGTCGAGGGCTTCTTGCAGGGAGGTTGACAGGCTTTGGCAGTTAGCCTCAAGGGACAGCGAAATTGCTGGGATAGCTGCATCATCTGCGTATCCAAACCTAGTCTTTGGACGTCCTAGCCGGAACAAAGGGGCTAGATAGAGCATGAACAGTATAGGGGACACTGGCGAGCCTTGTGGTAGGCCGCAGAGTATCTATGTTATTGGTCCAATATCGCCGTCAATCCGGATCTATACCAGACGCCCTGTAACAAAGGAGGCTACCCAGCGAGCTAGATTATCAGGCCAGCCCTGTGAGCGAAGTCTGTGGACAAGTCTCCCAGGGAAGACTCCATCGAAGGCTCCTTTTACATCGAAGGTGAGGAGTGAGGCTGTTTGCCTTTGATTAAGGGCTTGTTCAGCATCGTGGAGCCAGCATGTAGTCAGATCAATGGCTGAGCGGAGGGGCAAGGCCCCAAACTGTTGACTAGCCAGGACTTTGTAGTGGATCGCAACCCATGCCATATTCCGGGCGATTAGTCTCTCGAGGCCTTTGCCTAGCACTGACAGGAGGGCAATTGGCCTATACGACCTGGGACTAGACCAGTCAGACTTATTTGGTTTTTGGATTATTGCCAGCACTGCGTGTCGAAAGCACTTCGGGTGATAGCCAGTTCGAAGGCAACCCTGATAGAGCGCAAGGACTCTGTCTTTGATCAGGGGCCATACCACCTTGATTATGCAAGTGGGTAGCTCATCTGCCCCAGGGGTCGTGTTTCCTGCTTACAGGATTAATTTCTCAACTTGGGCTATGGTTGTCCGGGAATGGTAGTGAGCAGGATAGGACTGCTAGTGTATCCAGTGGGTTATCTCCTGCTTCAGCCGTGTTTTGAAGTAGATTCCGGGATAGGATATCTCGCTTCTCTTGCAATGCTACCGCTAGGGGGCTACCTGGCCTTAAGGGGTCCTTTAGTGGGGGGCTGCGGTAGGAGCCTGTTGACTTATGCCATTTAGCCATCTGAAACATTTCCTTGCTCTCAGTTACTGCGCTGATCTTGTCTCGCCAGTACTATACTTAGGCTCGTCGAGTTACCCGTCGGAAGTCCTTCTGTGTGCAGAGCCCTGCCCGGTAGACTTGTAAAGCCTGCTTGCACGTGCTGTTCCACCATCGTTGGCCTCCTCCCTGGGGTATAGACTTATTTGCAGAGGCTGTGTATAAGCTATGGATAGCTGTGGTGATTTCATATGCAAGACAGTCTAGTTCCTCTTTATTTCCTGCCGAGCTCCTGACGTTCGCTAGGTTAGAGGCGAGAAGTGTGAGGAAGCGGGTGTGGTCAAGTGTGTCAAACCTTAGTCTTTCCGGGGACTCCACAGGTCCCTATTCCCAAGGCAGGTTCGTGAGAAGTGGGCGGTGATCAGAGGTGGCGTCTAGATAATATGCAACCCTAGTACTGGTTCCTAAGAGGTTCAGGGAGCTCGAGGCAAAGGCTAGGTCCAGGACATTGCCTTTATCGTGCGTAGGGGTATCGATCTCAGAAGTAAGCAGTAATCCATGCCCGTCGAGCCATTCAGTAAATGTATCTGCGAAGGAAGTAGGAGAACGCTGGAGTGAGGGCTACCACCTGCTATATAGTAGGTTAAAGTCACCAGCAAGTAGGGTAGGCAGTAGGAAGTAGGATTCAGGCAAGCAAGTAAGCGCTCTTGCTGCTTTGCCTGCCCGGATTGCGCCAACTGGGGCATTATATATGTTGAATATTAAGGCAGACTGCCCTAAGCATAAGGATATCTGGTGCAGAAGAAGGTCTGAGAGGATCTCTTGGCTTATTGAGTCAGGGCGGAGTTGGGAGGCTCGGATGCTGCTTTTCCGGTAAATATAGGTAAGGACTCGAGGGATACCACTCGTCTCCCAAGAATCGGTAGGGGAGAAGCATTCATAAGACGGATGTCTTTTCGTGATCTTTCGAGACAGATCTTTGTAAATATAGGGCTCCTGTATAAGGATAATATCGATTTGATTAGAGTGTGCCTAGGAGAGGGCAATTTCGTGGGCTTCTGGTATACGGCCAACATTCAGCTAGAGTACAGAGATAGACTCCTTCCTTAGATAATTACGGTATTTCATATTTGTTCGTTCATCAGAACGTCAAAGCTGTTTTATAGCTTAGGAGATACGAAGCGGACTGCTCTGGCCGTCACTGGGGCAGAGTCTAGAGGCTCCTAGGGCGGGGGAGTGGCCGTGCGGAAGGGGAAGGGTGAAGGGCTGCTATTCGTAGCTATATCTTGGTCCTGGGGAGGCTCGGGGACTTACATACAACACTATCGCTCTAGGCGTGCCTTAGCAAGCTCTAGGGAGCTAGTCTTACGGATCTCAGCTTGCTGGGCCTTTGTGTATCGAGAGCCTATCTTGCTAGGCCGGAGGAGGCATTACCCATAGTCAGCCGGGTGGGGGCCATGGCAGTGTAGGCAACTTGGAGGGCAGGTGTGGGGAGACTAGGTACTGCATCTGTTGCTATGGCCCTCCTCAGTATGCTAGGTAGACCCGCAAAGTCGACATCGGGGTTAGCGAGCGCAGGATCTTACGTTATGCCACTTCCAGCAGCGGTTGCACTGTACAATTTTTGTCTTTCTTACTAGCCGCTGAGCGTTGGTGATCATACCAAACAAGGGGAGTCGTACAGGAGGTTGGCCTTGCTGCCCTCCGGGAAGTTGATAAACCAGCTAGATGCGATAGTGTTGGGGTTAGCGGCACTCGTAGCAGTCTCGATAATGGAGACTGGGTTAAGGCCTGTGGTTTCAGTGATCTCTGCAGACAAAATTTCGGGGTTGACCGGCATCATAGAGTATTGGCTACCAGTAAGTCGGCCAACCTTCCTAGGTACGTTGGTTACTCGATAGGAGATCCAGCGGGAACTCCGTTCGATCTGGCATTCTTTGAAGAAGGCGGCTATAGCTTCCTTTTGGGCCTCTAGGACTGGGAGGGCATCTGTAGAGACAGGCAGAAGAGCGAATCCAGTTTTGATAGATTGGCCGCCTTTGAGAAGCTTTCCATTAGTGTCTAGATATGATCGCAGGCTAGTATATATAGCAAATGCATCCATGCTCTTCGCAAGATGGTTCTCCGGGAGGCGTACAAAGAGTCGGTGGTCGGAAGGTGGCAGCTTCGTAGCAAGCCTGTCAGTCTTCGTATTACTGTTGGTTTGCTTTATGGCAGCATTGTTCTTAGCCGGAGGGCTTCGGGTGACAGTCGCGTATGTGGACTGGGCAAGACCGAAGGGGGGCGAGAAGGGGGAGGTGAGGGGGGAGGGAAGTAGGGGCAGGGGCAGGGGCAGGGGTGAGGGGGGCATTGGTCAAGGGCAGGCCGCTGATGTAGGCATTGAAGTGTTGTTGGGCTATGTTAGCCAGATCATTGCTGAGGGCCGCGAGAGCTCCTAGCTGGCGGGGCGTGAGGCCGGTGTTCTGGCGTCGGTGATTGTCAAGGAAGGCTGCTATAGGGCTAAATATTTTCTGGCCCTCAAGAGCTCTAGCAGTGGCTGTAGTGGTTGTCTCCTGTAGTGCAGCCTGTAGAGGGCCAACAGGTTGGTTATCACGCCGTGCCATGTTGTTGACGCGTGATGACGCGTGGAGACGCGTGATGGTTGCCGGGCGGGAGTCAGGCAACGAACGGAGGGGAAGCTATCCCTTATCCTAGGCAGGGCGCCTGGATTGAGAGCCGGGTCTGAGGATTCAATAGAATATGGCCTTCCTGGGTGAGAAGCTGTTGGTTGTAAATGGACCATAGTATGTACCTGTATATCTTACGACTGTTGTACTCTTCACGTGACTAGACATCGCGCCATCAGTTACGATCAGGGCCGTGCATGGAAAGGCGTAGAAATCATTTTAAAAGCCGACTCCAAAAAGGATTCTGCATCAACTTCTCCGTAAAATGTTTGACTGTCTATCTAGGAAATTCTGCTCCCAGTATCATGCCAGGTTACTGGTCTGTCAGCTTGTAAGAAGTATGTACTACTTCGATTGTGATCTTTGTTCAACTTGTGTTACGCCGCAATAAACCCGAACAGGGCTTGGGTCCTCGTGCGCTACGTTATCTACCAGCGAACGAAGTCCCCGATGCTCGGCGTCGACTATCGCCAGCACCTTTCGCAGGGAAAAGCGATCGTGGAAGCCCTGGGTGCTGGACCCTTCAGACCCCCCATTCCATCGCCATGGTTTGGAATCTTTGCGCTCCTTAACTTGAGCGTATTCCTTACGATGAGTGTACTGATCCCATGGATCCTGTCGGACAAATCGCTCGAGACGCCCGTTGTCAAGTCCAAGAGCACCGACGAATGCGTGACGGCCTACAAATACGAAAGCATAGTCCCCCTCATTCGTAACCTCCCGCAGACGGATGCGGTCCTCCAGCAATACCAGAATTGACTTTATAGGTCACACAAAACCAATTACGCTGTTCTATAATTGGCCCAGCAACCGTAAAACTAGAGTCAGATGACCTTACAAAACTCTAATAGAATACAAATGGCACGACGCGGCGAATCCAACACCTTGGGATCGGCGAGCCAATATTCTCTCCTTTGCCACACTTGGCAAGATGATGACATGTGATTGAATTGTCGAATTTTCCCTCGCAATCAAGTAATCCAGCTTGGGGAGCTCGAGCTTTATGAATTTATAAACTAAGTAAATGAGCCAATAGCGGTGCAACATAAATCCAAGTCTTTCGGATGATCACAGCTTCTTTGGGGCACCATGGAATCAACTGCAACATATCGAATTCAGGATGCAATGGCATCCATGTAAACTGACCTACTAACTTTCGAGATCTATGATGCTGAAAGTGGACACAACAGACTTGTCGAAGATTCGTATCTTAGAGGATGAAAAAGGCTACGAATGACAGAAAAGTGACGTGTTTCGATCTAGACTTTTAGTCTTAAGCTGTAAAAATGATGACGATGTCATTCAAATTAGGTAGGCGGTCCGTACGTGTTTTCTGGCCAGAGATCGACAAACCCATCTTTCTTAACGTTAATTAGAGTTATGTCAACTACGTGAACCACGGACTTTTGACTTTATAGGTTACCCGAAATAATTTTCTCTAACAGTTTGCCTATGGTTGAAATATCAGTTCAACCCTCCGAGTTATTCGGAACAGTGCCCACATTTGTTTAAGGAATTTGCCAAGGAGATTGGCAAAGTCACACATTGCCGCGACAATTTCCTCGTCAAAATGTACCCCTTGATCCTGAAAATCATTAAGTCAATGTGCCAACCGCACTTAGCAGTTCTCTTACTTTGTTTGGGTTATGATTGTACTGCGGACGCTTTGCCATTTCAGTCTTACCCAGCCAAATGTATTAGAGCCTCTGAACCAAACCAGCAGTGTGATGGACGACAAACCCCTGGTGGAGGGTGCAGCTTTGTTGGAAGCGCAGACCTTTATGGCATTGGCATTCGACTAGCAATATATATGCAATGGCTCTCTGCGATTATTGCCAACACCTGGGATCCTGACGGTCAAGAGGAGATTAAGGATGCATACTTGCCGTTCTCCTTTGCACTAGCAATTGCAGCGATTATTATGACATCCGGGTTCTCCTGTTTCTATTTTATTGAAGTGTTCGTGGTGATCTGTATGTTCTTCGGAGGCATGTTCGTTGTTTTCGTGACGCCTCGAACCTCTGTATCTCATTGGAAACTACGCCTCCTTATTCTGGTCTATCTATATATGGGTATGACATTCTGGAACAGCTGGTTCTGGTTCAGCAGCCAGAAGAATGTGGTTAAGCCTACCCCTTGCGGAACTGTCCTGTTTCTCTTTGCTAAAGTGTCCGGAAATAACCTTCACAGGGCAGTTCATTTCTACCAGGCATTGTCAATTATAGGATCACTTTACTGCACCATCGTTGGGGGGGTAATACTTCCCCGTGATGAAGACACCGCGATGCTAGGAGACAAAACATTCCTTGTTGTTTCCATTTTCACTTTTATCGTAAACGTTTTCGCCATTGAATTGACCTTAATATGGAACAACGTTTCAGAAATCAATACTCTGAGCACTGTCGGGCAGCTTATCCCATTCATCATCGGAGCCTGGGTTCTCGTACGAGCCCTTTTTCGACAATGTCCATGCTTTAAAACTTTAGGAAGCATATTGGACAGCACGGTACGTTACTCTCACACCGGACAAAAATCCTATTAGCTCCAACACTAACGTAGTCAGATTTTGCAGTGCCGCCGACCTGGAGCTAATGGCGCCGATGGTCACCAATTACAACAGATGCCTGCCACCCAACATGCTCCGCCGCAAGCCCAAGACGGTCGCTGGCTATAACAAAACTCCATGATTATAACATACGGGCCATACTCCAACTACTACCCCGGCTACGGGAGCTAAGCGCCGTGCATCTCCGCATTTTCTTGACAAGCCGACCTGATTTGCCAATCCGGCTAGGATTTTCGGAGATCAAGAATCAGGACTATCAGGATCTGGTTCTCCATGACATCCCTGAGGCAGTTACAGCACACGATATATCTTTGTTCCTGAACTGGCGGCTTTCAAAAATCAGAAAAGAACGATCGCCACCCGTCGACTGGCCTAGAAATACGGATACCCAAACTCTTGTAGTAACATTATCTGTTCCGCTATTCATCTTCGCTGCGACCGTGTGCCGCGTTTTTGAGGATCCCCAGTGGGACCCCGTGGATAGTCTCACCGAGATCCTCACCCATCGAAGTGACGGATCTCAGCTGAACGGAACGTATCTTCCCGTGCTGAACCGACTTATCAACAACCAGAATGGGAAACGGAAAAAGCAGCTCATTCAAGAATTTCAGGAGGTGGTGGGTACAATCGTGATGCTTGAGAGCCCACTCTAGATCATCTCACTTTCAAGGCTCGTTGGAGAGTCTGAGAGACTGATCAACGCGAGACTGGATTCCTTACACTCGGTGATTCGTATACCCAAAGATAAGACAATGCCGGTGCGGCCTTTCCATTTATCATTCGAAACTTCCTCCTCGATCCGGAAACACGTGAGAAGACTCTATTATGGGTGAACGAGAAATAGATACATGAAAGATTGGCTACTCGGTGCCTTTTTGTGTGCCAGAGCTTGAGAAGAAATATCTGCGGACTACCAAGCGACGGAACACAATGTGCGGAGATTGATCGCCAGACTATCAATGACCGTCTTTCTCCAGAATTGCAATACTCTTGTCGTTATTGGGCAAATCATCTGGCACAAAGCAAAGATCCTGTCACTGAAATGGATAATGCCTCCTTATTTCTCCAGAAACATTTCCTGCACTGGGTGGAAGCAATGAGCATACTGGGTCTTGTATCTGAAGTTGTGGGGATTATTAATCTCCTGCAGACGGTTGTACCTGTAAGTTCCTTGGATAGTCCTATGTGACTATTCGCGCTAACTAATATAGGGCGACAAAGATAATGAAATATCTGCGTTCCTGCATGATGCAAAGCGCTTTGTTCTTAAAAACCGACAAATGGCTGATGACGCGCCCCTCCAACTCTATTGAGCAATTTATATTGCTCTATCCTGCCAGTAGAATCTGTGGGAGATTTCCACCGGATTCTATATCTAATACGGTAGCTAATCAATTGCCATTTGCCACCGGCTTGATCAGTCGTGCCGCCACGTTTCACGTTCGCTGAGTAACTTAAGCCATAACTAGGCTTCAGGAACTTTTGGCACCAACAGCCTCGGATTTGCACTGATTCTATTTAGCTGCATAACTGCTATAACAAGTGCTGTAAAATTACGCATAATACTATTCTTTATTAACGGACAATACTTACATTGCTCATTATTGTACACCCATCTTGTGTCGTTTGTGGCTTGGCAGTGGGGTTCAGAAACAATTAATGAGAGTGCGGCGGTGAAGCTGGTTTTGCTCGCGTCTGTATGTCATTCAACTACACCGAGGGCAGTCACGTCCCAAGCCCCAGCCCAAGAGGGACAGATAAAAGAGGGACTTCATCTGCTACCCAGCTTATGTTGCTTCAGCGGCAAGCAGACATCAATGCACAAGAACAAGCCACTGGGCAACCTCCCACTTGGGACCATGTTTACAGTCTGATGCGGTGCTATAGTGGAGCATGTGAGCTAGGACCGCATTGCTGGCGTGACCCTATAAGCAAGAAGCATATTAAGCTGACAGTACAGAATCTGAGGGCCCTTGTGAACTACGCGGAGGAAGGTGGTGTGTTGAAAACCCACGACGACGTCCCTGAATCAATCCATGAAAAGCTATATATACAGGAGCAGCAGCGACTTGAGAGGCAAAAGGGAGGAACTCAGTCCACCAATGGGTATCCCCCTATAAACATCACCAACGTCCTTCCTGCACAGGCTTCCTCTCTTTCGATGCCAACTACACCGACTCCGATGCCGACTACGGGTCCAGGAAAAGCGCCTCCGGATTTCCTCGAGATCCCTGGTCTGCGGGACCTTGCTGTTGCTGAATATAGTGACTGGCAGCAATCACAAGTGAATGATGAGAAACTAAAGGCAGAGTTTCGCAAAGCTCGCGATACTGCCCTCGAAGATGGACTAGATCTTGTGCAGATCCACAAGGATCAAGATCCGGGATTTTTCATCAAGAATGGCATCAAAAGAGGCATTGCTCGTCGTTTTGTTGGGGACATCAATTATTGGGTCGAGCACTGTAAGTGCAACGTAGAGGATAGACTATAGAATGGAAGAGTTTTATATTCGATTGTCACGGTTCTTCAATATTCCAGCCTGCATGTCGAAAATGGCCTTTCGCGCTTTTCTCTCTTGCTCCGACTACATCAACACACCATTCGAGGTAGGTATTAAAACCCTGGCCCGGGTTCTCTTCATACGTCAGCTAATGTCGTTTAATAAAAGCCTTAAGCTCAGCAAAGAACTCCTCGATCGGATTTAGATCCGGGGAGTAGGGTGGCAAGTACACCAATTTGACCCCGGCTGCGGAACAAATTTGCCGAACCATCTCCGTACGATGGAATGAGGCGTTATCCATGACAAGAACGGATTTCGGCTCCGGGCACTTCCCACAGTGATGTAGAAGTTGCCGTACAAAATCCTCAAACACAACAGCGTCGGTCGATCCCTGGAAGACTCGTGCAAGAACGACGCCATCCTGGGCATATGCGGGAAGTATCTGGTAACGCTGCCCGCGGTGAAATTGAGAAATCTGGACAGGTGTCACTCCCAGTGGAGACCACCCGGTCCGTCTGAAACCCGCTCGTTTATCACAGCCTGACTCATCCACGTACACCAGGTGGTAGGATCGGAAAGACGAGATGGTGTGAAGATAGAAGTCCCGAAGTTCAATATTCTGTCCCCGCGCTATCCGCCTTGCGGCTTTCTTAGACCATCCAACCGATGCGAGTGCTCTGCCAATGCTATATAGTCACAAGGACCCGAAACTCATCCCACAAGAAGACCACCATCTCATCTTGGTATAAATCTGGCTTTTCGAGGAGGCGCTCACAGAGAGCTTCAAGCATCGGTGGGGTGATCGTCCGTCGTCGTCCAATACCGTTGGGAGGGGCCCTGACACTTCCAAAGCATCGTAGGTTCGAGCGGGCAGTGCTGATTGATCGTGGGGTACAATGGGCAGCTTTGGCGATTTCTACGTTAGTATACGATTGAGAGTCTTGTATCATGTCACGAATGAGCTCGAGTCGCCATGGTTCAAGTGTTGGTGCCATATCTACCTGGCGGTGCTGCAGCCACCATTGCTGACAGGTTCTGTCTGTCGTGCCACGTCAGTCACAGACCACATTGTCACGTGCGGCTCCCCAAGCTACAGGCTGGTCGCTTTCTCCAATAGCATTCGCTCTATTGCCGCGCTGTGCTCCTCCCTCAGCCCAGGCGAGCCTCTACTGCTGGCGGCGGGGCTGCTGCCGTCTGCCTTTCAATGGGGCTCTTCTCCCCCTGTAATCGAGTAGATGACTCGTCAACCTCTGTCGCTAATCAACTTTTCCTAATATTCTCATCGATGCACTATTCCTCTCGCGAAACCACGCTAGACTTTCTCCATGGCCTATCCTCCGCGAGATGCCTTCCAAATTGGCTGGATCTGTGCTCTTCCGATCGAGGCTGCAGCCGCCGCCGAAATGCTAGATGAGCACTTTGGGATTCTCGAGGAGCAAGATGCAGCGGACTCGAATACTTACACGTTGGGCCGAATCGGCAAACATCACGTCGTGATCGCCTGCCTCTCTGGGGGCCAGTACGGAACCACCTCTGCCACGGCGGTCGCAAACAACATGCTTCGAACCTTCTCCAAGTCACTCAGAATTGGATTAATGGTTGGTATCGGAGGTGGAATTCCTTCAGCTGCTCATGATATCCGCCTCGGCGATGTCGTGATTAGCTACCCCCAAGGCACTTGCGGTGGGGTGATTCAATATGATACAGGCAAGATTATTGCAGATGGAGAATTCGAACGAACTGGCTCGTTGAACAGTCCACCGAGGGCATTATTAACCGCAGTTGGCACGATGAGAGCGGCCATGCTGAGGGATGACCCCCGCTACCCGGAATATCTCCAAAACGCAATCGGAAGAACCGCTCGAACGCGGAAAAACTTTGGCCGGCCTACTGCACAGTCTGATCGACTCTTTCAGGCGAACCATGATCATCCTGCCAGTGCGAGGAGCTGTGCTGGATGTCTAGCGGAGTGGGAACAGACCAGACATGAACGCGAGGACAATGATCCACAGCCGTATTACGGTATCATTGCTTCTGGTAATAAGGTCATCAAACACGGGCCGACAAGAGACCAACTTGGTTTGGATACTGGGGCATTGTGCTTGGAAATGGAGGCAGCTGGTCTGATGTTGGACTTCCCCTGCGTTGTTATCCGCGGTGTTTGTGATTATGCCGACTCGCATAAGAACAAGGAATGGCAGGGATATGCTGCCCTAGCAGCCGCAGCATATACAAAAGGAGCCTGACTTTGATGCTCGCAAGCAGTTTTGATGACAGTTGCCTTCTGGAGAGGCTTCTTAGGCGATATCTTGGGTCTAGATGTTAAATGAAAAGACCCGCAAAATCGATCGACTTGATCGTTGTGCAGGGGAGATACAGAACTTTCTTTCTTTCTCCTTAACACCGTAGTTTATATGAAAGCTCTATGCATTGTCGGTTTAGCATCGTACATGCGCTGCAAGAAGGCAAATGTTCATTTTCCACATTACCGGTCTGCCCTCACAATTTGATTTATATGGTCATCTTAAGATCTTTAAAGTATTTGGCGCCTACAGTAAAAGGACTAAAAACAAACAACTATTTTTCAATTCGAACCCCGGACGAGGGGATTGCTTGGTCCAAGGGACTGAGCACATACTTGAGTCCAAGACAAGTTGGGATGTTAATCTTCGCCTAACCGCTGTTGCTGTCTCATTACTTCAAGAATACTATTCACTGCTGGCCACCGCACTAGCAGAAAAGGCCCTATTTGTTTTAATGGACATGCGAATTGCTTACGATGATGACTTGTCGATGCGCAGTGTTCTGGCACTAAGTGGCACATTTGTCGTTCAGGTCATTGGGGAATTTTGAAATTCAGCGGGCAGCCCCCCCCCCCCCCCCCCCCCCCTCCTCCCAACAAAAAACCCGGTGGCCACCCTCCCCACCAAATGAAACAAAGTACAAAATTACACAGATTCTTTGACAAAGTCTCTCATCTAAGTAGAACATGTAGATTGCCTGAGTAATTCCCCCTTCAAGGCGTGTTTTAACACAACCCTCACATCCAAGTGTTCACCCTCCAATAACCGGAGATCAAATTGTTACAGAACAAGATGATTTCTATCGTCCAAAGAGCTCCAAGGCCATCCACATTAGAAATTCACTCTGCCCCTTTGCAAGCGGCTCAACTGGATACGAGGATTTCCTGTTGAACTGATGTGCCTCTATCGCTGCTAGAACCGGAATTAGATTGATTTTTTTATTATATACTTGCTGTAATCGAATTATATAAATCCAGCAAATTCCACGAGATCAGAAAGGTTGCTGTCCCAGCAGAGTAAACAAGAATGCTTCGCTATGTCCACGTGTATGGCAGACAGCATGGAATTACCACCGATACTGCACACCAACATATTCGACTTCTAGAACAGGCTATCAAGCACAATTTTGGAGAGAATGCTCAGTGCCACGGGATCTGCTATCACCAGGGTCGCATACGACCCCACCCATCCTGGCTCCGAAGGGAACTCATTTATGCATGTGCAGGGAAGAAGGGAATTAACCTTTTGAACGAGGTGTGGTACAACACATGGATATTCCGCATCAATCTGAAGATTGAAGGCAATTTGGATGAACGGACTACACGGGAGCTGCTAGGGTTACATATGAAGGTGGAGAGGATCCAATTTACAGAAAGGGGTCCCAATGAAACTATAAAGCGTATGCGCCATTTGAGAGACGAGATCACATGTTTAGCTGATGGGTCGCTAAATATGAGAGATACGGGCGATTATCGATACTTCGGAAGGCGATTCGAGATTGGAAGGGACATCTGATGGAAGAACACAGGAAAGGCGAGAGGAAATACATGTACAATGAAAATGATTGTTCACCATTTGAAATTTCATTAAGGTCAGAGCTGCGTTTACACAGCACCCAGGGATCATTGGTGGACTCAAAAAAAATACGGGATCGATGATTTCATTTACCGGACTCCTAGAAGTTGATTTCCTAAAATACGGATCCGTAACCAGCCAAGTGGGTTGTGATTTAGAATCCAACTTCAGAAGTGACATGCAGGATGCAACATACATACGCATCCATGTACACATACAGTACAGTACGTCCATTCAACTCTGTGAAAACAGTCTAGAGTATTACTAAATCATTGTGGAATGTAGAAGTAACAGACTTTGTCCCTGCTTGGGAAACCCTGCTCTAGACGGTTGAACTTCTTTTCCAATAGAACGGGCCGTAAACATAAATCCCATCATCCGAGCCTATTGATACCTGCTTGGATTGCGCCATTTGTGATAGTGGAACCCTGGATGGTTAAATCGCCAGGTCGTATGATCTGTTGTTCGCCCGTGAAATGAGTAACCTCTATCTCACCCAAGATCTGGACTATGAAATCCAGACCCGTAGACCGATGCACCGGGCATTCAGACTTGGGTGGAGTATCGATGTACCATTATATCAGTACCTCCCACCTGGATCACCTGCTGAGGCGGCTCCTGTATTGAAGTGATGTGGGGGTTCGAGGAGAAATCATTTCTGGGCGCAACATATGACCGTCCTGAGATGCATTGCAACGTAACACTAGATCAGAGCCAAGCTCACTGATGACTGAGGGCGGCTCATCAGGCGCTTTTCCTGTGGAGGGGAGCGAGGTGTTGTCGTCGTCATTATTGCCAGAAAAATGCCGGTAGAGATCGGGGAGCGCACTACTGTATGGGCCATAATGGAATATAATTTATTTCGGTTCTCTCGTTGAGATTTGCACAAAGTAGAGGTAACAAGCGTTGTACTTCCTGAGACGGGGAGAAACAACCAATATATGGAGACCGATCCTCCACGCATCAGTCCGTATCCCGATATTAATGAAATGGAAACTGAATGACCGTTTAGTTGAGAAGTTGGGAGCAAATCAAATGATGATTTCAGAAACCTCATGTCCGGCATTTCATGAATCACAGACAAAGCAGCTCCTGGGGTGCAGCTGATCTAATTGGTATCATCCAGGATCAACTGCTCTCTTCCGATGAGTCTGATGACTAAGTAGGAGAATCCTCACAGCTCAGTCCCTTGAAGGACTCTTAAGATTCTGCGGTCATTCAGATGCTGATACTCTCACTTTCCCTCGATCCTCCGCAGACTGTATCTTGGACGTACTTATAGTGAAAATATGAGTGGTGCTCACAGGCAAACTCAAGCCGGAAGGACATTGAGAATTATCGGCGCCGGTGCCTGCAGCACAGCATGGACACCAGAGAGGGGCGGTCCCGTTTTCAAATTTGAAAACGATGGAACCAACCGGTCACTTTACAATGACTACCAAATGCATGAAAAAGTTGTCCAAAGCTTTCAGAGTCTTCCGAAGTTCACCCGAATTCAAGTGCCTGATTGTTTTAACTTCATCACGGCCGCAAACCAAGAGTGGTGGGACGGGATCAACGAACGCCTTCCTTCTCCGCGGACGCCTCGCAATTGCATACTGACCGAGCGCGTGCTTCCTTTTCCAAGGGATACGATGCGCCTGCTTATACACAGCCATTGCCTCCAGGGAATACTGCCGTATTCGGTTCTTCTGGATGTCAAGGACAAGCAGTGTTTCATCAGACCGTACCTCGGTTGCAGCCAGCCACACAAGACCCGCTTGAAGCCGGAACAACACAGTTACTCGCAAGTAGATATACCTCTGCATGTGAATCAAATGAAAAAGCTCGGTGTCTCTGATGCACATATGAAACAATACGCGCGCACAATAGCCGAGGCTCTTGCGACCATGCATTGGGTCGGCGGGATTGACGGAAACGCGGTTGAATATATCCTCGCGCCACCGTGGGGTGAGATAATCAAAGCTGATACTATTTTAAATTCACTTGGTGACCATTGCATGTGGGTGCTTGATTTTGATCTTTGTAGAGAGATGTCCATGGACGAGGCAGGGGTCCAACAAGCAGTCAGAGCCTTTCAGCAAAGCGAGCCATTCTATCCGCGGCCGGCAACAAACAATTCGCTCTGGTTAGAGTTCCGAGAACAATATTTACGAACCGGTGAAGAACGTCTTGAATGGGTGCCATTGAATGCGTCAAAACGTAATCGACGGAAAGCTTTATCACGTTTATTTATAGATATAGTTGAAAAAGAGCTGGAAGATTGATCATATCAATGCTTCAAACAATCAGAGAATCTCCAAGAAGCCTGGCGCAATCGAAATTCACTTCTTGTCTACTTATGCAGGACAAGTCGATTGTCTCATGTCTTGGCTGTGTGCAGCGGGTACCAGAGGATGATTGACCACGCAATTTGACGTAGACCGTTGGTTGTATTTACTCGTCTTGCAAATGAATGCTCTGAGATCTCAAAAATGACCAAATACATTGAACTGTCGGGCCAGACTGCTTGAACGGCTCTGATCAATAATTGTATGCCTAGGAATTAATTGATCAGGCTAACTACCCCTTCAATCACGACTCTTATACGCGATTTGGTTACTAAACGTATTCGATTACCAGCCCCCAGCATTTCTGTCCGCAAATCTTACTTTTCTGCTTTCCAGCCACATTGAAAATGTTCCCTCTTGACCAGTGTACTGTAGTGATTTCCCAGTGATGTGCTTCTGTTTAATTCTTATAAACTTTGAGGCTGGCTACGCAATTCGGGCGTTTGCCTCACATCGTGTCTAACCTTTCTTTTGCGGCTTCAATAAAAACACTGCCTATCAGGTCACATGATCATATACATAAGGGTTCGCGACGGCAAATTGAGGGTGGTGAATTGAGACCATTTGGTTGTGCACAGGACTGCCGATCTTTTCTTGTTTCACAGCCCATACCGTGTCTGTTCAAATGTTTGATAGCTTATCTACCAAGAGCTCTTTTGGCATCCATCTTGTTCATTAGAAACACGGCGAACTATGTGATAAATGGACTAGTGGCGTCGATTAAGAAGGGCTGACCATAAAAGGATTCAGACCGTACCGTCTAATGGAGAGGAGCCGCTGAATCGCTACTGTACGAATCACGGAGGTTTCAGCTCACTCATCGCACTTGGGCCAACTTTTCTGCCTGCCTCGTGTCACGTGCTTAACACCTGCGCGGTTGGCACGTGACCGACTAACTCCACTCTCGCTGCGCCATAAACAAACTACACCCAAGAATACATTCTTACACATCTGGTGTATCTCTCATGGCAGCTGGCATCACTCCACCAGGGAGTGTCCTTGAACCTCCCCTTACACCGCCACCTACGGCAGAGAAGCCCTTGTCGAGAAGCGCCCAAAGCGTGGTGAACTGTTTGCGACTCCATCGTGCAAACCACCGGCCAAGATCTTGGTGGGAAGGTCGACTAAGACCTGACGACTATACACAAGTATTACGTGCGCTGGATGCTGACAAATCTCTTCGAGACTACGTGGAAGATAAAGTACGGTCAGTACTATCAGCGTTTTGATGGAGAAGTCCGCATGTGCTCAAGTGGAATAACCATAGATACGACTACGATCCCTGTCGCCACTGCCTGACAATCCGAATGCCAAGTCCTCTCCATGACACGTTTTGTGCAAGGATAGTCGACGAAATATCAAGACAGCTGAGGCAATACCAACAGAACAACGAACCACTCGCCGATTTCGCCAAGGAAGTCGAACACTTTGCCACATCTCGAATCTTGATACCTGAAGTTACACCTGATGGTGCAGAGACTTATTCCAGACGGGAACCGGATGCCTCATTTGGGCATCGCCAAGCACACTATCCCGGTGTAATTGTGGAGGTGTGCTATTCACAGAAAAGCCGACGTGTTTCCCACCTGGCGGATGAGTACATCTTGAACACTGATGGGAGCGTGAATGCGGTGCTTGCCTTCGACATTGATTACAAAGGGTCCAAGAGAGCGACCGTTACCATGTGGCGACCGGAATATGTAACGGTAAATGGTGTAGAGGAGTTTCGTGCGGCCACCGTGATAGAAGCACAGGTACGATTTTTATAAGCAACAAACCTGATGGTCGGACGCTGACTGATTAGCAGCCATTCCGGACGGACTCTGGGTTGCCAACTGAGGGAATAGCGCTACGACTATCGCTAAGGGACTTCGCGACGGAGGAGCTTGCTCGAGACCATGTGGGTCTCGAACGCGAAATCGTCATTACATCGAAGCAGCTTTGGGATTTCCTTTCGAGCGCTGAAGCAAGGCAACAGATACAGACACAACATAAAGGCTCAATTAATCGAATACGACCGGGTGCTTTAAAGCGCCGACGACCTCAAACACCCCCTGAACAGCTAAGCTCGGAAGACGAAGGGTCTGTCACGAGAGGAAGAGAAATTAAACGGGGACGTCAAAGTAGCGACTATCGCCCGAGCTCTTCGCCCGGAGACTCCACGAGTGAGCTGCACTGAGATTACGAATTTACGGATCCGATGTAGCTTGTTCTCAACTTGCCACTAGGGGAATGTTGAGTTGGTGATGAATCACAGTGATGCTGAGCTCGAGTTATTACCTGATTGATCCACAGAGGACATCATCCCTTGTTTTTGATTCATCCAATGCGTCTAGACCAATATAGACCTTCTTCTGGACTACAAGCATCTTAAAGCAGTATCCCAGTCTTTGTTATAGGCTGGTCACTGCCATTCTGGTGTGCTTGAAACAAAGCGTCAAGATGAATAGCGGAGTCAACCCCGCCTTGGTAAAGTTCGAAGGTAAGCGAACGCAGTATGCCATCCAAGGTCTGCTTTGTCGTGTCGCTAAAGTCAAAGAAGCTGAGGATTAGACCGTCGGTTTCCTTCGCGACATGATCAAGCACAGTCGAACTGAGAACCGTCTTTCTACATCCCGCAAGCCCGTGCAGCCATAAATGTTGACGCGACCCCGATTGCCACGACTTGGAGACCGGGTTTTTCCAGGAGCCCCGCTCCAGTCCCCTCATGGCGGAGCGTCCTCGCGTTCGCATTTATAGACGGATCCAGGTGACAAAGCCAGCGCCTGATCTCATCGGTGCGAAGATCAGACCTGATGGAATCAGTTCCCAGGCCCCCGGTCCAAGCCTTCTTCTCGTACTATGTTGGCCAATAACAGTTCTCCATAATAATTAATAGAATCCATGTACTGAAGTTCACAGTGCTTTTCTCCAAACTACACGAGAGCTTCCTACCAATGCATATACGGGCTTATTCATACATATTGAAATCGCCTTGTCTCTACGACAGTCAATTGTACACGCGCGATAAACCGATTACATAGGCTATCTAGATTCCCTTAATTCCTCGGGCCGATAAGTAGCTGTGACTGACTGTTGAAATTACACGATAAATTTACGGGAAGCATGTATGTCAAGGCCAACGAGGTGGTTTAGGTCTGATCTCTCTCTCATGAGAGAGAGATCCTATTTAATGAGAAGCATTTCTCCTGAACTATTCTCTATATAGCAGGTTCAATGCTGATCAATAGATTCATGGTTGGCGGAGCAGGCATTTCATGCCTGGAGAAGCCATGAATCTCAACACTGACTTCAGAACCTACTATGTACAGAGAACTCTTGCGTATTGAGGATCAATCCACTTCGGAACCACAACTTATCGTGCTTTACGCTCAGTAACTTGAACTGTAAAAAAAAAAGCCATAAATGGTAGTTTTAAGTCGCTGAATTAATTGCAAAGTTTCTAGTCTGATGGAAGGGCCGCCATGACTTCATATATGTTGCTCTGGTGTATCTTTATCAACAAGCTCCAGATCCTGGTCGGTTACTAGTTTTGGGGCGGGGTAGTAGGAGTTCTTGATAGGTCAGTCGACTTTTCATCAAAGACATAGTTGGAAACATACTAGTTGCGAGCCAAGGAAAGCCCAAAACCCCGAAGCATCCGCTGATACAGCGATATTCGAAATCAGCTTTACCTTCTTGGAGCGCGCTAGTCCGCATTAAGTTATCCTTCCGCCGGCCTAACCTTTGTGCTTGTATCTTCAATGAACCAGCGTAAATTACAGTAATTTCATGTCGAACAATTTTTGTTCTTCAGATGGATTTATTATCACCAGCCAATCTATTTGTGAGTGGATCCCTTCAAATCACCTTATGGGCGATCTGGTTGGTGGCTTCAATTCTCCTTCTCAGCCTGCATGCCATGTAAGCCGTTTATCGGTCATAAGGTCAGAGAATTTTCTTTGGCTTAGGGAACATCATATGCCAGGGCTTGAGTAGGGTGTCACCTGATGGCGGGGCTAAGCTCCCAAGTCGTCACTCAAGCAGCGCGTACCCCGCACGATGCTTATGAATCTCAGAGAAACCTTTAAATTCCGCAATCATGGATCCCACGGTTATGGATTCCACGGTAGTATTCGAAAGCTCGAATTTTGGGTTGCAGATTGGGAATAACTATGGTCCGATCAACAATCCAACGTTTCATCTCCCATCAAGTATATAGCGAGAATCTTCATTTAGCGTTCATCCTACTAACGTGGAAACAGATCTCAACGACAAATTGCCTGTCGCGGATGGGGCTGCTTTTGGCTCATATGCGGATCAGCATGAAGATGAATGCTTAGACGGCACGAGAACTGATATCCTACGTCAAATCAGAGAATGGGCTTCTTCTCCTCAGAGGCCATATGTGTTCTGGTTGAATGGAATGGCTGGCACAGGGAAATCGACCATCTCCCGCACGATCGCAAGAGTATTTAGGGATGATAAGTCAGATATATCACTAGGAGCAAGTTTTTTCTTCAAGAGAGGTGAAGGTGATCGGGGACTTGCTAAGAAGCTTTTTCTCAACGATCGCAAGGCAACTGGCGACTAGCATTCCGCGGATAATCCCAGCTCTCGAGAAAACAATTCTTGATGACCCGGATATTGCAGGAAAGACGATGAGGGACCAATTTGAAAGGCTCATCCTTTATCCACTTCAAAGTCTGAAGGGGTCTGACTTCCCAATGCAGACTATGGTGATAGTGATTGATGCACTGGATGAATGCGAAGGAGATAGGGACATTAAACTCATACTCCAGCTTCTCTTCCAGCTCCAAAAGTTAGATTCTGCTCGTCTGCTCGTCTTTTTGACCAGCAGGCCTGAATTGCCGATCCGTCTAGGATTCTCAAAGATTGCCAACCATGATCACAAAGACCTGGTTCTCCATGAAATTCCTGAAAAGGCAATTAAGCATGATCTAACACTATTCTTAAATTCACGGATTTCAGAAATCCGAAAAGAACGACAACCTCCCCTTCCGAAAGACTGGCCTGGAAATACAAATTTCGAAAAGCTAGTAGCATTGTCTTTTCCTTTATTTATTTTCGCTGCCACTATCTGTCGCATTTTTGAGGACCCAATTTGGGACCCCATGGACAGTCTTACCGAAATCCTTACACATCAGTATGACCAATCGAAGCTAGACCAGACATATCTTCCAGTTCTCGATCGTCTTCTCAACGGAACATCCGGGAAATATCAAGAAAAACTGGTCTCAGAGTTCCAGCAAGTGATCGGAGCCATCGTGATACTAGAGAGTCCACTCTCAGTTAACTCACTCTCAAAGCTTCTAGAGCTTCCTGAGAGCCTAATACAACTTCGACTGAGCTCACTACACTCTGTGCTAAGAGTGCCAGAAAGCGAAACAGAACCCGTGCGGCTCTTCCACCTGTCGTTTCGGGACTTTATCCTTGATCCAGAAACTCGCAAGAAGACCTATTTTGGGATGAATGAGAGAGATATACACTATAGGTTGGCTAAACAATGCCTCCTTATGTGTCAAAATCTGCGGAAAAATATCTGTAAATTACCCAGTTATGGAATTCAACGTGCCGAAGTTGATCGCCAGACTATCAATATCTACCTTCCTCCTGAGTTGCAGTACGCATGTCGATACTGGACATATCATCTAGTTCACTGTGCGGGATTGGATAATATAACGTATAGTGCTCTGTTGTTTCTCCTGAGGCATTTCCTACGGGAAAAATTTCTCAATTGGGTGGAAGCAATGGGTCTACTCAATCTTACATCAGAACTACTAGGTGCTCTTGACCATCTGGAAACGGTTTTATCGGTAAGTTTAATACATACAATTTTACATTTTACATTATTCACGCTGACAGGTTCAGAGCATCGACTCTTCCCCAACTTTAGATTTCCTCCACGACGCAAAGCGATTTATCCTGAAAAACCGCCAAATGGTTGACCAAGTGCCTCTTCAAGTTTATCGTGCGGGACTTGTATTTGCACCCCGAATGGCAATAATCCGGGAACAGTTCAAAAATGAGCTTCCCTCTTGGATATGCCAGTTACCACGAGTTGAGGAACGTTGGGGCCCAGAACTACAGACCCTGGAGGGGCATTTAGACATGGTACAGTCCGTGGCCTTCTCGCCAGACGGCCGGCTACTGGCATCTGGCTCCGCTGATTGGAGCGTGCGATTGTGGGATCCAGTGACAGGCGTACTACTGGCGAAGCTTCAGCTGGACACACCCAAAGGCCTTATAGGGATGATCGCAGTGACATTCTCACCAAACAGCCAGCTGTTAGCGTCTGGTTCCTGGGACGCGAAGCTACGGCTCTGGGACCCGGCAACAGGTGTACTACAGCAGACCCTTGAAGCAAATTCTGGAACTGTGAACTCGGTCGCATTCTCACCTGATAGCCGGCTATTAGCGACTGGTTGTGGGAATAAAAGGATACAGCTCTGGGACCTAGCGACAGGCATGCTACAACATACGCTTGAAGGCCATTTGGATTGGGTTAATTCAGTGGTTTTTTCGCCTGACAGCCGGCTGCTAGCGTCTGGCTCCAGGGATAAGACCGTGCGACTGTGGGATTCGGCGACAGGAGTACTGCAGCAGACTCTTGAGGGCCATTCGGACTGGGTTTGGTCAGTGACGTTTTCCCCTAACGGCAAGCTACTAGCCTCCGGCTCTAAAGATAAAACTGTGCGGCTCTGGGATTCGACGACAGGCGTACTACGGGAAACACTTGAAGGCCATTTAGGTCAGGTATTAACGGTGTCCTTCTCACCTAGCGGCAGGCTCCTGGGGTCCGGGTCGAGCGACAAGAGTATACGACTTTGGGACCCAGCGAAGGGCATGCTTCAGCAAACGCTTGAAGGTCATGCTCGAACAGTGAACTCGGTTGCTTTCTCACCCGACGGTCGCCTCTTGGTGTCCGGTTCCTGGGATCGAACCGTGCGGGTCTGGGACCTGGTGGAGGGCTCGCTACAGCAGAGTATTGAAGGTCATTCTGATATAGTTTCCTCAATGGCCTTCTCGCCCGACGGCCGGCAGCTAGCGTCTGCCTCTAAAGATACGACTGTGCGACTCTGGGACCCGGCAACAGGCGTGGTACAGCAGACGCTAAAAGGCCATTTAGGTTGGGTTATAGTAGTGGCGTTCTCGCCAAACGGCAGGTTACTGGCGTCTGGCTCTAATGATATGACTGTGCGAGTTTGGGACTCGATGAGAGGTGCGCTACAGCACACGCTCACGGGCCATTCCGAGTTGGTACGTTCTGTTGCTTTCTCGCCCAATGGCTGGCAGCTAGCGTCTAGCTCTAATGACAAGACCGTGCGGCTCTGGAATTTGGGGACAGGCGTACGACAGCAGACTCTCATAGGCCATTCTGATACAGTCTCCTTGGTGACCTTCTCGCCCGACGGCCGGCTTCTAGCGTCCAGCTCCTGGGATAAAAGCGTGCGCCTCTGGAATTCAGCGACGGGCGTACTGCAGCAGATTTGGACCGTTAAAGAAGCAGTCAAAGAACTCGAATTTTGCCTAGACAGTTCCTGTCTAAGCACTAACTTGGGAGTTCTCCATATTCAGTCGACAAATTGCTGTCACGCATCGCATCTGTCCTGTATGAGCCCGAAATTCTCACTCGACGAACCGCAGTGGATAAAACTGAACGGCGAAAAAGTTATTTGGCTTCCCACCGAGTTTAGAGCCACTTGCTTGGCGATTAGAGGGAATATGGTTGCGTTAGGCCACTCATCAAGGCGAATTGTCTTCATAAGTTTTTCTGACAGTGGATGTTGAAGGAACCCGTTTCCATTCTTTCTTCTATTTTCAGACCTTCGTAAAAGAATGGCTTAAACGTGAATAAAATGTGTACGCAGTAAGGCTTCTATGTTGTACTCAGAGTGACAAGGATTGTTGACATGAGATTACTGTAATTTACGCTGGCTAATTCAAGGTACATGGACAGAGGCTAGACCGGCGGAAGGATAACTCAATGTGGACTAGTGCGCTCTAAGTGGGGTTTTGGGAAATAGAGAGACGGAGATTAGAGGTAAAGCTGATTTCGAATATCACTGTAAGATAAGAAGTTTAGGGATACGATCAATAGGTAACCCATCGGAATACTACTGTATGAGAGGGACTGTATCGAATCGATTCGATACGATTACAAGGAATCCTACTGTACCACCAAGGTCGACATAAGCTGCAGCGTTGTGTGCCGAACGGGAGCTACCCCTGACCGATGGCGGACCCACCCGCGGGAGGGCCCGAAACCCCTCCCACAAACACACAAGAAACCACCGCCAGCTTCACGGACGACGATCTCGAGACCAGGGCCAGCGTTGGAACCCGGAGAAGAACCCGGAAGAATGACGCATTTACCCCATCGGACCCCGCCGGTCGAATCACCACCAAGGAAGTGTGGAAACTGATCGGCACACTGAAGGACATCATCCGACACCAAACTACCGCCATCACAGCCGCCCAAAACGAACTCCAGGAGATCAAACACAACCAGAACGTGCTCCAAAAACAGAACGAGAAGCTCCACGAGGAAGTGCGAGCACTACGAGCACAAGTCGAAAGTGCCCCGGCAGGGACTGCGACCAAAACATGGGCAGCAGTCGCAGCCAGCAGCGGTGGGACTGCCATCCCCTCGCTGAACCAGCAGCAACCCGAGAAAGAGCAAAACTGCATCCGAATTAGTACCCAGAGAAACTTTGTCGATCCAAGGGACAACGAAGACAACACCGAACATGCATTCGGACGATACCTCCCCACCGATGCCGCTAACGCCCACATCCGCGCAGCATTACAGAGCGAAGCTGCAACCCAAGACGCCCAGGTGGCTGGTATCGGTACCACCAAAACCGGTTACCTTATTCGGTTCAAAAATTCGGAGTCGGCCGAAGCGGCGCGCAATAACACGGAATGGCTACAAGGCTTGGGAAACAACACCAAGCTGGTCAAACCACGGTTCGGGGTGGTGGTACACCGCACCCCCACCGAGGAATTTGACCTGGACACAGGGGCCATGCAGGCAGCAGAGAAGATCATCAGCGATAACGATCTGGCGGAACACGGTTTCCATATTGAAGAGCTCGCTTGGATGAAAGCGAAGGACAAGGCCTTGGGGAAGTTCGCATCGCTGGGAATCTGGTTCGACTCCGCCGATGGGGCAGAACATATGCTACGCAGTGGTTTCATTGTCAGCCAGCACTACATCCCCCACGTGGAACGCCGCGAGATCAAGAAAAAGAGATGTTTCAGATGCCAACGGTTTGGACACCTGGCATGGACGTGCAAGGAAACGCCGCGATGCGGATACTGTGCAGGGCAGCACGAACGTGAGCGCTGCCCACCAGGGAGTGAGAGCGCGGTGCTTGGACTGTAGTGGCGAACACCCAACCGGCGACCGACAGTGCTTAATGCCGGCGACATCGAACCCCTCCAGATGCTAGAGAGAAACCTTCGCATCCTACAGTTGAACATGATGAAATCGGGACCGAGAATGGAGGCACTCATCAACGACTCTCAAAGCCAAGACCTGGATGTACTTCTGATCCAGGAGCCTTCTATCACTATGCACCGTACACATGTCAACCAACAGCGCCTGGAGATTATATCGACCTACTGCACAGTCCGACGCCGTCCGGTTTCGCAGCCTGATCTACGTCAACAGACGAATCTCCACATCGTCCCATCGCCAAATACCCTGTGACCACCCAGACATTGCAGCCATCAAAATCTGGACAGCCAACTCCCAAATGCTTGTCTTTTCTATCTACATACCGCCCGCCCCGCTCTTCACCGGCAACGACGCATCGGCAATACCAGCCTTCGCTTCAATCCAACGCTCCATCACGGCTGCCACACAAACCGAACCACGGTCAACCGCCATCGTCGTGTCTGGGGATTTTAACCGACACCACCCGATGTGGGGTGGCAATCACATCGCGCCCAGGTTCATCGAAGACGCTAGCGACCTAATCGACTTCTTCCAGGCCCACGGTCTCCAAAGTTGCCTCCCCCGAGGCACAGCAACCTACTGGGCCCTCAACAACCCGGGGCAGAACTCGACATCGATCAAACAGCAACAGACCGGCCGGACCTGCTCATCAAATGCCACCTATACCACGAGAACTACGGATCGGATCACCGCGCGACATACTCGGAATGGAACCTGCAACCGCAGACCAACCTCAAGACTAGGGCAAGGAAAGCGTACGAGCGAGCGGATTGGACCAAAATCGGCGAGGAAATAACTCGGCAGATGGGCCCATGGAGGGATATTAAGACCCGGCCAGCACTCGACAGGATCGTGAAGGAACTCACGTCCGCCACGGCCCAGGCAGTCGACCGATTCACACCGACACACGCCCAACGCCGTACTCCAAAAGATGGTTTACCTCGGATCTCAAAGTGCAACAAGTAGAAGTCAACCAGCTACGCAGGAGATGGCAAGCGAACTGCGCAGAGCTCGGACGAGAGCACGCTAGAACCATGGCTGCCTTCCGAGCCATGCAACAAAAGCGACGAGCATGGACTCGGACCATCGAAAAAGTGAAAGCAGCACACTGGAAACAGTTTCTGGACGAGGCAGGCGAGGGGAAGCTCTGGAAAGCCGCGACTTACATGAAGCCCCGGGAGACATGCGGCTGCATCCCGACACTGCAAGCGGGCTCGGAGGAGATCATCCGGAATGAGGACAAAGCGAAAGCGTTCCTCGACGCGTTCTTCCCTGCTATGAATACACCCGAGCTCGGTCCATCAGTCTCACCACACCCGGAGCTCCCGTGGCACCCGATCACGGAACTAGAGATTGAGCGGTCACCGAGAACCGCAAAAGGAACGACAGCACCAGGGGAGGACAATCTCCCGATGTTGGTTTGGAAGAACCTGTGGGTGCACCTGAAAACCGTGATCGTCCGCATCTTCACGGCATGTGTAGATTTAGGACACCACCCCAAACAATGGCGAAGTGCCAAAATCGTGGTTTTACGAAAACCTGGGAAACCGGATTACTCAGTGCCCGGGGCGTATCGGCCGATATCACTTCTGAACACACTCGGCAAGGTCCTCGAGGCAGTGATGGCCCGACGGCTGTCTTACCTCGCAGAGAAACACGGCCTGCTTCCGAATGGCCAGTTCGGCGGGCGTCCGGGCAGAACCACGGAGCAAGCCTTACTGGTGCTATCTAATGCGATCGACAAAGCATGGTACAGACACAACGTGGTGACACTGATCTCATTCTACCTCAAAGGCGCCTTCAACGGGGTGAATTGGGTAAGTCTGGATGCCTCGCTACAGGCAAGAGGGATCCCAATGGCAGTAAGGAAATGGATTGCCAGCTTCATGAGCGATCGACACGCCAACATTGGATTTGACGACTTCCGAACAGAGACAGAGCCCCTCGCGAACGCAGGCCTGGCGCAAGGATCACCACTCTCTCCTATCTTGTTCGCCTTTTTCAACGCAGACCTGGTTGACCAGCCTGTTGATCCCCACGGAGGCGCATCAGCCTTCATAGACGACTACTTCCGATGGCGAGTGGGCTACTCAGCGGAGGATAACCTAACCAAGATTCAGTCCGAGGATCTCCCCCGCATCGAGGAATGGGCGCGACGAACTGGATCCTGCTTTGCAGCAGAGAAAACCGAGCTCATCCACCTGACCAGAAGAAAGAAAGAACACTCGGTGGGAAAGGTCACCTTCAATAGAGCCGATATCAAGCCGTCGCCGACGGCCAAACTATTGGGGGTGGTGTTCGACCACGGACTCCGCTGGAAAGAACACGTCCAGCAGGCCATCAAACGCGCCACCAAGACAGCCATCGCCTTGAACGGGCTACGGCACCTGCGGTCGGAACAAATGCGACAGCTCTACCAAGCATGCGTCACACCCACCATAGACTATGCATCAACGGTCTGGCATGACCCGCTCCGGGACAAGACACATCTCCGTCACTTGAACACAGTCCAGAGAACCGTACTGATCCGAGTCCTGTCGGCATTTCGAACGGTGGCGACAGCAACGCTGGAAGTGGAAGCCCACGTACTCCCCACTCACCTCCGACTCCGACACCGAGCGCAGCGCACTATCGCGAGACTACACACTCTGCCGCGGGACCACCCAATCTGGGCCGCGCTTTCACGCGCCCAGAATCGTAGGAACAATGTGGGATCATATGCACGCTTCCCCTAGCGGAGGCAATGAAGACCATGGACGTCGACAGGCTCAACGAACTAGAAACGATCGATCCTCGCCCACTGCCACCATGGCGAGCGAACGCTTTCGCTGAAATCGAACTTGATCGCGAGAAAGGGCGGAGTCTGCAAGAGACACATCCGATGTCATCGTCTACTCGGACGCGTCCGGGCGTGAAGGTCATCTGGGTGCGGCTATTCTCACGCTCAACAGCAATGAAGAGGTTACGGAATCTCATCAGGTGCAGGTGGGCCCGGTGGACCGTTGGTCGGTCCACGCAGCAGAGCTCATTGGTATCTTCTACGCGGTGGACATGGTGTTCAAGCTGGTCCATCAGTGCACCAATCTGGAGGATGGACAACCATCAACAGCAACAATCCTATGTGACAGCAGATCAGCGCTACAAGCAATCCAGAACCCACGTAACAGATCCGGACAACGCATCGCTCACGCAATCTCACATGCGGCCTCCGAGGTCCAGGCAGCGAATGTCAAACTCCGCCTCCAGTGGGTGCCAGGGCATTGTGAGAACGCCGGAAACGATGCAGCGGATCGACTAGCGAAGGAAGCTGCGCAGCCGGGTAAAACCCATCCCTTACGACCGCTACTATCGAGAGAGAACGCGTTGGTCCGTAACAACATTTACACCCAGTGGGAGCAAGAGTGGAAGACAGGCACCAAAGGTGCCTACCTACGAAAGATAGATAGCGGCCTACCAGCGCGGTATACGAGGAAGCTCTACGGAAAGTTACCAAGGAATCGCGCCTATCTGCTGATGCAGCTACGCACGGGCCACAACTGGCTATCCACCTACGCGAAGAAGTTCGGCTTCCGCGATGACGATCTATGTGAATGCGGAACACGGGAGACAGTCGCCCACGTGTTGATGGAATGCCCGAGGCTCCGAGAGCTGAGAATAGAATTGAAAAGGAAAGTTGGAGATGCGCTGAGCGGCGTGTCGAGCCTGCTGGGAGGCTCAAACGTAGGTGAGAAAGGTAAACCAGACATCGTCTCGAGGGTGAAGACGGTTCAAGCCGTATTGGACTTTGCCGAGGCGTCACAGCGGTTTCGCAGTCGTGCGCCATGAGGGCAGCCTAACAACGGAAGCGGCAATGGGCCACGAGAGGCCGTGACGAGGCTCAAAGATTCTGTCAGGAAGTGGATCATTCTATGTGTATATACCCGGATATATAGTTGTCGTATACCGCATATCGCTTTGGCGAGGGGTCAGTGTAAATGATATCACACACACACACACACACTGTAAGATAAATACTTGGCCGGTTTCCCGAAGACGTATGCCCCCATAGACATCAGCATCGGACATCTTGCTATATTCGGCCGCTTTTTCATAAGGCTTGATTTTCGACGGCCTTGGTTTTGGCGCTTGGACTTTCTGACAGATTTAGATCGATTGGACTGGGTCGGAGAAGCGGAAGCCATATGAAGAGACGCGTCACTGTTGGAAAAGACTGAAGGAAACAGGGTGCTAAATAGTCGCAGGTATAGACGAATGGCTCTCAGGAATTCTTAAGACTACAAACAGGTACAAAACGGCCCTCTTCATGTTCATGGGTCTTCGCGTTGAAAAGGAGTGCTGCGCTCCAGAACCGTGGTCTTTAGAGTTCATGGTCAACGAATACCTGAAACGGTCCCCTGGCAGGTGATGAGTTCACAGCAGGCAACGAATTTGCGTTGAAAACCACGACCAGGGACGATCAAGGAATCCGCGGTCCAGAAACTGCGGGTATTCGAGTTCATGACCAGCAAAGCTCTGAAACGGTCACTCCAGTAGGTGATGAACGTAAAATGTGCCTAACAAATTTATTGCCACGCCCATTTTAACGCCTAGCACAAAAGGGAGGGAAGCTTGGTTCTTTCAAAGTAATTAATGGTGTCCACGGAACGCATGAAGTCGTGGTCTGTTTATAGCAGGGAATTTCTGATTTTGAGAGCCAACAGTAAACAGTGAATGTCTGCTTTAGAAAATTCCGTCAACTGCACAGAGTAGCTAGCCTGAGGTTCTGGTTTTTAGAGCCTTTTTTAATTTTCTTTATTATTTTCACAACAACAATACTGTAAGCAAGGTACTACGACAGGAAGGGGACTTGGATTGGAGGCCTCGGGAATATGGCAAGAAGGTTGGCATGCGAAGAAGACATCTAACTTGGGAAGCAGGGTGAAATAAATTCTTGCAGTAGACTCGGGGTCGTCTGGGTATTAGGAAATGCGTGATTTAGAGTGGAGACTGTTTTCTGACCAATAGTACTCGATAAACACCCTACTTCTTTCACTATGTTTAAGAAGAAAACGAATGAATGAATTCGTTTATTTATTATTCCGGCCATGCTGTACTCAGATTTCTAAGGCAACCAATTAGTAGGTCGTGAGAGCATCATCGGGTCAACTCTCAAATAACCGTCTTATCGTTCATCAACATCCTTTCTCTCTTCAAACGGTGTCTTTACATCATATCTTTGCCCGGTTAACCACCTCTTCTTCTGTTACCCGCATTTCAATTTGTCTTCCTAATATCGACTACCGATTACAGATCCCCCACATTTTACGTTGTGAGACCCTCACATTCCTAGGATCATCGACCCCATGATCCATGGCATGGTTCCCAGGCACGCTATTGATTGCTCCCAGGAGAAGGGAATCATAATTCCCAGACGTGAGACCCTCACAAACGGCACGGGTATTTCTGGGAGCCCATACACCTCCAGGAACCCAACCAGACTTCCGTTCCCAGGTAATTAGCAAATTTTAACTCCTGTGTTTGGTTTCACGGCTTGGTGGGAGTAGCAAACGTAAATACCATCGAAGTCTAGACTATTACATTCACCAAGCCCTAAAGATAACCGTTGGCACAGTATGCTTGTTGTTGACTATCGAAGTATGCTTCACCTTGAGAGTAAAGGTTAAAAAGTTGTTTAAGCATCGTTGAACACTTTCAGCTCCATGCTGTCACTCAACGCGGTCAACTCCATCGGTCCCAGCGCATTCTAGGCTGAAGAGAACGTTCATATGTGCATTTATGGACAGTCCAGTAAGTTTGAATGCCGTCGTCTAACGGAATTTCTGAGTGTGATTATTCTCAGGGATGTTGAAAATCGATGTGCACCCCACCACCGGTTTATGCACCACCTGTTTTTGCACCCCTGTTTATGCACACCCTGTTTATACGCCTCTGTTTATACGCCTCTGTTTATACGCCTCTGTTTATACGCCTCTGTTTATACGCCTCTGTTAATACACCCCCTGTTTACGCAGCCCCTGTTTATGCACCCCTTGTTATACACCCCCGTTTATACCCTTCCACGAATGTTGGGCACTAATTGAATTGGTGGTGGTTTTGTTACGAAGCCCAGGAGCATTTTGTTATGTTCTGACACTGTACGAGGCGTTCTTGTAAAGAGCTTTGTGTCATCTGGGATTTTTTGCAAGATCAATTCCTGACGATGAGGCGCTACGCAAGGGTTTACAGAGCTGGTCAAAATTCAAACTGCGTTGGTTGGAGTCTGGACGTCAAACGCAAGGGACAGATGCCATGGAGCGTGAATAAATGAGACGGTCCATTGATATTTCAAATCGATCTAGTTGAGTGTTGGGATCAGCTAATCAAAAGTCATTTGGTGGGTTTCTAAGAGAAATGGTATTGTGTCAAGTAGCCAAAAAAGGCGTTCTAAAATGCTGGATTCTAATGCTTGGCTACGCAAGGCCTTTGAAACGATGCATGATACGGTATTGAACCCAATGTGTACATTACCTTACTAACAGTTCGTTCTATCTGCTCTTACATAATTGTGTGTGTGGCGGTGCAGTATGTATCGTAAACTATGATCGTTTTGTAAGAGGATTACCGCAGAAGGAATCGCGCATGGAAGGCGTACCAAATCGCAGATTGATCTGTTGTACGCCTGAATAATACAGTAACGATTCTTTATATTGCTGTATACTCTAATCAGATGCGAAGAGTCACGGTGAATGACGTCATCCATCCGTACTGCATTAGAATAACTCCTCATCCTCCCTTTCGATTGAGCAAGCTTTGGATTTGATTAGACAAAGAATGCCATGGAAATCTGGCAAGGCTTAAAGGTATATTTGCTACTCCTTCACTACCCGCCTATCAATCTTTTCGTGATCCATGCGATCGCTCTCGATACATCGACTTTTTCGGCATTGAAGATATTAAACCCCGGCACTTATCCAAATGCCTTTTTATCTTGGCGCTATAAGACATGCCATTTTTGAGGTCAACAAAACATGTATATTAGGCAATCAGTAGTATACAGTGCCATTCCCCGTAAATCATACGCGAAAGTGTTTCTCTAAGGCCCGGAAATACCTAGAAACCTGCCTGAATTCGTTGGGCATCTGTGAAATAACGAACATGGTGAATTTTTTCTGCGTGGCGTTTGAGTGCTTTGTGTCCATTCAAAACAAGCTGACAAAATTCATCCGGACAGAGTATGGGCTCAGTTCGCTTGTATTTTCGAAGATGTTTTTCGAAATGTTCTCGTGCTTTTCGGGGCGAGGCAAAGTAGCACTGATATTCCGGTTTGAAAATGCAGAAGAGGCAGTGTCGATTGGTGAGCGATATGGGGCAATCTCGAGGTTCCGGTGATGAAGAAGGCTCCGTTTCTGCCCGATATTCTGCCCGATATGGCTCTTTTGGGAACGAGTTTTGGTCGTTGTTGGTGGCACACTCGGCTTGTTTCTCGGGTTTAGCCCTTTCAGACGGTACTTTCACAACACGTCCGAGTCCAATAAGTGCATTGACAAGATAGACTCTCTGTGCCATATCATCTTCCTCTGAAAGGTCATGCATGGAGATTTCCATTAATTCCGCCACCCGGCGACGCTCTTTCAAACGATGAACAATTTTCTCGGGTTCATACGCCTGCTTGTCAATATCCAAAAGTGACGGATCAAGCTGGCTATTTATCTCAAGGGTATCGATAGTGGCAAAGAATTCGCTGCGAGCTCCGTCGAAGATTTTTTCTTTAATTTTGCCTTTGTACACCGCAATGCAGCTTCCGTCTTGACTTTGAGTTCTCCAATCTTGCTGCCAGCAGCGTTTTTCAAAGATCCGTACATCTCTTTAGCTTCTCTGGTGAGGGTATCGCGCATTTCTTGGAGAGTAATTATTTCAGGGTGAGTTGACAAAGTAGCTTGCGTGGTGGCTGACAAATCTTCGTAATGAGAAGGAGCTCGAGGGTCGATATAGCGGCTTTGATGGCTAAGAATGTTCATTAACGCATCCTCCGAAGGTATCCCAAGAAATGCGGCTTGGACATGACACTGAACACGCTGGTTCATATATGTCTGAAAAGTACTGGCATATACATGTCCCATCACCTGCTGGAGCAGAGGAAGAGGCGCAGTTTCTGATCAAAACGCATGGCATGTCAGCTTGAACTATGATTGTTTGAAGTATGTTGTACTTACTTTCAACTGCCTCACCAGCACCACGCCGCGTCTCGTAAGGCTTCATAGCGCGAGGCTTTCCCACTGCCAAGCTCAACAGCTGGAGATAATACAAATATGTGTGGTATCTAAGGGGCTTCACATCATGGGTGCTCACGCCGCAAGAGGTTGATTCAGGCTGACGACAGATGGGCACATTGAGTTTTTCTTTGACAAACTTGAAATTCAAGGAACGACGTGGCGATTTCACACGAGTAGCATAAATGTCCTCGACTGAGCGGATGTTGCTCTCGAATGCTTCATCAAGGAAGGCCATAGCGACCACAAGCCCTACGATGTCGAAGAACGGCTGTTTCACTTCAGACATCAGAAATATTTTGCTTGAAATCCACGATCAGCTTGGTATAGAAAATACAGGGCACTTAATAGAAAAAGCTCACCTTTTTTCTTTTTATTATGGCCCTTGGTATGTCTGAGATCGACTTCCATGACGAGATGATCCCGGATACCACCAGGATTTGGTAGAAGCACCAAGCTTATCTGGCCGTAGCAAAGAGTCTTTAAATCTTCGTCTCTGAGATCCCACTCATCCATTGTGTCCTTTTCAATAGCATCAACATCATCCACACTTCCAAAGAAGTGCTCGGCGTTGGTCCGCTCGTTCTTTTCAACGTACACCAATGCCCCCGGCCGACTTGCGGTATAAGCCGAGACAAGCAACAGGAAAGCGAGCTGGATAATTTGCCGACCATCCGGATAAGGCGTAGTATCTTTCGTCCAAAGATGATGGATTACAATGTACAAATCGTCAACATTAAAAACAGGGTGTTCCCCAACAGATCTATCCAACTTGAAACGTTGAGCAAGATCATTGTTCATGTACTGTCATATGTGTGAGAGACCGAAACGAACACAAAGTAAGAAATACCCACATCATTGATATCCTGACAACTTTTCGCATGGAGGCTTCGCCCCGTTGCTTTGCGGTACAACTGGCACCACAGCCTCCAGTTCTCATGCAGACTGCTGAATTTCTGTATCCTTGAGTTATGCAACAACCACTCAAGAAAAATCATCACGTCTTCTTTCCTTGCTGCAACAAGGAACTGCAAAGGGTCTTTCTCGAGATATTCAGAATGCCTGGCTTGCGATGAGTCTAGTATCCCATCAATATAATGTATGGACAATTGCTTACTTGATCCACCTTCTCTTGAGGTACTCAATGTTGTTTTTCGTGGATACAGCATGTCGCTTTTGAACAATGCTTCTCTCCAGTTGTTGGCGACGTTGGAGATAATACTGGGGAGCGGGTACTATCTTTGGCTTAACGTATGAAGCGCGAGAGTCTGGAACAGACATGGCTTTAGGTAGCAATAAGCCTAGCAGATACCAGAGAATAGTGGCATGCTTCAGGAAACTGAATGGAAAGGAAGATGGTTGGTATGGGCGATAGTGAAAGCTTTCGGAAGAAGGCTGGATATATATAAAGCAGAAAAGACTGTTGCTGGCGAGTTGGACTGAGGAAAGGCCATGAGTTGACGGGGAAGTAGGGGGGACCATTTATATATTGGGAACCGGTCTTGTTGGCTCCGCAAGACAAATGTTTTAATCGTTTTTGTCTGGAGCGGCTACAGACGGAGTGGAGAATACTGAGCACGCACGTCATCACTGATCCTTTGCCCTGGGCATACTGAGCGAGGGGTGAGTTGATCACTGAGCAGCCCTGAGTGCTCACTGAGCACCGAGCACTGCTCAGTGATCAATAGTATATTTAAGTGCACGTGATGTTGTGATGACTAAGATTTTGGTAAAAAGGGAGCTTAAACCGGCGTCAAGTGTAGCCATTTTCGGCAGCCGATTTACCGTCAATTAGCGTTGTGCTGTAAAAATAAAACAGGATGCGACATCCCGTTTTTGTGGACATAGAATCATTTGGTTTTCTTTTTTTTCCTTTTTTGGGTTTTGTTTTGTTTCTTTCAAAAGAATAGAGCAGGATGCTGGATACCGCATTCTTGCCAGTGTGAGTAAAGCAAAATTGAATCATTTGCGTCTGAACCCATGGCTCAGTCTGCGTAGGCCCTCTCGCACACGAGAACGAGAAGGTCGAGACGCAGACTCTTGGGTTTGGCCTCCGCTGTGTGCGGATTTTTCTGTACTTGTCAACACAGGCAGTCCAGTTGTGTCAATGGTGAGCAAGCCTGGTGGACTCGACTGTGGAACCCGGGTGGTTTGTCTGCGGGACTTTTGCTCAGGAACGAATGCATTGCGCCGCTCTTGACGGGAGCGCCGAACGGGGCCAAGGATACTTGCATGCATCTCAGGTGTCCATTCTGCCTGGGCTAAGGAAGCTTCTTCATCATGGCCCAGAAGTACTTCCATAGAATGGAGTGAGGGCGACTGATTGGAATTGAGTGACGTTCTGCTTGGTGAAAATGGTGGCAGCAATTGACGTTGTGGAGTAGCAATTGGAGAACTTCTGACCGCGCATTGAGAGGAGGATGGGCTCAACTGATAAGGAGGGGGGATGGCAATCCTTGAACAATATTGTCAGTTGGCGAATGGTTCATTGGGAATAAGTAACCGTTTGATTCACCCTCAGAGCATGGGATTGAACGCCAAGAAGGTGTCCGAGGGATGTCACGCATGCTACCCGTTGGTGAATGGGGCCGAATATGACAAGGAGGAGTTATACGAGTGACAGTAGTCACGGCAGTGGATGGAGATCCTCCAAGGGCACCTTGAGAAGCACGTCGCTGCGTACACATACGTCGTTCCTCTAACTCATCATCGTTGAGATCGCTCAGACTCTGACCGTAACGAGGGTAGAATCGAGGCTCATATGGCGTGAGAATCGGGCGGCGAGGAGGGGTCACTGGGGTCTGATCAACGGGAGCTGGAATGACTGAAGCTTCAGCAGCTGGACCTGGAACAATAGGAAGACCCTTGGGGAGCAGACCATCGTATTTCCACTTTTCAATCAAATCAGCCTGCAGAGCTGGATGAACCCATTTATTTATCAAGTCAATCCCCCGAGACGGATTAGCCATGGACAAGTCTGTCTTGGTCGGTGTCTGAGATGATTCGATAGTTTGAGGTGGCTCAGGCTTATGGAAACCGAAATCAAACTGAGTGATATCGACACATGGAGTAGGTGTCCCTGGGCGCAGTGTTGGTGCATCGAACTGACCATTTCGGTCCCATACCGTGTAGCCCTGGCCGATAGGAACATTGCGGTGCAGCCAGAGTCCGTTTGATTCGGTCGGCGGGTTATCTGAAATGTTCTGTGAGGATTGGGCGAAGTAAGCCGGACGGCCAAGAGGCGCTGATGCGAGCCATGTTAATGGTGAAGTAGGTTGAAGGTTGTAAGGGTTCATTGGCGACGTAGGGCTAAGACTTTTATCTCGGGTCGCAATCGGACTATGGAAAGGGCTCTCCTCATGGTCAGCCGAGTTGGTTGTGTGGCCATGCTTGAGCAAAGGACGAGAAGGGCTTCTCTCAGCAGGTTTGACGCCAGGGTATCGAGATGAGAAGTTTCTCTGGGATGGATCTCTCGGTTGGGGATATGATAAGATGTCAGACATCCCAATTAGAGGAACTTGCGTTTGCAAGCGAAGAATGCGTTCTTCCTGCATCTTTCTCATGTGCAACTGCAAATGTGGGGGAAGCGCTGATAGTGCTCTTTCGTTCAAAGGATAAATCACTTCCTCTTCTCCGGAAAGGGTAGAGGACAAAGATGTGGTGGAAGGTGTGGCCAGATACCGACGGCGACGTTCTGGGGAATCTCTGTTCTCCAGATTACTGCCTTGAGGAGTGAGTTCAGAAGGGACTTGGCTTTGGAATTGGTAAGATCTCCGATCTCTGACATCGATTTCGGCTGCACCTCTCGCTTGCTCATTCGCCAAATCAACCATGAGAGGTACGAGAGAGGGATCTGGTTCAGTAGAATCAGGAAGAGACAATTGTGCACAAAGGCGAGGAGGTACCATGATAAACAGAATCACAGGAAGATAAGAAAGGATGAGGACGCGAATGAAGAGTAGAAGACGCGTACAGGAATAACAGCAGTACGCGCTAGATGAGAACAAGTATTTGATTCATATTGTACATGGGGGTAGTTACAAGTTCGTTCCTGCCATATGGGCAGGTTTCCTCGCCTCAGGGCTCTTGGGCCTTGGATTTATTAATATTCCCGACTCTCTCCAATCTCACACACATCGAAGACGCCGGTCTCGGGAATATTGTGACGCTTAAGTGCGTCCTTCAACTTCCTCGGGGGCTCAAGGACATCTTCTTCGGTAAGAACCCACGTTCCCCAATGCATAGCCAAGGCATTCTTGCATTTGGTATCCTTGAACATTCGCACGGCATCATGAGGATCAGCATGCGCAGCGCTAAAGATATGGCGAGGAGCGTAGGCTCCGATGGGAATGAGACCTAGATCAAATGGACCTCGGAATTCACCAACCTGCTTGAAAGCAGGGCAGATAGGAAAATTATACTTGGGGTCCCAATCATCTTCTCCCTTAGGTATTTCGTCCACCGCGCGGTAACCGGAATCTCTATACAAAGGGTTAGACAGTAGCCACGTGACAGTCACTGCCCTATTTGGATTTTGACTTACCCAGCGAAATACACCTTACTACCACCGGACTCAATAGCCCATGATGCCCACAGAGTCTTGCATTTGTCGAATGGGCCACGAGCCGTGATGTGTTGGCAAGGCATGCAACTGATACGCGCTTTGATATCAGCCGCCATTGAAGCCTTTCCTAACGGCTCAACCTCCGTCGCCTTTTCCTCCGCTGGAGACATTGCAATATCTCGCTCATCCCACCAATCCAACTCTGTTACATTGTAGATTTTGGAGTCATGGAACCACGATTTGTTTCCGAGGGGCGCGAAGAAATGGCAATTGGGATGTTGCTTGGCGATTTTACTGACGGTAGGGTAGGACAGATGATCATAATGGTTGTGGGAGATGACGACAGCATCAATGACAGGGATATCCTCGATCTTGCATGGGGGCTCGGTATAGCGCTTCGGGCCGAAGGAATATGGCCCACAGCGACCGTCAAATACAGGATCAAACAGAACACGGAGCCCGCTTGGGAACTCAACGTAGTAGCATGCATGTCCAAGCCAGGTTGCCCGAAGCTTGGGTGTCTCTCGACTAGGAAGGAATTCGGGCTTGCGGGTAGCTGGAGGTGTCATGTCGGGCGCATTCGCTTCGCCTTTCAATCGTCGAGAGCTAGAGCTTTAAATTAGATCTAATTTGATTGGAGCTATTGTTATTTTCCTCACAGTAGCATTCCCATGATATCCTTGGGGCTGTGATCGCGATAGGACCTGCCGTCCAAAGTTTCTGGTTAGTGCTCTGGTGCGAACTGCAGGAGACTGACTGCAGGAGGCTTATACATACTCCCATGGGTTTCTGAACCCAGACTTCGTATGATGAGTCTTCTCCAATACGTCTTCAGGCCCAGGTCGCGCCGGGGAGCTGGAAACGGTCAGTGCATACAGCACTGTCGCAGCAGTTGGGGTAGTCATCTTGCGTAATGTCGAGTGAGGAGCGCGTTGGTATGGAGCGCGCCGACTGAATGGCGAATGCTGGAAAAGAAATCGCATGGGCTGCAACCTCATTTTAAACATCCACCTGGCCCAAAGAACAAGAAGGCATCAGCTTACGCAGGGAGAGAAGAAGGGGGAGTCCAAGCAAAAAAAAGCCGCTTCTATCCCCGATAACTCCGACTCGGGGTATTTGGGCCCCGACGGGCCCATGTGAATACCGGACCGATCATCGACATGGGATACGAGGGCGCCACCCAAGATAAATCATGGAGATAATCTGGAATACGAGAAGCCTTGTGCGGAGTACAATCTTTGTACACTCCAAGTGCTGCAAGTGCTGTCATGTGTTCACGACATGTCGGGCGGTCGGCCCGTTGTAACTCCGATAGTCCTCCTTATCGATAATTCCTGCCACTTGCGACTTTCGCACCAACTACTGGCATGGAGCCAAATGGAGTTTCCAGTCCTGCGCCTGCGCCTGCGCCTTCTGCAGGCGACTTGATTCTCCAGCAGAGAACCGAGGCGCTGCAGTCCGCGCAGAAAGGCGATGGGAGCCTGTTGTCACAGCTGACGAGCAATCCCTTGTTCACCGCGGTAGGTGATAAATTGCTCGCTGATTGAAGTTGACTTACTGACATACGGTCGCTGTTAGGGTTTCGGACTCGCTGGCTTAGGAGCTGGACTGACCTTCGCGCAAAAAGGTGTCCGACATGGCGCCGCACTTCTCCGCCGCCGGATGCTGGTGGACGTCGAGATCAGCATCAAGGATGATTCCTACCCATGGTTTTTACATTGGATGACCCTCTATCAGCAGTCACAGCTCAATGCAGGCAAGGCTGCAGCGAATAGCACCGGTTACATGGACCGCTTCCTACAAAAAATCACCCCCGGCATGCGCCACCTCTCCATACAAACGCAAAAAGTCGAGCACTCCAACGGAGCTATCCACACACATTTCTCACTAGTTCCGGGGCCGGGGAAACATGTTCTTCGATACAAAAACGCATTTGTGTTTGTCAATCGTATGCGCGAGTCGAAGTCGCGTGATATTCAAACCGGAAAGCCCTGGGAAACAATCACCCTTACCACCCTCTACTCTCAACGCCACATCTTCGAGGACCTCTTCACCGAAGCCCACGCATACGCCGCCAAGTCACATGAAGGCAAGACCACCATTTATAACAGCTGGGGAACGGAGTGGCGGCCATTTGGAAACCCTCGTCGGAAGCGTCCTCTGGAATCTGTTGTCCTCCAAGAAGGAGTCAAGGAACGGATCGTGGAGGACGTAGAAGACTTCATCTCGAGTTCATCGTGGTATCACGATCGTGGTATTCCATACCGACGAGGATATCTTCTATATGGTCCCCCGGGTACGGGCAAGAGTTCATTTATCCAGGCACTGGCGGGCGAGTTGGACTACGACATTGCCATTCTGAACTTGAGTGAGCGCGGTTTGACTGACGACCGGTTGAACCACCTCCTCACTATTGTTCCGAACCGGACCCTTGTTCTTTTGGAAGATGTGGATGCCGCATTCTCGAACAGACGCACGCAGAGCGATGCAGATGGCTACCGCGGAGCCAATGTCACTTTCTCAGGATTGCTTAATGCACTGGACGGTGTCGCGAGTGCAGAGGAGCGCATCATTTTCCTCACTACCAACCACGTTGAACGATTAGATGAAGCTTTGGTCCGTCCCGGCCGTGTCGATATGACTGTTCGCTTGGGCGAGGTGACTCGCTACCAGGTTGGCTGCCTCTGGAATCGATTCTACGAGGAGCTCGATACCGATGGGGCTTACCGCAAGATGTTCCTGGACCGGCTCCAGGAACTTGGTCTGATTGAAGATGAGGCTGGTCACAAGGCCGACCGGTCCTTGAATACCAGTGCTGCTGCCCTCCAAGGCTTGTTCTTGTACAACAAGGGCAACATGGAGGGTGCGATCGCCATGGCGGAGGGACTCACCTACACCGTTCATACTGAGGCAGTGGGCCACGACCAAGGAAAAAGCGACTAAATGTACACTATCATGTAAATAAGATCAAATGTATAGATATCCAGTGCACCCAAGCATTAACTGGGATTCAAACTCCCGCAAATCAAAACGTCGGGATCACCTGGGGTAAATCTCGGGGATTTTCCATGATCGGCCCACCATGATTTCTCTCATTTTCTCTCACCGACTGACTAAATACGAGTCGCAGCTATTTAACGTCAGAGCCCTGTGCCCCTCAATTCCCATTCACCCCACATCAACATACTGCATCATGGTTTACACTATTGTCGTCCGTACGTGCCATCCGTATACTTCCAACATCTTCACTGCTAACCATCTTAGACCTCCGCGCTAAGGCCGATGAGGAGTCCATCTCCAAGCTCAAGGCCAAGCTTGTCGAGGCCTCCAACGTTTACTCTAACGACAAGGAGACCATTTCGTGGTTCGTCATGCAGTCCGTCTTCGACAAGCAGGACTTCACCATTGTCGAGCGTTACGAGAAGGAGTCTTCCCAGGAGTACCACCTCAACAACCCTTACTGGAAGACCTTCGACCCCTACGTTATTCCTCTGCTCGAGAAGGATATGGATATGCACCGCTTGGAAGAGTTGGAGGGCTCTACCATGTAACTCAATTTTGTGACAATGGAGAGAACATAAATAAAAATCGCATTTCACATACTACTCGGATACCAGGGTTCCTTTTTGCGACTCCAAAGATTGTTCATGAAAAAATGAACATGAAGAATTGAAGATGGACACCGGCTATTGGATCGTGGTTGGCCGATCGTCATATTGGTTGCGCCAATAAGTATGTTTTTCATAGTCGCAACCTTGGTTCTTAAGCGCCTCTACAGAGTCTATCCAAGATGCGAAGTTGGACGTCATATCTCACTTTTGTATACTCCAAATTCACTAGATTCGACATGCAGGGTTTAGTGAGCTTACTCCCCGACTTCTTCACAGCGAAAATAACCAGCCAATCTGATGGCAGGCTTGCGGTAATTATAGATTCTCCAAGGCCCGAACACCAATCAACTGTCAGGGTCGAAGCGCCGCTACTGCAGAACGAGGTGCCTATCCCAGGCCCACGGCCAATCACACCCATAATGAGTTAAGCGCCCACTGTACAAGCAGGGTGGTCACATAGCTCAGCAAGCCATGTTCTCTGTTTGGTTTGTCGAGATGAGCACTTTTCGGTGAAGATGGGGCTATATCTCACTCGTATTCCCTGCATTCGCGCTCTGTACTTCCTTTCCATGGTGTCATACCTCTGCATTTGATCCTTCTTAACCGGCACAATGAGTGCTAAAACGAACCAATTTCAACTATTCCCGCCTCCTACGGCTGAGGCCAAGAGGTCTAATAATCCGTTTCGAAAGCCCGGGAAGAAACCAGCTCTCAAGGCTGAGCCAGGCTCTCCAATCCCTCTTGAAGAGATCAAAGACCCAGCGAAAACCGAGTCTCTACTGCTTCAGATAATCGAAGATACTCAAACAATTCCACCTCCACCACCTGGAAATCCCGAAAGATCCAGATCACCGCCTTCATTGACGAAGGCCGCCCATGATTCAATGTCCCCTCAGTCCATGCACAGTCAGAACCATCAAGCTAAGAAATCAAATCAACAAGCTGTGGCCTCACACAATAGCCATAGCAGTAGCAGTAGTAGCTATACTGCGGCATCCACTGTCTCTCCACAATCATCGAAGTCTTCAGCTTCACCTATTCCTATGAGATCAATGTTCCCTCAATTTGATCCGAGTTTGCCTGTCAACCAGCAGTCGTATCAACAGCAGACGCCGAATAATCCACAGCTCACCAAGTCCACTCGCAAACCTCCCAAGCTTACGCTCACCACAAGTAACCATATTGACCATGTTCTTGCGCCAAAAACTGTGCCGGCGAGTGTCCTTAATTTCCCGACTGGTTCTTGGGAGCCAGAAGAAGTTAAATACTCCTCCAATGAGGAACTGATGCTGCTGTGGGAAACTGCCAATGGGCAAAGGCCTGAGAATCTTGTCGGCACGTTGAATCTGCGGATGACAAAGTAAATTCTCTCATTCTATATTGTCGCAGAGGTGCTAACTTCTCTCAAGGACCGGGCCTGCTACGTTCACACTCGGCAATTCCCAAAAGCCATTCTATACACTGCAGACATATTCCACCGACGAACTTTCCCTCAGTAGAGGTGACCCATCAAGACCAAACAATGACGTCCCTATCATGATGATGAGCTTGGAAGATCGCATCCGCCGCGAACACCCCAACGACGGCCTCGTCACACTGTTGTTCTCGAGACTAGCTGCCATGCTAGCTATTGACCAAGCAGAAGAGATCAGCAAACAACATCATCTAACTCCTGCTGAGGCATCCGAAATTGAAACCGATGCTTTAAAACGAGCCGCAGCGCAAGAATCCTGCCGACTCTCCTGGAACCGCCATCAACGTCTCTACGAATTGAGACACCCCTCCCTATCAAGACGTCAACCACCCGCTCTGGTCGGCGCAGCTGGTATCCCACTGTCCCCAGTGCGCTCCCAGTCCTCGGGAATGGTCCACATAACAGTCTCAGCACCATCGAGCGATAGCTCACTTCACCAGCCACCGACAATCATAGTGACGGGACCGGTATCATCTACAGCAATGGAAGCAGCACAGCAAGCTGCAAACCCTAGAACATCCACGCTCCCAGTAACAGATCTCGACGAACCTCTCGCATCATTGGACTTCGGCACCAAAACACTTTCTATCTGCCCGGCAGCCGTGCTAGCAACTATCCCATCCCTCTACGCAATCGACTCCCTCGTCGCAGCCATTTTCGCAGTCGCTGTCTCAGACGAAGCCACGAACCCCATCCTGGCAGATATGGTCCTCGGCTCGCCTCAACCACCACGACCGACTACATCCCACACTGCCACGGCCCATTCCATGCCTGTCTTCCAAGGTAAACTGGTTACAACAATTGCAGAGCGCGAGGACGCAGCTGAGAGTATGTTCCTCGCATCGCAGATCAAATCTGCACAGAAAAAGTCCAAAGATTCTTCCGACAGGAAAGGGTCCTTCGCATTTTGGAATAAATCTTCTCCTAAGGCGAAACCGCAGGACGGCGGTCATGGCAAGAAGAATCAGAATCAGCAGATTGTTGTTGAGGATTTCGATCTTGAGAAGTATGGTCGATATGGAGGTGGGACGCGCGAGGGGAAGAAATTGCCTGGGATTACGCGTGGTATACTTCGAATCTTGTTCTTTGGTCTTGATCTTATTGTTAAGGGGTTGACGCTTATTGTTAAGATATTGGCCTGGTTGTTGGTTAATGCGACGCGGTGCGTTACTAGTGAGAAGTTTTGAGCTGGGCTTGGACTAATATTTTTGTTTGTTCTTCTTGTCGTTTTCGCCTTACAGGTTGGTTTCTTTGGTATGTTGGTAGCGATGAGATGTTTCAAGACGATGGTTATACCCAATTTGATATTATTCTTTTTACGATAACATTCTTGAATGAAATGTGCGGTCATGTTATGCATCCTAAGCCTTGATCATAGGTTCTCATACTGGCAATTTGGGCAACACTTCCACCCACAACTAACGCAGGTGTCGCTGACTGCCGCATTGTGAGGACCAAAATTGCAGTTGCAACAATACCACAAAGTCGGGCCTCCCGAATCTAGAGCTCTTGAGATCAAGGACGCCTTGGGGCATGGTGAAAGCCTATCATTGCCACTGTCAACATACTCGTGTTATATTTTCACGTAATAGTTCTGGGACATTGTTAACACCTACCGGGGGCCAAGTTTTCAGCTACTACCTGAGCCTCGGACGTATTTTCCAAGGCTCCCACGTAGTCAAATCGCTTGATATCATCCATCGCTTCCGAGCACTGAGGAATGGGAACTCCAGTGCCATCCATGAATAGTTTAACCGTTTGCTAGAGACTTCAGGACTGGTGGCTGTTGGAGTCTCTTTCTGGGTGGGAATGGGATATCCGCGATTATTTTGGCCGAAGGAATCTTCTGTCTTTCTAATGGCGGTATCAAATTGGGTTGACTTCGTTGAATCACGCGCTTGAAATTTCTGGCCAGTCAATCCCTGCCACGTGCGGTTAGGTGCAGACCAAAACGCACTGCGGTGCCCTCCTATACAACTCACGTCAGCTACCACCATTGGAAGTACCATGCTCCCATCATGAATGGTTTTTACGTAGAGGGAGTAGTGCTAAGTGCAATCCCCTTCATAATCTCGGCCATCGAGAAGTACAAAGCGACCAGTCGGAAACCGAAATACTACTGACAGAAGATAACGCCATGGCTTGACTTGCTTTTGCCCAGTGAGATAATGTATCTGGCTCCAGAGGGTCCTCGAAGGCCCACTGGCTTGCTTCAGCCTTTGATCAGGCAAAGGTTTATGGCAAATTCCACTAAAAACCAACATAATAATGTCCGGCGGATAATGTTAGAGCTGGGTATACTCCACTCGAATTATGGCAAGAACGAACATTGGTCTCTTTTGCTGCCGAGATTCCAATGTCACTCTCCTATACTTTTGGATCTCGGTATGACGCTGCATGTAAATGGGTGGACAGAAGTATAGATCACATCATGCACTTTACTACGATATGATGAAGAGGTGCGTGGAATGTAAATTTGCTATTAGCCCTAGGACCTCTGCAGATTTTGACTGCAATGATGTGGTCTTTCACATGTCCGCATCTGAATATGTTTTGCAGCCTCTATGGGAAGAGTGCCGATGGATCTGAGAACTTTTAACGCGGGGTTCAATTCCACAACTCTAGGATGATTGCAATATCGGTCTGTCTAAATTCTACAATTAACGGAACGGCCGTACAGTCGCGCCTGAAATTGCCGCCCCTATCCTGTGCAGATAGAGCTGCTTTTAAACCTTAGGTCAATTCGAACCCCTGTTCCAATATCCTGTGATATGGTGATAAACGCACCCAGAGACCTCCAATAGAGGGCGACGCGATAGCACTACGGACCCTGGAGGATAGTGGACTTGTTGACAGATCCTTGGCAAAGTGGATGCTACCGCGTCGCAATACGAGGCGCTCTCTTCTCGTAAGACTCAAAGTCGCAGACCTTACTAGCCTTCCACAAAAGCACCATTTCCGTTATGCATAGTTTCCGGGTATTTACGAGATGGAGAGGCATTACGCCGGCCGAGTCATCTCAAGGGGAGATCAAGCGAGAGCACACCCAGCAGGAATCGGCACTTACATCAGTCTCAATTGAAGTGCCATCACGCGGGAAGCTTCCAACTCAAAAGCAAGTCTGGACCAGCGGCTCATCTATGACGGGCATATTCGAAATGAACAATTCCAACAAAACAGTCTTTGACGCAGTCGTGGCACCAATCCTCCCGCAAGTCCTACAAGGGAAGTCTTGCAATGTCTTTGCGTACGGCCATTCCGGAAGTGGCAAGACTCATACCATCGTTGGATACGAATATGAAGCAACAAGTGATCTTGGGCTCTGTCTAGCCACAGCTCGTCAACTTGTCGAGGCCCTCAATCGCCTGAACGAACAGAATGTATGCGATCCACTAGGCGTTGGGGTCCGTATATATGAACTGCGAAGAAACAATGCATACGATCTTTTGAATAATCGGGGTGAATGCTTCGTCCGAGAAGGCTCTGATGGCCAAGTCTATATCCGGGGCAAGACGGAGATGCTCGAGAACGGAAAAGTGCGAGTGAAACCTATTGTGACCAAAGCATGCTGGAGTTTTGAAGATCTTTCTAGAGAACTCCAAGAAGGGCTCAAACTTCGCGCTACGGGAATGTCGTCTGTGCATGATCAAAGCTCCAGAACTCATGCAGTCATCGAGCTTGAGATTGTTACCAAGACGTTGCTTGAGGCGCGTGACGCTGTGATTGAGCGAGAGTCTGAGCTGGTTCCTGTGGGCAAACATGCGACTGATGTTTATATTGAGGAGCAGAGCAAGGCTATCATACGAAACCCCGACGGTGGATATGCTACAAATCCCGACTATCAACTGGACCAAGTGCGAATCGATACTGCAGAAGCTAGGAAAGCAGAGTTTGAAGCATTGGTCGATTTGGCAAAAGAAAATGAGTCTCAAGTCTTTGGTACTACAGCTCGCAAGCATGCATGTCTAGGAGGAAAGCTCGTTTTCGTGGACCTGGCTGGATCCGAGTACTACAATGACAAGAGCGGACTGAAAATGAATCAGAGCGCACATGAGAAGCAGATAGGAAGGCACATCAACACGGATCTGCTAGCTCTCAAGGAAGTCATACGAGCCCGGGCTCAAGGCTCAGCCCGAATTCCTTTCCGATCATCGCCTCTTACCATGGTGCTGCGCCCACATTTTCAAACATCTGAGGATTCTCACTCTGCTATGATTTTGACGGTCTCGCCTTCGTCTAGTGATTTTGCAGCGACTATGAATACACTCAAATATGGAAATCTGGTCGGAGCCGCGGGAAATGCTAAATAGACATGGGCATCTTTCATCATGTCACTGTCCAAATACCACCGAAAAATCCCAAATCCTCATAAGAGCTTGCTTCCTATTTACATACGACTAGTAATCCCAGTTTGTGACAATAGCCTGATCTATACAGAGGGTACGCGGAAGAGTAATGCAAGACGAGATATAACTGTTCAAAGGTGACAGACTGCTCTTTGTTAGTCATGACAGGCTTTCAAATGCCAAATACCTAGGATGTAGAGCCATAGTCAAGCTATGGGTATTTGGTACGAATGCCTGCAAAATCTGAATTGGTTTGATCAAGATCATGCACATACCATGGCGTCGAAAATTGACCGACCACAGTCGGGTTCCCAATTGAGGGTTCTAGGATGAACATCCTCCTTAAGTGCCTGTTGATCATTCCCCGCTGTACCGTCACAGGTGCAACATCGCCACACCACAAAGATGCATTGACATTTCATGTGGCATTTTTACAGTGTCACGAATTCAATTCCCAGAATAAAAATAGATAGATTCGAGTTGAATGCCTCGAAGTCACCGGTTCTACTAGATATCATCACGTGCGGGTCGATGCACGAGTATGGAACAGCCCTAATCCACGCCCATAATGAGGACAAACTATGCCTTCTCCTTCAATCCAAAAGAGAAAGGCATACCTTGGTCCTACAATAGAGCAGTGACGATCAAAATAAAACTCAATGGAACAGGCCCTTCGTCTCTTGAGTTCAACATTCCTCGGAGTTCAAGGGCTCTAGGGATGAGAAGGGAAGCGCCACAGGGACATGGCAACTGGCACATTCCTGTGTCATTCCAAGACAACAACAAGGGTGCTTGTATACGTATCAACCTGTGAGAATCAGTCCAAAATGCCACGTAAAGCTTATCCTCTCAGAATAGACACCGTACCTATATCAGGTATAATCCACCACGAGAATGCCTGAACGTCATCACCTTCATTCGCGCCCACCATTAAGGGATCAAGGGGTGCCATTCACAACCAATTGTTTACCCTTTCTTTTAGTGTCATAGAATCTACATTGTATTTAAATTATCGACCATTTCTCGAGCCCGGCCCGTCCGTTCTATTCTCTTCTTACCTACCTTCATTGTCCGATACTAGACTATACTGCTAGTAACCCCCTTCCCCAAAACCCCGTAATATCAATAACCACATCCGCAATGCGTCACTTCATCGCCGCTTCAGTCATCATCGGCGCCGCAGTCGCCCAGACCGCAAAGGACATCATTGCGTGTGCCGTAAGTACACCCCAAAAAAACCGAACTATACCGCAAACCCTAACCCCAAAGCCAGGAAGCCGCCATCAGCAACGGCGACACATACTCATTCTCAAACTGCGACGGCAAGTCTGCCCAAGACTGCTTCTGCAGCAACAGCGACGCCATCTCAAGCCTGAGCCCCTCCACCGCAAGCGCCTGCTCAGGCATCGACATAAACACCCTAATTGACAGTCTCTGCCCCTCAAACTCAACCTCAACTTCAACTGCAGCCTCACGCGAGACCCACACCACCCCCTTCCGCCACGCCAGCAAGCCAATGGAGCGCGTGCAGGCCCCGAATGCACACATGAACATGAACATGGAGCGCGCCTACGCACCCGCCGAGCCCGCCGTCCCACGCGTCGTCTACGTGACCGAGACGCGCACCGACTGCAGCTGCAAGACCACGCCCGCTTCCATGGCTCATGTCTCGCAGATCCCAGTCAATGTGCCGGCTAGCTCTAGCATGTCTGGTATGATCGCTGCGTCGTCAGCTGCTCCCTCTGCTTCTTACTCGCATGGTATGATGGTTAATGCTGCTTCTTCGTCTGTTGTCTTTGGATCGCAGGCTTCGGCTGCTACGCCTTCGCCATCTGGTGTTGATGCCAACCGTTTCAGCTCTTTCCAGGGGGCTGGTGCTAAGAGTGTTTCCGTGCATGGTGGTGTTGCTGCTCTTGGTGTTGCTGCTGTTATGGCTCTTATGGCTGCCTTGTAAGGTGGTTGTTGATGTTTAGGGCGTTAAAAGGGTTTCGTTCGGAATGTGGTTCTTGTTTTCTTTTTGGTGTTAATGCGTCTTATGGGAGTTTATATTGGAGCCTTTTGGTGATATTCAGATTAGTTTGCTTTCAGATTGAGTGGTAATGATAAATGAAACATGTCTGGTTAACTGTTGCAATGTTGGGAAGCTGAGTACTGAGTACCTTTGGTGTATACCTAGTCTAGTTTACACCATGCAACACATCTCTCCTCCCTTTGGTCCATTTTCTGGTGCTGAGAGACAATGTGGGATGTGCTATCCCAGTACTTGAACTACCTGTCCAGAGATCCAAGATGCTTCACTGTATGTCGTGTTCCATTGTCCATTAATTAAGCTGTACTTCCATTCAATGCTCGTGAGTCATGATATGACTATAGCCAGTGACCCTTGAAAGTAAAAACATGCATACTACTACCCTGTCAATCCATACACCGAGGCAATGATCTACCACTCATGCGTGGACCGCCTGCTGGACCCGAGGATAAAGCTCAACGAGCTTGTAGTAGATCTCCGGGTGGTCATTAATCATAACCTGTGGATCCCAGCCCATAGCCACAAAGATAGTCTCGACACCACTACCAATAGGCGTCATGAAGACCTGACAGATCTGCAAACCAATCAAGAAAGCAAAAGCCATGATGACAGCAGTGAAGTTGCCATCATTGTTGTACGCGGGTTTGGTGAACTGCAGATAAAGATAAGCCAGCAGAGCGCAGACATAAGCGACGAAGGTCGAGCCCATGGTCAACACCGGGCCCATTAGGCAATCCTGCACAAGGGCGTCAATGCCCCGATCGCGCATCATGGTCCAGGTATCCTTCGCAGCGGGGATATACGCCTTGCCGTACAATGCGATGTGGCAGAAGGCGTAGCGATTGAACAGCGTCACAAGCCAGTCAAGTAGCGAGATGAAGCATCCCAATACCCACATAGCGATGCTGCCAATTAGGTTGCCCTGCGCGGCTTCGTGTCGCTGAGCAATCGAACATGCCTGGCGCAGCATCTGGATGAATGCAATGATCAGACTGCCCAAACTGATACTGCCAAAGGAGTAAGTCGTCGCACGTCGGAACGCGCCACGGGTCGAGCCCTTGGGCATACCGCCGGCAGACTTGCTCCAGAAGTACCATGATCCATACACACCAGCGATAGTCGTGTGCACGGTATTCTTGATCCACTCGCTAAACCAGTACATGGCAAAAGTCACATACACAACCAAACCAATGACCTTAGCTCTGCTGCACCCGCCATTTGCACATGAAGGATTGGTACCAGAGGAATCAGGCTCATATGCGACATAGATCGAGACAAGAGTCACAGAGAACCAGGCCGAGAATGCGACAGTGACAATTCCACCCAGCGCACTCACGAGGAAAATGTGACCGTATCCACGTGCCACGTCCATGGCGGTTTGCAACATGAATGCGGTAAAGGGGATGCGCGGGATCCAGCTGATGAAACAGATGATCGCGAAGACGCCGAATAGCAGAAAGACGATTCCGCCTCCATACTGCTTACGCGCGATATAGTAAATACCTGTCGCGAGTGCGAAAACGATGTTGAGAATGCCAGTCGCCCAGATGAAGGTTTTGGTGAAGTATCTCGCGCCCATAAAGTACAGCCAGGATAAGACAAGGGCAACAACGAGGACAAAAATGAAGAGGACGAGTGTATTGGTGTTAAGCGAGAAATCATTGGTCGCGTCGTAAATGCCTCCTCCGCTGAAGCCTTTGTTAGTTGCATACTTGTGGATGGTGAGTCCGGATACGGCGGCGTATCCCAGGAAGACTGCGATCAGCTGTAGAGGTATTAGTTCTGCGGTGATATGAGCTTGCAGCGCTGCGATTGCGACAATCATACCAAGATACCAGCCCACAGATCGTTCCATTTGGGCTTCTCGACCTTGAATGCCTCATCAAAACTGTATCCAGACTCTGGCATATTCTGCTGGTACGGCGGGGGAGGTTTGGGCTCAGCTGCAGGCTGCTGATATCCCGCAGGCTGCTGATATCCCGCAGGCTGCTGGTACTCAGGCTGCTGATACTGAGGCTGCTGGTATTTCCCATTGTTCTGTCCGTTGTAGTTGTATCCGGGTTGAGGCTGGCCCTGACCGAAGCCTTCGCCGGTGTAATAACTAGCAGCCTGTCCACTCATATCTGCATGCTGTAGATAAATACCAAGGGAGAAAACTATGAAAATACTGCGCAGAAGAGAAAACAAAAATTAGGGGAAGCAAGGAGGTGATTCGAATCATGACGCCATGGAATTGGGAACAAGAACGGCGATCGCCAATGATCAGCCCTGTAGGGTTTGCGATCGATAGTCCCAATGAAACCTCAATTTTTAGCTGTGCCAAGTTGCCAAGTTTGTTGCCTGCTTGGCAGTCTTTGTTTTTAGTTATGTACAAGAATTGTTGGCCTTTCAAATAGAACTCTTTTTCCTTCCAAATGTTCGCCATGAAGCGCCCAGAATGCAACTCCAACGAAATGGGCCATCACTCGACCCATGATTATGATTACAGAAATTAATGAGATAGACCGAGAGGGCAATGGTCCGCTCATCGGAATGTGTGCTGTTTCAGGTGCCGCCAGGAACCTACGACCCGGTGCTCAATGCCTGGGATTGGGGTGCGCGCTCGGCCAGTGAAGTCGTCCGTGGAGGGATGCAGATGGCCTTTAGCGAAGGCGACCGATCGTCGCAGCTTCTCTTGGCGGACGGCAGTCCGGCGTTGAGCGCGTAACTCCTCAATGCGGCCTTGACCAACTCGGTGCCGGCGAATAAAGCACTCGTCCATTAGCGTATTGGCATCCAGCAGTTTCTTAGGGACGGTCTGCACGACCTGGAATGCCTCCATGGGATCCGTTACGCTCAGAATATCGCGCTCGCAGGCTTTGAAGATGGCCAAGGAGACGCGGAAAAAGGTCTTCGAGCCCTCGTAGAAGAACGCGTCCCAAACTCGGAGTGTAGTCTCCAGGGGCAGAGTCCCAATGAAGACCGACATAAGCCAGTTGGTCAGTCCGAGGGTAATGTCCGGCAGGCGAGAATTCACAGTCAGAGGAGGCATCTTGCCCCGTCCTGACGGGGTACCTCCCATTGCGGCGATCTTGGAATAAATGCCCGGCATAGAATCCCTGAGCAGGACCATGAGAATCCAGAGGTCAATGTTCGCGCCTTCCAGACTAATCTCGTGGGTACCAGGCAAGTAGTCTGAAGCGATGATGTGAAGCATCCAGAATGCTTTTTCTTCGGGCAGGAATAGCAGAAGCATCCCCGTGATAAAATTAAGAGACTGGGTGTATCCGATTTTGGAATTATGCAGCGCAAAGGCATACAGGACGCGGCGCAGCGACTGGATCATTTGTGTCTCCGTGGTGACATTAGAGTAATTGGGGTTACTGCTCCCCGAGTTCTCTGTTTGTTCAGGCATCTCTGGCTTGAAGTGAAGATTGTCGGGGAATGTGCGGTGGAGATCACGCTCAATGTGCTCCTTGTCGTCATTGCTCGGCGATTTCATCGCACTCTCCACCAGTTGATCGTAGTGGCCCAGGTTTCGGTTCAAAAGCTCGTACCCGCCGGCATAAAAGAACCAAGCCGCACCTCGGAATTCGGGGGGAATTCCTTTGCGCACAAATCGCTTCACCTTGGAAGACTGCGGTGGGAAAGTGGTTGGGTCTACCGTGGGCAGCCCATGCTCCTTGAGCATCTCAATCCATTTTAATCTCCGATGTTCCACATGGTTTGAATAAGGACCTTTCCAGGCCTCGTGCTCATCCAAGGTCACGTATTGAGTCGCTTTCCGGAAACCGTATTCGTCTCGAGGGCCGACCCCAGGTAAGAACCGCGGAGGCACTAATCCTGGAATGAACACCTTTGAGGGCTGCCGTTGATGTGCGGGTGGAGCTTCAGCTACCGGAGATTCAGGCTGAGTAAGATCTGATGTCGGGCACTCTGGTGTTATGGGATCCAATAACGAAGGTTCCGCTGAGGATTCCAATAGTGCGGGTTCAAGTGGTGTAAAGTCTGGTGGAGATTCTGGAAGTATAGGTTGTAAAGGTGTCGGTTCCGAGTATGTTAAATTGGGCAAGAACGTCAAATCTTGCAACACCGGCTCAGGATATGTGCTTTTGGGTGTTGACTCTGGTAATGGAGGTATCGGGGGAACGTCGTCCAATTGTGTAAAGTTTGATTGCACATCATCCAGTGGTGCATCGCGTGACGGTGGGGGCGTTATTGATGGCGCTTTACTTTCCGCATGAGATTTTGGTGAAGGGGGCTCTTCAGTCACGTCGCTGAAGCCATCGAGATACATAGAGATCGCGTCTTCAACGCTCATTCCATTGTCCATCCCGTAAGGCGCGTCCGGGGTGTCTGGCGAGAGATCTGTGAAGGAGCTGCTCTTGGTCAAGACACTGCTGCGCTCTGTTCCGCTTGCCTGCTCGGTACTGGAGCGCGAGGTCTCGCCCGAGTTGACGCTTGAACGGGGCGCGTTTTCATCGGCAGGCCCATTGATCGGGAACCGTGGACGGGGTAAGTCTTGAGGGCTGAGTTCCAGTGGGCGACGCTCCATAGATTCTTGCGTCCGCGGTCGTCGCGTGTTCGCTCGCGATGTTGACATAGATATACGAAGTCCAGCTCGACCGGGCGGAGCATTACGGTGATTAGGTCTGTCGAATTCGCCGTCTCGAGAACCCCATTTCGGAGGATGCATTTCGGGAGGTGTAGCATAGGTAGGAGGGCGAGCTGTAGACCGGGGGTTTTCCATTCGCCCCTACCCTGCGCGGGGCCTAAATGTGGTGGAGTAGGCGGCCATGGGTGTTCATGGTTAGGAGGGTGTGTTCGTGGGAGAGGAGAGCGCGAACGCGAGTCCGGCGGGTGATGCGGCGGGTGATGCGGAGAGCGGGGAGAGCGAGACGACGCTCTTGGTGCTGATTTCGAAGGGCGTGCGCGTGGATCGATCGTCAAAGAATCCAATCGAGGTGGATGGGGTACTCTGCGCCGGCCAGGCAGGTCGAATTCAGCCGGAGGCGGATATGGAGAGTTTGCGTTTTCTGTGACCATGGCCACGATTTAGCACCCAGATCCCGCTGGACATTGATGATCGTGACTAGAGGGGAATTTGCAATAGAGCGGTCCAAGACCATGGGCGCTATTTGGAAGTCGAAAAGTTGGGATATGGAGATAGACCCTGCGCGAACTCCGGCGGCTGAGAATGTAGCAAAAGACGTCTCACTAACAGGAGAAAAAGAGCGAATAGGAATGTAACGAGAGACAGAAAAGAATTGGCAAATTCCGGGAGGGCAGCCTGCCAGAGGACTGTGTAAAAAGAAAAGAAGGGTGAAGTTGAGACAAAATCAACAAGCCCTGATTGGGCCTAGTGTCATGTGACGTAATAATCAAAGGGGGTTTCAGAATACGATTCTTCTCTTTGCTCTTTGAGTAGATAGATACTGTATATTATTCAGTTATGGGATAGATATAGACGAGTATACAGGTAGGAAGTAGTATATAGTAGTTAGTAGTATACCTGACAGGTCACATCTATAGGCGAACCACGGCTGCACGGCGATCCGCGAATCTAGTCGATAGTTAAAAAGCCCCTGAGTGTTTCTAGAAATCCGTTGGGCTCTAACTGCCTAACCGTCAAATATCCGCTCTATTTCCAGACCCTTGAAACATTTAAACGGTTAAATCTTTAAATCTAACGAAACATCAGTTATGGAATGTTCGTTTTCGGACACCCGGAACGGACATGTCATGTCAGCCATTCCGCGCCGCTGAACTTAAACATTTGGATATCGTTTCTATCATTTGTACGTTTGCATCGTTAAGACGGTTTCCGGATGTCTGGTCCAATGCTCGGTACTTATGTATGGAGGTGCCAGCTGCAGCTGCATTTCACTATTGACCTGTACCAATGATCCCATTTGCCCCAACATGGCCATTGTCGACCCGGCGACCAGATCTCCAGCTCACATCCGCCCCAGTAGCTGGGCCGATGTAATTATTATTCCCTGTCCCCTGCAGGGAACACCTTCTAACTTTCCTCTCACAATAGGGCCTTCGGGGAATTGCCGCACTGTTCGTAGTTGCGAGCCATACCTGTCTCTGCTTTGCAACATACTTGGTTCCGCCATCCTTCTCGCAAACCGGAAAATCAATCCTTTTCCAGCGTCCGTTTTTCAGATTGGTGATACAGGGTCAGGCGTGGGTGGCCATCTTCCTGGTGCTACTTGGATTTGTGAATGCCCTCAAGCCACTCCAGCTAGCCCGCCGTGGAGCAACGTCCGATGCCCTGAATGCCCTGTCTACTGGTGCCTTCCGGCGCAAGGGGAGACTCGTCTTCCCCGCAGCCTTGATGACATTTCTGTCTTGGCTATTGTGTCAGTTCGGGGCGTTCCAATTAGGTCGCCAGGTAGATGCATACTGGTTGCGGGCAACGAGTCCCAAACCAAGCTCTTCTTTGATCACTGCCATTGTTGATCTTGTGCAGGAGGTGGTTGGCACTTGGACATATGGAGAGAACGCCTATGATCAACCACAATGGGCGTTGTTACATCTTTTCCGTGGCTCGTTGTATGTCTTCATGGCTCTGCTGGCTTTGGTGAATACCACGCCGCAGTTTCGCATCTGTGCCGAAATGGTCCTCTACGCTTATGCATGGGCGACACTTGATGGTAATTGCGAAATTATCCCCAGTAAAATAGTCAAAGCTGACAAATCCTGTACAGGCACCGTCGGTACCAACATTTTCGCTGGCATGATCATGGCCGAAATGTCATTTTACAACTTGTCAGCCCTTCGACCACGCATTCTGTTTAAAATACTTCCTTATGGACTCGTCACACTAGGCCTCTACATCTGCTCCTATCCCGACGAATACGCAAGCCAAACAGCATGGTCTTCTCAGCTCGAATCCCTCGCTCAAACCATCTTCCCGAAAGATGCGAATGTCAGCAGATATTATGCCAGTCTAGGAGCACAGATGGTCTGCTCCGGCGTGATACTGTCGCCGTTCTTACGACGGATACTCTCTCATCCTGTACTCCTGTGGCTCGGATCCATCAGTTTCCCGCTCTACCTCATCCACGGGCCTCTTATGCGCTCTGTTCTTGTCTACCTCGTCTACCTGCCCATGTCAATTGGCTTCAAGCCGAGTTTGCGACCAGATGGGACATTTGATCCGGAGTCGTACATTCCCACGCCGAACCCGTTCCGGCTGGGTGTGATTCTTATCATATTCTTTGCCTTCTTGCTCTATGTTGTTCAGCAGTGGACGATATATGTTGAACCGAAGATGGCTGCACTGACGGATGCTTTTGAGAGATTTTCTCGATCGTGGGGGAAGAATGGGATGTGGGCTATCAGGAATAATGGTGCATTATTGCCTCTCAACTCTGCCAAAGAGATCAAGGCATGATAATTTGATGTTTATTGTTATTGATTAGCGTGTCATGGACTTGGTAGGTAGGCGTTGTCATAAAGGAAGCAACTGGTGATGATCATCACGTTGCCAAAACAATATATAACTACTGAGATTCTCAAAGTGCTGTGCTTGTGAGGTGTATAGACAGGTGTACACGGATGCATCGATCAATCTAATACTAAAGTGATGTATATCTCCGACTCGATGTGACCTCGCCAATTTTACCTCACTGCTGTGCGATCCAACCTTACATCCATATTCTTCTGCCTAACAAACCACGCATTCAAAATCTCCCATTCAGCATCAGGATCCTTCAGCTCAATCTACAGACCTGTTAGAGACCCCATGCAATATGTAGAAGAGCTCACTCACCTTATAACTCAGGAAAAGCGACGGGATAAGTTTATAAATCTCCAATAAACTAACATTCTTCCCAATGCAAGTCCTCGGCCCAGCCCCAAACGTAAAAGTCGCCCGCAACATCTTCTGCCTCCTCCCCTGAAACACCTCCTCGGCCTCCCCATCCATCCTAAGCCAACGCTCCGGAATAAATGACTCCACATCTTCCCCGAAGACATAATGCCGATGTATAATCCAGGGATTAGCCCCAACGACTGTCCCAGCAGGCAAGAAAGGACCACCATGAGGAAGTTGAAGCCCTTCAGCTGGAACAATTCGCTCAAGCATCAGCCCCACGGCGGGATGTAGACGGAGAGCTTCCTTAATGACTGCATCTAGGTAAGGGAGTTGTTCTTGGCTTTGTTTCCAAGAAACGGGCAATGAGATGCGGTTTTCCTCGAAGGCGTTGTTGAGTTCTTCGTTTAGTTTCTTGTACACTCGTGGGTTTTTGAGTGTGTAGTAGAGGATTGCTCGTAGAGAGATGGCTGTTGTGTCTGAGCCGGCGTTCATGTTACTGACGGTGTATGAGAAGACTTGGTTGTCGTTAACGATGTTTGGATGCTCAGTTTTTGCTTCTAGGAAGCGGGCGAGGAAATCTTTATGCGGAGATGAGAGTGAACTTATTAGTGTATCCCCTATACTCGTTTGTTTTAGTCTTTCGTCGAGTCGTGCGCGGGCAAAACGTGCCACTGCCCCTGTGGAGCCTCCCCCAAAGAGGTTCTTGAGGGGATTTTTGATGAATAGATAGTCAAGCCATGGCATCTGACCAATCTGGATTATCCGGTACTTATTAGCTCTTGTCTTCTTTGCTTCTTCAGAAGGACGACATACCTTGCCGGAATAATCAAGCATATATTCCAAGGCAACAATAATCCCATCCACGTCACCTCCCTTCTCAAGAAACCCAAGTGGCTTACTGAACGTCAATTCTCCAATAACATCAAAAGCATCTAGAAGTTTGTATTAGCCGGCTATGAACCCTTCAACTTGGACACACTTGGGATAAGAAACATACAAAATTGCAACCAAGCAGCAATATCACAAACCCTACCCGATTCCACAAACCCATCCAACTTCCTAAAGAATGTCGATATAGTCTTATCAACAAACGGCTCAAACTCAGTAAGCGTACTCATCGAATAAGCCGAAGAAATAGGCCGTTTGATAGCAGCATGAAACTCTTCATCAGTTGTAGTAAAGAGAGTAGGCGTCGGTCTACCCTTTGCTAATTGTTGCTGAACACAATAGAAATCGGTCTTGTATTAAAGTCAGCCAAGCAACTTATGTGTGGGATATTGGGCAACATATACCTTCTGATAGCCTTTATTAATACCATAAATAATCTTCAAAGCATCCAAATCCCGCACACTGACCACATTCGGCCCTAGTCGGACATAATCTCCATGTTTCTGATGAAGCTTGTGGAGTGTCACTTCTGCGCGTCCTTTGGCGACATCGATGAATCTCCAGATGTTAGAGAATTTGGCTAGGAATGGGCCCGGGATTGAAGATGCTCCTGGTGTGAAATAGTTTTTTGTTAAGTAGAGTATAGTGGTGAGGACTAGGATTGCTGGGAGATGCTCTGATAGAAAAGTCAATGAGTCTGATATCACCGCCATAGTGGATTGAATTAGAATATTCGTATGATACCCAGCAATAAATGGATTTGTGCCTTGCTTTTATAGGCTGGTTCACTCCGGGTTTATGCACCCCATAAGCTTCTGGGGCAAATGCGGGGAAATACATCGAACGAGGGATAATTCCGCCCTGGTTGATATGGATATACTTGTACGTGTATGTTGTTGTAATTTACAATGGTCTGAGAAGCACTATGCATGAGCAATGGGCAGTAAAACGAGATGATTTAAGTCTACCTCCCGAAGGAGGCTTCTCTATAGCTATTTATAATGGTCAAATGCATACGATATGCCTTTCATGAAACTATTGCGTGATCAGCTCACTAGCTTTTATGAAAAGGCCACGTTGCTTGATGCATTCAACCAAGTGCTCTGAAGCTCTCTATAGCGCTGCTCAGCCAAGCATTAGCAGTGCTTGGCGAGCTTCAGATCACAACACACCCCCTGAATGCAGCAAGCATTTCAGAGGTTCAAAAGCCATAAAATTCAGCTCTAAAATGAATGGATAGGGTGTCAAATAACTTCCCCAAATACTCGATTCTGATCGGTCGAATCAGAATGCCATTTTGCTCATGGAGCAAGATATCTCTTCAGTTGATGAGAGAAATGGATAACTGCTTCCTGAACTCGTCAAATGACGGTTTCGGGAGCGGTTTTGTGAGGCCATCCGCTATATTACGGACACCTGGCACATGCGACAGCCGTATCTTTTGATCTTCGACGGCTTCGCGAATCCAGTGCCAATGGACGTCAATATGCTTGCTCCTCGAATGGTTCTTCGCGGACGTCGTAAGAGCAATAGCTGAGAGGCTATCACAGAGCAAATGCACTGCTTCACCCTTGTTGCCAATGCCTAGATCGTCTAGCAAGCGACGCAGCCATACGGCCTGGCTTCCTGCGTCTGAGAGAGCGTAGTATTCAGCCTCAGCTGAAGACTTCGTGACGCTGGTTTGACGGCGAGTACACCATGAAATAGGAGCGCCGGCGAGGAAGAATACCCAGCCGGTTCTCGATCTCATAGTGTCGGGGTCGGAAGCGAAGCTCGCGTCCACGCACCCCCACAACCCTAGACCTTCTTCAAAACCAGTATTGCCTGCTTCCTTCGCCTTGCCGTAAGTGATCCCATATCCGCTGGTTCTCTTGGCATAACTAATGGCGTGGTCGGCGGCGAGGGTATGCGATTCGTCGGGGCTCTGATTGAATTTCGACAGTATGGAGAATGCGAGGGTAAGGTCGGGCCTGGAGTTGTTGCTCGCATAGCCGATTTTGCCAGTGGTCTTCCTATATTCCTCGCCTCGTAAGGTGTCGGTAGGAAGCTCTGGATCAGCTTTCTTGAGTACTGCGATAGGATTCATCGGAGTAAGAGGGCTTGGTGAAGCTATCTTGGTTGTTGGTTTAGCAAATCCGTCAACATATGCTTGCTGGTCAATGCTCAGCAGCCTCTGCTTCCTGTCTCTTTTGATGCGAAGGCCAAGGTAATATGACACTTCACCGAGGTCGGAAGTTGACCATTTTGCTGAAATAGCTTCTTTAGTGTCGTTAAGAAGCTTCTCCGAAGTTGCTGCTATCAGCAAGTCGTCAACATAGACGAAGATGAGCACTATTCCACCCCCTGGACATGGCGTACGTAAAGGCATGGATCAGCCTTGGTGCTCATGAATTGCCTGGAGTGGAGGTATTCGGAGAGGGTTTTGTACCAGTTTGCTGCCGACTGGCGAAGTCCGTACAAGCTTTTATAAAGCCTGCAAAATGCTCCGCGGTCCTCGAAGCCTTCTGGGTAATGCATATACGTTTCTTCCTCCAAAGCTGCATTGAGATACGCTAAGTTGACGTCCATATGCGTGGTGTGAAGGTCTCGCATTGCGATGACGGCAAGGAGCACTCGAAGGGTGTCATATCGGCCAGTACTGGCGTAGACTTCGTCAAAGTCAATACCAGGAAGTTGCTGGTCTCCGCGAGCGACCCAGCGAGCTTTGAACTTCGCTGGTTTACCCGCTGAATCAGTCTTCAATTTGTATACCCATCGACCACGAAGTGGGCGGGCGCCCTTAGGCGGTGTCGCCGTTTTCCATACACCGAGAGCTTCAAATTGTGAGATCTCTGCTTGCATAGCTCTCTGCCACCATGGCCAGAGAGGTGAAGCTTTCGCTTGAGCAAGAGAGACTGGAGAGTCGAGCCATTTGGTAGGGATTTCCTCCATGTTTTGAGGTAGGGTATGAAGGTCATTACTAGCCAGCTTTTGAGCTAATAATACCGTTGTAGTGTCTTCCCATGCCTGGATTTCCCTTCTGTCACTTTTTGAGATCACTGAGGGTCTGAAAGCTAGTGCTCTAATGATCTTGTCGGTTTTGGACGGCGATAGCTTGTCCTCCTCGGCCATATCGAGAGGAGATTGATTGCTTGTTAGGTATGCGTCTACTTCAGAGGTGAGATTGTCGGCAGATTCATCGGAGCTTTCTTCATTGTCCGATTCAGGGTTGAGGAGCAAGTGATCTGCTTCCTTGAAGCTTTCCTGGCTTTGTTGGCTTTGATGGCCAATAGGCTCATCGATTTGATGATGAGGAAGCTTGTTTCGAGGGTCTGGAAGGTCGGGGTTGTTGTAAAGGGCCCAGTCTTCTCCTTCCTCGAAAATTGCATCTCTCACTAAGTGGAGAGTGCCGCCATTAGGTCTAGTGCCGTCTGATCGCACTGGGTAAGGTCGGTAGACCTTGAAAATGCCGCCATTGTCATCTTCATAACCGACGAGGTAGCCGATTTCGATGCGGCGGGCGAGATGTTTGCCGACGGGGTCTTGAGCCACCTGCTCTCGGCCAAATACTCTGAATACCCGGCATCCGATGATACGAAGGTGAGAGAGATCCGGCTTCCGGCCATGGCGAAGCTCATATGGGGTGGTTGGTGGCATCCCGGCGAGTCGTCTACCATAGTAAATGGTGCGGTTTCGGACGTATACGACGGTCTTCATGATCTCCGCCCAGAGGAATGGCGGGAGGTTCGAGTCAGCTAAAACGGATCGCATTCTCTCAGCTACTATGCGCATCAGTCGTTCCACTTTCCCATTTTGCTCATGAGCATATGGAGCAATGAAATGCCAGTGGATTCCGCGGTTTTCAGCCCAAATTTGGAGGTCTTTCTGAATGAATTCACCCCCATTATCGGTCTGAATGGCTCCAATTTCCTTGGTCGAGTCGATAGAAACAAACTGCTCAATTCGGGCTTGGTGGTCCCTTTCGTACTGGGCAAGAAGCTTCTTGATAGCGTCTTTTGCTTCGTTCTTAGACTTGAGGAAGCAAATATCGGCCCAGCCATCGAAATCATCGATCATTAGGAGCCAGTAGCGAGCTTCAGTATTGAGAGCAGGTTTTAGCTTGCCGCCGCCGCCAATATCTATATAGACGAGTTCTCCGGTCTTTTTCGAGCGGTGAAGCACAGGTGCGCGGCGTGGTTTCAAAGTTGCTTTGCCAATGGCGCAGCATTCGCATGGCCTTTTTGAGGCTGACAACCCATCAATGTCAATGCCATTGACGATTTTGGCTGTATTCTGCACCCCCTGAATGCTGAGATGCATCATACGGCGGTGCCAAGTGTCGACATTGACTCGGGAGCGGTCCAAAACAGGTGGTTTTGACGCTTTTGACGCTTTTGACGCTTGCTCGGTTGCTATAGGCGGAGCTTGCTCAATTTGTTGAGCTTCCTCGATATGCGGAGCTTCCTTGGTGAGGCTCTCGGCATTCAACTCATCCGATTCTGTCGTCGTTTTCAAGGCATATATTGCTTTCTCAGTTTGATGAGTTTTAACGACGTTAAGCAGCCATTGTGAGCCATTCTTCCTTCCCGAAGTAAGGTGCGAGCCGTCCTTCTCAATGAAGTCAACCCTGGTTGGCTTATAAATGGCTGTAATGCCTTTCTTTGAGATACGGTTGCCGCTGAAGAGGTTGCACTGTATGGTCGGGCACCATATTGTATTGCAGAGTTCGATTTCTCTGGTTTTACGGCCCGATTTGACGGTCAAAACGACGTTTCCACGAAGCCCGTTTTGCTCTTGTCGTCCATTTATAGTGACTATGGTGGTCGTAATTGGCTTAGCAGTGCCAGCCACGAAGTAGTGAGGTGAAGAGATAAAGTGGTCATCGCTTCCTGGATCACATATCCATGCTCCTGGGCCATTTTTGGTGTTTACCGAGAGGGCTATAGTAGCTGGTGACGGTGATTCGTCGCTTAGCGAAGCGGTGAGGGAGGCGGTGAGTAGAGATCTTCTTTCTTCTCCTTTCTCTTCCTTTTCCCCTCTTTTTGGCCGTTTCTCGGGGTATTTCTTCCAGCAATTGGAGCTTTTATGCTTCCGGCCGCAGTGCTTGCATTTCTCTCCCGTTGCAGCGGTTGAGTATGCTTTTGATGTCTCGTTGGAGACGTTCTCTGTCTGGTTCTCTATCTCGCTGACGAGCAGCTCGAATTGGAGAATTTCCTTATCAGGGTTAGATGAAGCTGTGAGTCGAGACTTGAGGTTGGTCTTCCAGCTTTGCCATTTCTCCGAGTCGAGCTTTCGAATGAACCAAAGGCATTTGATTCGCTCGCTTTCAATGCCTTCATTATGGACCTTGGCCCATGCAGACTGAAAGGCGTTTTTGTATTGGTCGAAGCTGGCGTAATTGCTCAGCTTACATCGCTCAAGCTCCGCAATGCCGTCTTCAGCTACTTTGTATGGATGCGGCTTATAATTCAGCTCCAATGCTCTCCAAATAGCATGCGGCTGGTTGATTTTGCGGTGTTGTAAGAACTGGAGAATGGGCTTCGATATGTGATTGCAAATAACCTTTCTCGCGTGGCTGATGAATTTCTTTTGCATCATTGAATACCGATGGTCGGCTGGGAGGGCAATGACTTCGCCATATACAATGGCTTCAATTGCATTGTCTTCAAAGACTTGTTGCATGCTCATTACCCAAAGGGTGTAGTTCTCCTTTCCCTTCAAAGCTTCGAATTTGTCGTCATCAGTAAGCTTGCGATGAATAGTCGCAGCTATTTTGATGTGCTCGGTGGCTTTGCGAACGGCTCTTGCGTATTGGACCTCTTCATTGGTCATTGCCGGCGTCGGTTGATGGCTTGGTAGACGTCTTAGCGGTGCATTGCCAGTGGAAAAGTGAGATCTCCGCGAAGCTGTTCTTTGAATTGGCTCTCCACTATGGCGACTGGAGGCTCTAGGAGTATGTGTTCCGTTCGGGTGAGCTGTATAGCTTCTTCCCGGCTTGCTCGACGCAGTTCGGTTGCGATACATTACGTCGGCATCTGTATGGGGCCCATCGGTCTCTGACTGGTCCGATGGTCCATGGATTGGCTCACTTGGTTGAGTAAAGAGAGAGGGTGCTCTCCTACTTTGAATGTTAAGCCTATATCTATCAGACGTTGTACTGGCGTCTAAGACATGTGGTTGGTTGGTGCCAGTGATCTCTGGCCCATATTGAGGCAGCGAGGTCGAAGCTGGCTGCTCTCTTATTGGTTGGTTGCCAATTGCTCGCGATGAAGGGCCCGGCGCCGAGTCCTGGATCACGGTATGCGTATCGTCTTCAACATCAGAGGGGTAAGCGTCGCTCATTGGTGGAGCTTCACTTTCACTCCAATCGAGGTGATCGGTCTCGAGACGGCGACGTTGAGAACGTGTGGTGCGTCTATCAGACATTGTTGGAGGAGTGGACTCAGGGGTAAAGCAAGTAAAGAATTGATAGCAAGAATGAAGCTATTCCCGGCTTACGGAGACGAAGCCGGGCTCATAACCTGTTGTAATTTACAATGGTCTGAGAAGCACTATGCATGAGCAATGGGCAGTAAAACGAGATGATTTAAGTCTACCTCCCGAAGGAGGCTTCTCTATAGCTATTTATAATGGTCAAATGCATACGATATGCCTTTCATGAAACTATTGCGTGATCAGCTCACTAGCTTTTATGAAAAGGCCACGTTGCTTGATGCATTCAACCAAGTGCTCTGAAGCTCTCTATAGCGCTGCTCAGCCAAGCATTAGCAGTGCTTGGCGAGCTTCAGATCACAACATATGTGAGCACATGTTAGAGGTGATGAAAGTCCTGAGCAAGAAAGAAATATATATATATATATATAAGATTTGTTCTGGTGAGATAGGAAGAGAGAATCGTATAGTACCCCTGGTCAATGACTCTTGACTGACGCTTTCACCTGGACAGTCTCCAATAACTAAACCATTATAATATGGGTGAAGGGGCCATTAGCTACTTTAAGCACCAAGAAAAGCGTTTTCTTGACGGAATCGACCGGCGAAGAGAACTCTCGACACCGTTTCCACAAGATGTATCAATTCACGACCGATATATGCACCTAAAGAATGATGGATAAAGATTCCGCTTGGAGATTGCAATAATAACATGACAGCGTGTAATTCGTAAGCCATGGCTTGAATATTCCGATATTTGACCTGTCCCGCAGTGATCATGACAAGATTCCGGTATGCAGGAGTAGTTCCGCATTCAACTCCGGAGAAATCCACAGAGAAAAGGCCTTCTTTCACAGAGCACCCCATTTCCCGGGCGATCAAAGCACCCTCTACTAATTAGCGTGCTTCCGAGTCCACTCGCGTGCAACCTCCTCATAGCGCGACCGGTCATTTCTGTATTGCTCAGCAATCCTCCCCTCGACGGCATCATCGGGCATAGGTTCAGCCAGTAGCTGACGAGCGAATTGAAGAACGGCCGAGATCTTGGAGCTGGGTTTCCACTCGTCCGCCCGTAGCATGCCTAAGCACATGCTTCCCTTTTCATCGTTTGTGACGTTTGGGTGGTAGATTTTCGTTGCGAAGGAGACGGTGGGTGGCTTGAAGGGGTATTCGGTAGGCAGAGAAAGCTTGACTAGGAATTTTCCTTTCTGTGTTGCTCGAAGAAGGGGGTTAGCGAAACTGCTTGGTGGGCTGGAGCCGGAGACGTGGGCTCGCGTGGCAAACCCTTCCTCCCTAGACAGGCTGTGGACGGGGAACGCGCCTTGACAGATATTCTGGGGAGGCTGAGGTTCCTGTTTGACGTACGTGGAATGGTGATTTCTCAGGGCCTTCCATGTGGACCTTCCACTCGTACAGGTTGGCTTCGTCGGCGAGCTCGACCATGATTCCCGCGGGAGGAGACTCGGTGAGCTCAGCTAGCTCCTGTGGTTGGAACGAAGGTTTAGCAGGCTGGCAAATATCGGCATCTAAGAGTGATCACAGGCCCATACCTTGGCTATGCGCTTCTGGCTGCCCATTTTCGGTGTCGACTGTGGAATCTGGCGGGGTGTGAGTGCGGGGAGGTGTAGGAAATTGCAGATCAACGCATCAATGCAACTCTTTGAAAGTACAAAGCTAAGATCAAAAAGGATAACAAGAAAAGGACAGGGATGCTAACTGTGACTCAAGTGGCCATTGGCTTGGATCCAAGAAGCTCTGAGTGGGGGGCAAAGACGTCAGAGTCCCCGATAGGCGTGCAACACGCGAGTTTCATAGGAGCGCGTAGCTACGTATTTATATTGAGATCTACATGGCTTGATTATACCCTACGGCGCCTAGATAACACATTTGGGTTGTTTTGCCGGTATTTCCTATCTATCTGCGCATTTTATATTCCCATGCATCCATTACTCTCGCTGAAGCATGACCATTATGCCCATCAATCCAAGCATTACTGTCTTGAGCCAAGGGTGCTCAGACAGCATAATGGTAACATATCCCCTGTTCCTCCCTGTCAGCCGTATATCCACAAGATAGATCCAGGAGGATCACTTACACCATCGGGATATACCCACGCACACTGCCCACAATATCTTCCTTGCGGTTGAGGTGGTCTTGGTCCTGAGCGTAGAGTTCGACATCATCGGCAATGTTGTTGTCACCCTGTGTGTAGATTGTTAGCTGATATAGTAAGTTCGAACGAGTCGCGTTTGCCTACCTTGGTAAGGAGCATATGAGAGTCGGGTGCCGTGTCCCTAGAAGTTTGTGTCAACTCAAAGGACGCCCAAAGATCAAGGATTATGGCTTCGGATAAGCGTACACTGTAATTTCTTTCACCTTCCTCGCGTTCACGCGCCCTTCGACCTCGGGGAATGTCCGCACCACGCGGTGTACAATCGGGATGTCCTTGCCTCGAACGTTGTAGACGACGACCTCTCCAATCTCCGCACGAGGGCTCCGATTCCACAAAAACAGCAGGTCACCACGCTGGAAGGCCGGTTCCATTGACCCAGACAACACGACGACGATTGGCGAGCTGGATGCGGAGGCAACAGACAGGCCCTTCCATAGCATGAAAGCCGTAGAGAGAACTAGGGCAAAGTTCAAGGCTTGTGCGATTGAGTGTCGGGCGTTTGCCATAGTAGAAGAGAGGGAGGATAACATGATGGGCGGCTTGTGATCGAAGGATGTGATGGGGTGGGCCGCTTGATAAACTATTCTTGGTCAGAATTGCCAGTATATCGTCTCGCGGTGACCGCGAGATAAAAAGAAGGAGCAAGGTACCTATTATTGGCCAGCTGGGCTGGTTGAGTTGTGTTTTGATGCGGAGAGGTGTCCTCGTCGGAGATCGGCTTGGCGTTGCAGATCTCCGTTTTCCGCCCTTGGATACAATGCGCCCAATGGACTACAGGTACCATGCTTTTACTATCCTTACGACTTTGTGTTAAATTGTTTTCGGACTGAACGTCTTGTAATTTGTCTTCCATACCGGCTGATACTAGTCTTCCGCACAATGAAATCTCATATAAATACACGCACGACGCGAGGGTTTCCCCCTAAAGTTGGCGTGAATCTGTGGTGAGAGGTATTTTGACGACGACGGATGATATGAGCTATATGGTGCATATTGCTATCGGTTAGGTCTTCCTATCTATACCAAGAAAGTCTAAACTCCCCAGCATATAGATGCCCACGTTTGCGAACCAACGAATTCTAGAGCCCATTAGATAGTGGCTGAGATACATAGAAAGTTCTACGGCACTTGTGTTTGACAAGCTGGATCTAAACTCGAGACCGTCGATCTCACCCACCGAAACGTTATTTGTGCTGAATTTGACACATTCACCGTCGCTCTCGAGCAAGCTAAACTATTGTGACTACAGTAACATAGTCAGTTTACATATAGAATCTGAGGACCTGTGAAATTGACGCCGAAAATGACCGCTTTCAACGCCAGAAACGGCCGCATTCCTAACTGTAACACCGCTATTCTTCACCCGCTAAGCACTGTTTGTCATCCTCCCGTCCTAATCTTGTCGCTCAACTTCAGGAGCATGTGACATCGTAAGCAACGGCTGGGTCCGCCATAGTGGAAGCTTCGGGCCATAGTAAAAAATGAATCCGAGGGTGCTAAGTGTTTTAGAGGTAATGTCACCCTTCGAAAATTGTATTGTTCGTCTTCGTAAATTAAAACCCGGTGTATTCATTAATGTATTCGCAATCAATCTCTGCTCACCCTTTGTTTTTCTGGGTCAGAGGCGTCTTTCTAGCCTTACTGTAAACGACGACATCCCTATACGCATGTAATTAGCAAATTACTCGCGATACCTATCGATATTGTTAGTGAAACGCTTAAGAAACGACAAGTGAACGCTATATCTTCGCTAACTTCTTATCCGAAGCAATACAAACTTACGGTGGCTATCTAAGAGGATGTTAAAACCGGTAAGTTGTAAAGCAAGAAGGGTTCTAGTGTTGGTAAATAGAGCCTGCCAACTAGGTAAAGTGAAGATGCCTGAGGAACAAGTGGTATTAGAGGAATATAGAGACTGGTTCTTGGAGATCTTCTGGGTTCTCCTAGAAGAGGCTATATAACGTAAAGGGTAGCGTTATGGTGAATCAACGCTGACCTGTCGACACCTATATATTGTCGATCCTCTATGGATCACTGTCATCGAATGGACTGCAAACAACCCGCTGAAAAGTAGGCAATTTCTAGTCAAAATCTAACCGCGTTAATTGACTATTGTGGTGGTCCCCAAAGAATGAAAAGATGCATCACAGGCAAACTCAAACAGTAAACGCTAGCTGGCTTTAGAGAGCGTAAGTGCCAGCTGTCGTAGACCAGCACTCACATCATCCGGCTGAATACAACACTCCAAAAGGGCAAGTTTCCATGGCTCGGAATTGGCCCGATCCAGTGCTGATAACAGATCAGATTGCGTTTTGATTTGCATCGAGAACATTGCCGGATTGAGACCCAGATCTCTCTCTAATTTTGTCGCAAAGGGGTTGTTGCATGTTCTGATATGTTTGGGTGCACACATAGCAGAAGCCAGTTGAGCATAGCTCCAACTGGCAACGTAATTATAGGGTCCATCATGAATTGCAGACTAGAAGAGGGGACGAAGTAAGGAAAACTTGTTAGCAAAAAGTTCGTTCCATCGAAAGCTAAGAATGGGGCTGAGTGGAGATGCCACACAAAGAAATAGAAAGTATACCTCTATCTGATAACCGAGATTGTTGAAAACAAAGATAATGAGATTGGCCCTGCTGCGGATAGCAGTACTCAACTCCTGGGCGGTCATCTGAAAAGCACCATCACCTATCATGAGGATTGTTCGCCCCTCTGGCCGAGCTAGCTGGCAGCCAATTGCGGCAGGCAAACTCCATCCTAGTGACGCATACACAAGCTGAATCTGGAAGTCTGCCCCGGTTGGCAGCAGTATCCCGGTGGCGTTAAACCAAGAATCTCCTGCATCTGCAATCAAGGTATCATTGCTTCGTAGTAGTCGCTGAATACCATCCATGATGCCACGAACTGTGAGAGCTGCGCCGATATCAGGGCTACCGATACGCGTCTGCTGGTAGGACTTTCGCTGGAAGGTTAGAAGAGATTCGGTTTTAGACGGAACAGAGGATTCTATAAAAGCTCCGAGGAGCTCAGCTAGGCCTAGATCCTGAACCATCCAACCGTTAGGCATTCGAATAGAACCCTCTTGGATATCAACTATCCGTCTCCGCTCCTCTATGATGTCGAGTCCCCCAACCGTGTGCAGATCAGACCAACGCCCTCCAATCACTACCCAGAGATCCGATTCCATCACAGTCTGTCTGCATTCGGGCGTTGAGGCAGTGGCCCAGAATATTCCCGCAAACTGAGGGTGTGACTCAGGTAGAGATGATTTGGCATCTGGCTGGCAGAAAACAGCGCAACCCAGTCTGGCCACGAGTGCTGTGAGAGCTTCTTGCGAGAGAAAACGACGTGCAAAAGCACCAATAATCAATACTGGATGGTATGCAGTAGTCCAAGTGCGGGTTAATAAAGATAGTATCTCATCAGTGGGCCCTGATCGTATCGGCACTGGAGGAGATACAATCTGCAAAGGCGTTACTGGTGTGCCCACAATCTCAACTAGGTCGGTAGGAACCTCGATGTAGATTGGCAACGAGCGACGAAGGCACTGCAACAGAGCATCATCCAGACGGGATCTGACATCTCCATCATGGCTGAGACGGATCGATGTGGCCGTGAACTCTTGGAATATGCGCAGCCCTTGATCTGTGTCCAGCTCACCTGTCGTGTGGTGGAGTGGATTACCTGCAGCTAGCAATTTTGTGCTCGGACAGCCTGAGATAACTATTACCCTCAGCCGCTCGGAACAAGCTCCTGCAATCGCATTAAGCAGTGAGAGGCCTCCAACCGTATAGGTAACCACCACAACGGCAACTTTCATGGGGGAACTTCTCGCATACCCGTCCGCAGCATAGCCAGCGTTTAACTCATTACAGCAACCAACCAGGCGCAGGCTCTGATTTTTCAAGAGTTGGTCGATTAGCTTCAAATTTGAGTCGCCTATCGTTAAGAGTAGTATTAGCTTGGGCGCGTCAATATGTCTAGCATAAATGGAGTCAGGCATACATACCTGGAACGGCAAAAAATTCTTTAATACCTAGCTCTTCCAGTCTATAGGCCAGGAACGTGCCGATGTTGTGCTCTTTGGGTGAGAAATTTGGGGTGATCAACGACGGGACGGAGCTGGGTGACTCAAACAGCCCAGACTGCTGTGCACTTCCAGGCATTTTCAACACTATTCGACCCTTGATATTTGCTGTGTAGGAATTCCCGCCTCATGGTGAGCTTTGAGCATCAAAAAGGGCACCTAACATATGAGAGTGCTCTATTTACCTTGTTCCATCAAATCATAAACTTGAGGTAATTGCTCAAGCTCCATGATCTGACAATGCATAGCCATGTCGTTGCGGACGAAAAATTCTAGTGCCTCTTCAGTATCCTCTCTGGTCCCAACATAAGATCCTTTGATGGTGATCATCCGAAAGATGACGGAAAAAAGATCCGCTCTGATGACGGCTCCTGGTGGTAAGCCAACCAACACAATCGTTCCCCGAGCTCTGACATACTGGAACATTAGAGTCAGTAATAAGTAGTTTTGCTGTGGGAACAGGGTAAACAAGAAGTATTTTTGGCAGGGACTTTGTGGTACTTTATGTCTTACCTCAATAGCCTGGTGGATGGGACGGTCGTCCGAAGAGACGACCACAACAGCATGGGGCCCTCCATCGGTGAGCCCTTGAATCTCATGGGGGAGATTTTTAGAAGTTTTATAGTCAACGAAGTAATCCACACCTAGATTTGCACAATGCCGTCTCTTGCCATCCCCACTTGAAAGTGCAAGTACCCGGAATCCAAGCGCTTTTGCATATTGGCAAGCAAGGGTGCCGAGCCCTCCGCCTGCCCCAGCTATGGCTAATGTCTCCAATCAGCATTGCGGTAAAAAGATTAAACCAAAGGATTTCGGATCCATATCTTACCAATAATCTGACCTGGCTGGGCACCAGTCTCTTTAAGAGCACGATAGACGGTAACTCCAGCGCAGAGGATCTACTTTCAATGTTTAGTAAGGCATTATGCTCGGTTGGGCTAGGTAGTTACTTTGCACATCACAAAGGGGAATACCACTTACTGGAGCAATAGTGTCTAAAGGCGCTTCCCGAGGAATCCTAACTGCACAGGACTCCTTACAGACTGCATATTCTTGGAATGTGCCGTCCTTAGTGTATCCAGAAAACTGAGGGTTGGTACAAGATCTCTGATCTCCGGAGATGCATGAGACACAAGAACCGCAGATGCTGTTGATCCACTTTATGTGCATTAGCTTCACTCCGTATATCGTATTGTGCGAACAAAGTAAAAGCTATTAAACGGGCAAAAAAAGGTAATCTTCTCTCACCTGTATGCCAACATGATCACCCACGCCAATTTCTTTGACCCCTTCACCTGTAGCGACGACTATTCCTACGCCCTCGTGACCACCTATCATAAGGTATGCCGGATTAGATTAATTGCTGTTGAATTATACCAAATGAGTGATGAGTTGTAAGGAATCAGGTACCTACCGATGAGTCGTTTCTTGCAGGCAAGTGGCCAGCCCCCTTTCCAAGCTTGCAGATCCGAGTGACAAACGCCGGAGTACTTGATATTCACCAAGAGCTCAGCAGGACCAGGTACAGGTACAGGAACTTGGCGAAACTGCAACGCTATATATCTTTAGCATATATTCATGGTTGGAAATTATAAGAGTTTCAGAAGGCCGAGGATTTCTTTTCATTCTTACCTGCACCATTGGTCTCAAAAACCTGGGCCCATTGTCTCTCTGGGACTTGAGGCATCTTCATTTCTTCTTATTGTGAATTCCTTTTGTTCGGAATACTATTCCAAGTTAAGGACGTGATGTTCTCAAAATTTGGATTTGATTGACGACAAATTTACCAAATTGAATCTCCTGAACGAAAGTAAAATTGGCCCTTAGAGGGCTACCTTCTTATAAAGACAATGACAGCCGGCACAACACGGAACGTGCTATCTTTGATTCTACAGAATGGCTATTCCTTTCCCGCGCTTCTCGTGTAGTGATACTGTGGCTTGGCCAGATGGCATTGATCGGCACACCACTCTGATATACCGCCCCTCTGTCTCCTTCGTATAGCTCATATGCGGGTTATATAACCTCATTTACACGCACGGGGGAGGGACTCAGCGGGAAACGCCTCGCAGGAGGCACAAGTGGTGTGTAATCCTAATGATGGTTTGTAGTTCTCGCCGACTTGAAAGATAGATTCGATACGCACGGTAACTGGATTAAAGACTTTCACAAATACTTTTTTCCCTCTATGCATCGTTCACTGTACAAATATTATATCATAAGTGGAGAAATTACACTAAACGGGCGTCATATTCAGTATCGCTCTCGAACAACTGCCATTTTGGATATATTAGAAAGGAGATAGAGCGTAGATTATTGTATAAACACCAACAGGGACACAGCCCTCTCCCAATGTATCGCTTTCTGGCGAGTTGGCACTGCTGATTTGCGAGTCTTATCTTGTAGATGGCTCCATTGCTCTTCTTAGAGCCTTGCATATACGATCTGCGCCATACCAATGCAAGTTTTACTTACCGTTACCAGAGATCGTCATCACCTTTCACAATCAGTACTGGTGTTGGGACACTGCTCAGTACTTTGTGTAACCGTCCAAGTTTCGTGCGAAGATTAAATACCGCAAGAGATTATGCCGAGTGACGTGTTGCGGTGACCCTGGAGATAGTGTGGCGATCATTTCATTTTTCCTCCCTTCTGCATATAGTTTGGAAACTCGAGTACATAATCCATTATCAAACGATGTGGATTGGTCCACACACGTTGGAATTTTCTATGTACGCACGTGAAGCTTCATCGTATAGGATAGGTGTTGTTTCGTGATGGTTTATTTGATTTTCCAAATTTTGAAAAATATAGTTAAGAGCCTCGTCGTAAGGGGTTTCTTTCACTCTGCCCAATCGTTGAGAGTGACTAACGATATTCAAACCGATCGAGTTTTTCCTATTTTAGTTCTGGGTTCTGTCGACTATATGAGAGGCCATAAGCATGGCTTATTCAACTATGCCATTCAGGATCATCCATGTCAATTTACACAGCTACATGGACCCAAACAAACATGAAAATAGGAGCAGACATGAGAGAAGAGAGGGGTCAGAGCGGTCAGACAACGCGTCAGGGTCACTGGACTTAGTGAATCTCATACATTCTTGATTTCCAGTGTTTGTATACTTCATTGCAAGAGGCTTCTTCGATCCGACAGGATATTCAAGTAGCCCCCGCTGCAGGATCACACACTTCTTGGCATCTCCCCTCCCGCCCTATAACACGTCGCAATCTAGACGATTGTGTTACCTTCCACTTTCCCTCTTTCTCGATCTACGGTTTTGGGCATCCATTTGTGCTGGAGAATCAGAGTCTGCTCAATGATTCCTCCGCTTGTGGCAGTTCTCTTGCGGCCCTCGCTCTACTCGCTTCATTACTTTACTCTTTTTTTCGTGTCCCCGAGGCGCCCACTGCTCGGTGTGTAATTCACAGTGTGTCTGATTTTCGCTTATCTCCCACAAGGTAAGGGTCTCTCAGATCAGCTCTCTCATCATATATCTTTATCACCTTACTGGCCAATCAGCTATAACGATCGCAAAGAGTTTGGGGTAGCACACAGCCCCCAAGGACAATTCATGCTTCTGTCCTTTCCGGCTCCAGGTGTTCATGCAAGCTAAATATGACCTGACTTATTGCTGGTTGCGCGGCCTACAGGTTTCTACAGATGTGATACTAAGATGATGACAGTAAAAGCAAGTCCAGGGTGCCGTGTCACGCACACACTTTTAGTGTTGCACAAGGCGAAATTATACAGTACGGCGGTGTTCTGTTCCTGGAGGCAAGTCCCCAGGCAGTATCCACTCGATCCATATATCATCTTCGCCCATTTAGTATTATGTATATGTACTATGTGCCATGCCATGGAATGGTTGATGTATTTATCCAAGATTGCCGGAAGCCGTTGGAGGCATGGTGTGGAGCTCAAATCCTTCCTCCTACTTAACTTTGCCACGATGTCCTTACCAAAACAACTACCCTGGGCTCAAATAGTCCTCCAACGGACACTTCCAGAAAAGTACAATCTCACTAATTTTCAGCGAGACGCTCTTTCTTCCTCATCGGGATTTCCCCCAGCAGCCCTCAGCTGCATATTCGGCTCCCTGTCGTTCACACCAGCCTGAATACCTTTTGGGAGGAAGAAATAGAGCTCTTCCAGAAGCTCCTAGGTACTCCGTGACATTTATATACTAAGTTTAGTTCTTCGTGATCAATTGTATATTATTACTTATATTTACTACCTAGACTTTAGTGGCTCTTTACTTAATTATAACTTAACAGTACTACGAATAGTCTAATACTCCGGTATAGAACTATTCAAAGCTTTACGTAGCATCGTTCCTCGATGCCTTTAAAAGGACTTAGCCCGTATAAGGCCTACTAGACGACGGGTACGGTTAGGAGACAGATCGTTAACGTTAAGGACAGAGAAGCAATAGGCAAGTATAGCCAGAATTCTCCTAACGTAACGACGATTATATAGTCGTGCGTAATACCATGCCCTCGCATCAATACTTTTACAAACTAATAAAAGGGAGCGTTACTAGGATACCCCAAAGGTTTCCAATGCTGCAACTAACCCTCTGATTTCGCCATGATATCAAAATCAGACTTCTGAATGAGAAATGTGGACATTGTGGAAAACCCTCCATGATTACCCCGCTATTCGCTGTCGCGGTTGTGACAATATCGCGTCGACAACGTGGCCAAAGCGAACATGTTTCATGGCTGATGTGTGGGACATGGATCAGGACAGGGACCAGAGCCAGAATCTAGACCCTACCAGAAAGCACAATGCCACAACCCATGTGAAGTTTCGCAAATTAGACATGGGAAATCACAAAATTGTGGATTTCGTCGCACTGGATACCTTTTATATCTGATGCATCATAAACGTGAAGATAAAGTTGTCTGAAATTCGGATTTCGGTTGCCTACACAGACCAAAGAAAGCGAACAAAAGGCTTGTTTTAGATCTGTTGCGTGCTCTTCTGTCGTGATATACCATGGTGGAGCCCTTGAATATCTAGACAGCTACTAGTACATGCATATGCAGTACGAAATACTGGCAGTGATAATCCTCCCTTGGTTTTTAGCAAAGGCAGAACATAGACAATAAATAGAGAAGCCAATTTAGAGCGAGGTTCGATATGAAAAGAAAAACACTCGCAATGAGGCGCGCAGACCTAGTGTATTAACTGTAGAGTACGGGGTATATAAATGCTTCATAGAAGCGTATTCCAGAAGTGACGCATTAAAAACTGAAACTTGATTTGACTAGGGTCCAGACTGAAACTGACTGTGGAGACTACAAGGCCAGCGTGATTATGCTTGAAGCCCATGATGGACCGATCAATCCCGATAAAAACAGATTGATGCAGATCATCCGCGAAGCCGCGAGACAACAGAGTTCATGAGGTGCTAAGATGATGCAATCTATCCACTTATGAATAAGTTGTTGAATTTGTAGTTACCTTACTTAACTTTGGAGATCTTCTTTATACTTAGACATGTTTCGTACCAGGGTTTCCATCGCCATAACACACAAAAAGGTAACATGACTGGTCTATTTCGCGGAAATTACTCATAGTTAGACGCTTCATCAATGGCTCAAACTACTTACAGGAAATCAATAGTTGCCGATCGATGCATGAGTTCATCGCCAGGGTGGGACTTTTGTTCCGGCTCCCCGGTGCCGATATGCTTGGTTCTTCAGTTTGGGAGGCTCAAAGCATCCACAATAGCATTTAACCTGTGATTCACTTACGGATTGTAGCTAGAAGACATACTTGACATCATTTGTTGATCATTTCTATTTCAGATCAAGTCTCATTTTTGTATGGGGAAGTCACTTTCATGGTGCACGGAGAACCACATTAACGCCTCGAGGAATGCTCAAAATGGCTATCCCTGTCAACTTAGGTCATTAGACAAAGTCCGGTGGTTTTGAATGAGTGTTTTTCTTGGCAAGATACAACCCAACGTAGTGTAAACTATGCAGGGCCCGGGATGTAGATCTGACCGAGAGCAACCCATATCGACTGAGCAAATGCTCAGCCGCTGTATCATCTGTCGGTAGCTAGGTAATCGGTAGATCATAAGCGAATATTTTCGGACGCATTTCTAGGTGACTGACGCGTGTTAATAAGGAACTGGGCTCGAACAACCCCACACGCGCAGATCGCAAGGGGGCATTCCACAGGGCAAGGTTTCCTAAATAATGTCCGACTAGGAAAGTTGGCGTAACATGATAAAAGCAGAAATCCCACCCCAGCTGTAGTGCCTTCAAGGGTCGGTATGTGCTGTTGCTAAGTGTGGGATATTCCAAGGCTCATACCTCTACTCCGAACCGAGTCAACAACCTCACTCCTATGATCTGTTTGATGGTTGTCCAATATGCACCCCATTTCTCCGGAATCAATGGATGAACCCAAGCCTTCTATTCAAGGGCTTCTGTACCAAAATTCTCTGGAGCTTACCCCGGATGGAAAATATGTACGATGGGTGCGCGATCACCCCAGACATCCGCGGAATTGGTCTGGGTTCCGGAAAGCCTATGACATTATTCTTGTGTGTCTGCTGGATCTTTTTATGTATGATAATTATCAGTCCCAAGGGAATTACTTGCAACTAACAATGTTTACAGAACAGCATCTAGTACCGCAGGAGTGAGTGAAAATAACAATAATAGTTTGCTTTTGAATACTAGTACTAACAGGGAAATACTAGTCAGCAGCAGCAGCACAAGCCAAATATGAATATAGCATGGATGAAACACTTGCGACTTTTGTATTCGTGACGATGTAAGATTGTCACCAAAGTTGCTTCCGCGGCGTTGATATGTTATTTATGCTAATGCGAGACAGATTTCTCCTCGGCCAGGTGCTAGGTACCATTGTGTTTCCCCCATGGTCGGAGTCATTTGGGCGTAAAAAGATGTACATCTTCAGTAGTGGCCTCAGCGCCATTTGCTGCATGATCATCGGTCTGGTACACCCAATCTCTGCTATCATTGTTGTGCGAATCGTGGCTGGAATGCTTTCCGCAATTCCGTATACTATCATCGGTGGTACTATTGAAGACATGTTCAATGCACATGCTCGGATATGGGCCATGTTCTATTGGACTATTGCATCCAACATAGGTCTAATTTTGGGACCGATCATGAGCAGCTACATCATTGCAGGTCTCGATTGGTATGTACACGTGAAACGTGAACGCGTTACGTCCCGTTCTGACCAACTCATTAGGCGATGGAACTTCTACATTTTTGCTATCATTATTGGTGCCCTCACTGTTGGTCTTTGTCTAATTCGCGAGTCTCGACCTTCCTTGCTGCTAGCCCGCGAGGTGGAACATCTTCGCACTATCACAACCATCCAATCCATCCCGCCATCCCTTAATCATGATCATATCCCAAGTCTCCACGGTTTCATGAAGGAATCACTCATACGTCCAGCCCAGCTCTTCTTCCAAGAGCCCATCATCTTCACTGTTTCAATGATGGTTTCTGTGGTCATGTCGCTCATCTACATCTTCACGGAATCTCTTCAGTCCATCTTCCAGGCTATGGGGTTCAGCGAAGCCCACGCCTCACTAATCTTCATCACAATCGGTCTTGGAACCGTTCTCAGCACCTTTACACGCTTTCTGGACTCATATATCTTGAACTACCTTCGTCGCCAAGGACGCCCAATCAAACCTGAACACAAACTCATTGGGCTCGTAATCGGTGCTCCTTTTTTGGCAATTGGCTTATGGTGGTTCGCCTGGACCATTCCGCCAGATGTACAAACCTCGTGGATCGTACCCGCCCTATCTCTCGTTTTTGTGGGATATGCACTCACAGAACTGGATACGGCGCTATATGGGTACATCTCGGATAGTTATCTGAGCTACTCAGCCAGTGCGTCCGCTGCAATTGCATTCATGCGAGCGCTTGTGTCTGGTGTCGTGCCGCTTTTTACGAAGCAAATGTTCAGTGGACTAGGCAATAATATTGCCATGACTGTGCTTGCAGTCGTGGCCACGGTGTTTTGTATAGTGCCCCCTGTCTTTGTTTTTTATGGGGAGCGGATCCGGCAGGCCAGCAAATTCGCTCGGTATAGTTGGGAGATTCAGGAGCAGATGGGTAAAGATGAGGATGATTGGTGATTTATGCGCTCTTAATATATATGTTGAGTTCTAAAAAGTGAATATTCTATGGAGTATATCGGGAATATATGGGGATAGGCTTAATAAAAAGACTTATACTAGATTAGAACACACTCGAAATCCACAGAATATTGTAGATACGTATAAACTCATACCCCCTGGCCAGTGACAGCAGACTTGGCTGGCTGCATGGCTGAATTCGCTTCCCAGTACTTCTCTTTCTTGCCTCGCTTTGTGATCAATCCATGAATATCGAAAGGGTCAACAAACGTCTGAAGCCAATGGCGGGGATCCTCGTATCCCGGCCCCTCAATCTCAGTGACCCCATCCTCAGCAAGATAGATCTTGTTTGAGCGTGGAAGCGAACGCATGGGATGGAATACGTTCAGAAGAGTTGTGTTGCTATACATGAACACGACTTCGAAGAACCAGAAAAACCACTCTTCCTTGAGAACCGGACTGATGTGCTCGATGTCCGAGTAAGCATTTAAACTCGCCGCAGTGAAGTACTCCACTGTGCGGTAGATGGTGCGGATCGTAATGAGCGTGCAGCTGCAATACAGCACTATCAGAGTACGTTTGATTTTATCATTCAACACACCCCCTCGGAAGCAATTGTAGTGGAATTTTCCGGCTAAAGCGACAAAACCTGCCATCAAGGCGATTTGCATGATGAGTGCTGCCTTCAACAGTGCTTTGCCGGTATTCTGTGAACTGACTGAGGAGTCCGCACTTGCAACTCGGGCAGCTCCGTTGGCGGTAATGCTTTCGATAGCGACGCCAAAGGCGACAAATGTTGTAAAAACCCGTCCCGGGTGAATGGGTGAGTGATATGGGATGTAGTAGAGCATGCGACCCAAGATGAAGAAGTTAGCACCTTCGTAGACGGGGCTAGAACGGTCGAAGAGTCTGTGTTAGCAGGATTAACATCACATCGGGAAGAAATATTCCTTACGGTCCAGCCAGGAGTAGTACTGTACTCGCGATAAAGATACCGACATTCTCCCATTGACCAAATGCACCAATGGTGCGCATTATGAAACCTGCAGTGAACAGAAGGGCAGACCACGGCAGAAGTCCAGTGACTTTCCAGGATTTATATTTGCTGTGAAATGAGATCAGTCTTAAGTTCCTAGTGCTGGAGAGGTGTTATCAAACATACAAGCATTGGTAGCCATGGACACCTCCGGAAATAGCAAAGAGAATTGCAAATGCGATTGCAGCTCCTTTGTTTGGCGCATAGAACCACAAGCTTCCCTCCTCTGGATTTGTTAGTCATAGAATCACTCGTCGGCAGTTTGTCCTTAGAAGACGACTCACGATATGACGATCTTGTCTCCAGCATGGCGGTTAAGAATTTTGTTAAAAAGTCACCGAGTGTACTGTATATAGCGAAGAGCAAGGCGACATAAATAAATAATCCAAATAATAACGAACTCTCAAAAGGCAGGGGAGGGACCTTGCTCTCTTAGCTCCATGTAGTCGCGAGAGGATGGATGGGCTGCAAGTTGGTATAAATACAATGTCGTATCAAGATGGAACTGACCCATTCCACGCGCCCCGATGAAGCGAAAACGAGTTACTTATTTAGGAAAGGCGCGTCAAGAGTAAGCCAATCATAGTCCAATTATCCGGGGCAATGAGAAAGAAGCTTCGTATCCAGAGTGGCTTGGCATGGCGCAGGCAAACACGAGGTCTCGGGCCAAAGCGTGGACTTGTGGGGGCTCTTCCATGGACCACCGGTGTTTGGGGCAGTCTGCCTCACTATATTATCGTCATGGTGTGCTGCCACATTTAGGCGTTGAGATTAATATGATATTAAGAGTTTTATCAATCGCGAGGTTATTAGGTATTATATTGATTGCAGAGGCGGTTTTCGTAACGTAACGAATCGAGCACATTATAACTATCCAGATAAAGTCTATTGGGTCATATAGGAGAAGCGTCTTGTCCCGCAATACTGGCATTTACTAGTGAAAGGGCCGTATCTATGGTCGTGGGAGAAGATATATGAGGTCTCACTGCAGATATGCTGCAGATATTCTCTAGGTGGTATCCGACAACCTTGAATGGGCTTGTGCGGCGACGGGAGGGCCTTGCTTGACTGCGGTTGTTAGAGGCCCAGCAGAAACGTTACAGAACATGGGACATTTTTATGCGGAGATGCTACAATATGAACTCGTTCGACAGCATCTTTTCAGAATCTATCGAGGTCTACCATAAAGAAGAGAAACAAGATCACTAGATTATTTATGAAATCCAGACGATAAAGCGCCTTACTTGTCATTGTCTTATAAAAGCGCTGAGAATGGCGAGATTTTGTGTTCCTACCACCATCCCAACTCAATAAGGCGGACGAAGGAAGACCAAGGGCTCTGGCTCGGGATCAAAACAGATGAGCATGCCAACTGGTTTAATCTGATGGTCGTCAAAAAGTTTTGGATCAGGAAGCCATATACTGATGCTATCAGATTCAAGCCAGATAAACTAGAGACTTCCCAAAGTATGTCTCGTATGTCAAAGTAAATCTCATTAGATGAAAGTTGAAAATCAGGCCAATGATCATTATCATAGTAGCGCTTGATAACATTGTTAAGGCCACAATTTGCCCAGTCTACACTTCGTCATTCTGTTTGTCTTGTACTAGTCTTGGTTCTTGTACTCTTTTGTCACACCCCGCAAAATGGCATCTGAAGGATGCGTCTAGAAGAGAAGATAGTTCAACGAATTACCACTGTATACATCCCTATTATACGGGCAAGATATCCTCTTTCGAATGCGAGGAAAATAACCTCCAAATCTCAACTGCTTAATCCTATAGATCTTTTCCTAATTCGGACGACTTCGCCGACGCTAACCCCATGTGTCAACTTTCGCCAGTATATTTCCATGTTGTCTGAACATCGTCACCCCCTCCTTCATCACCTAATCCATGTCGAAGGTCTATATCAAAAAGCCAGATCCAGGCGAATGTCATCCAATTCAGATTCACACTTTCACTTGCACAATGTACGACCTCGCACTAGGCGCGCTCACGCTATTCGCGCTGGTGTACTACCTGGTAGTGCCAGTGACCACATACTTCTATGATCCAAAGGACCTAAGGAAGTTCCCAAATGCTTACGTCTTGTCTGGGATATCGGATTTGCCCTTCCTTTATGAAGCAAACAAAGGATTTCGCTCTCGGACACGCTTCGAGGCTCACACGAAACATCCTGTTCTGCGAATCGGACCTAACGCACTGTCTTTCTCAGACTCATAAGCCATCAAGGACATCTATGGCCATGGTACAGGATGTATCATTGACCGATTTTACTCCGAGACCTCAGGCTCGCACTCGCATCTCGTAGATGTCGTCGACAAGCAAGATCATTTCCGAAAGAGAAAGATCTTGTCCAGCGCTTATGCGCTCAAAAACCTGGAAAATTGGGGGTTTAAAGTGGTAGAAGTGAGCGGTAAACTCATCAAAGCATTTGATGCCCGATGTACCGATCCGTTGCCTCTAAATCAGCTTCCCCGGAAAGAACACCTGACTGTCGACTACCGCAACTAGACTATGCTATTCACGGCCGCGGCAATTGCGAGCATTAGGCTCAGCGAAGACCTAGGATTTCTAGACGAGGGATCCGACAAGGTGAAATCCGAGAAGAAAGACAGGACCGTCAAAGAGGTCTCGTTCCGAGAATGCCATGCTGCTACAGGTCGAGTGTCGTACCAGCTTGTCTGGGCCTATGACTGGTTAAAGACCTTCTCCCGAGTGAGTAAGATGGTGTCGTCGAACTATTACCGTATGTGGAAACTAGATGGCGATTGGAACGGTATCATCTACAACTGTGCGACTACACGCCTGAAGCGATACCTGGTAGGCGAGACGTTGGATGACTTCTTCGGCACGATTATGTAGAATAAGAGCGGGTCGACTTATAATATAGAATGGGGCGAAAGTGTCGCTGATATCAGCATCATGATAAATGCTGGCCATGACACAACAGCAATCTCACTCGGAACACCCTCTTCTTCCTGCTAAAGAACCCCAAGTGTATGAATCAGGTCCGGGAAGAGCTAGACGATGTCACGGACGAGGTCATCGCGCCTTATGCCAAGGCCAAAAACTTGCCTTATCTTCGAGCTTGCGTAGACGAGAGCTTGCGTAGACGAGAGCTTGCGTAGACGAGAGCTTGCGCATGCTCCCTCCTATGATCTTCGGACTTCCTCGCCGGACGCCTGCCCAGGGAGCTCCAATTCTCAATGATTATATTGCTGGTGACACTTCTGTCAGCATGTCAGCTTACGTTGTTCATCACCAAGAGTCTATCTTCCGTGACCACGACACCTACAAGCCGGAGCGATGGCTGGGGGATGAAGGCAAAGCATTGCAGCCTTTCCTTTTTTTCGTTCCGTTCAGTACTGGAGCGAGTGGATGTATCGGTCGCAATATTAGCTACCTTGCGCAGACTGTCCTGCTTGCTTCTCTAGTCCATCGATTTGAGATTGCTTTGCCATCACCACATTGGGATCCTTCCATCCGTTGAGAGACCAATAATTGCTTTTATAATATGCGAACAGTCATTTGAGGCTGAAAAATCGCACGTAAATGCTTATGCACGTGATGTTGTTGTCCGGGCAACATTTGACCCAAAACGGCATGCGCCCTGTCGATCTGTAGACGTTCTGGAACGTCTGCTTCGCAGCGTTTGCCTGTTTTGATTTCTGTATCTTCGACTTCAACGTTCTCATAGTCAGCAAAATGTCGCCGAAACAGCCCCAGGCGTCGCTTTTCCAGGTATTTCTTCGTCTACGACCTCCGATCGCCCAGAAAGACGAATCCGAGCGTTTCCTTGCAGTTGAGCCCCCAGAGACATCGCAGGATGACGCAGAAATTGTCCCCGCAGTGCCGACGCATATCATTCTTCAACCTCCGAATGATACCCGAAAGCGGGCCGTGGAGAAGTTTGGGTTTACCAAAGTCTTCGAGGAGGCTGCCTCGCAATTAGATGTCTTCCACGACACTGGCATGGAGCCTATCATACGGGGAGTGTTGAAGGAGAACCGAGATGGACTGGTTGCCACGCTAGGTGTGACAGGAAGTGGAAAGGTCTGGCATCAAATAAAGGTGTAGCACAACACCGAAGCTAATAATTGGAGAAATACAGAGCCACACGATTCTAGGATCCAAGACTGAACGAGGAATGACCCAAATGGCGCTCGATGTCATCTTCCGCTCCCTAGAACCCACCGTCAAGACCGAAGATGGAAGCATTACCCCCATCATGCTTGCATCGCTGGCTGCTACGGATGTGTCTGAAGCCCAGCTGTTCTCGGCCCAGACCTTTTTGGAAGCTGTTTATGGCGAATCCACCGGACGCAGCTCAAGAGCACAAACACCCATGAGCCCATCTCGTGCAAACACGCCATTGACGGTACGAAGCCCTCTTGCCCTAAACTCTCCTCAAGGACCGTCAACCCCGCGACCAAACCCACCTAGCTCGTGTCTCCCGAGACCACGGAGTAAACCTGGAAACCCTCGCAAGGTGGACGCAGCCCTGGTAAACCGTCTCCATCACACTGCGCGAGCTTTCCTAGGCCAGGACTCACCCGAGCACACTGGACCCGTTACCCCGGGACTCTACAACCCCCTGCCCTACACCCACTCCAATGTTTTTGAATCGCAATTAGCTAAATCACGACTTTATGTTTTAAAGGAACCTGCTCCCGCATTGAGCTTCCCCCGCCGCAACATTCGTGAACGACAAGGCGCGCTTCCTCGACTTCCTGACATGAGTCACCTCTCGGTGGATATGGACTCCAATGCCGACTTCGTCGTTTTGGTATCCATGTATGAGGTGTACAACGATCGAATCTTTGATCTCCTATCCCCTGCAATTGTTCCAGGCCAAGGAACCATGTCCCGCGGCAACAACCAAAAGGATCGACGACGCCCCCTGCTTTTCAAGCCAACCGAAGGCTCACCTGACCGCAAATTGGTTGCAGGGCTGCGAAAGATTGCTTGCGGCACCTACGAAGAAGCATTGGCTATCTTGGATGTTGGTTTGACGGAACGAAAGGTAACTGGCACTGGAATGAATAGTGTTAGCTCTCGGAGTCATGGTTTCTTCTCCCTGGAAGTCAAGAAGCGTACCTTCTCTAAGCGTACTGGTGAGGCGAACTGGGTAGGGAACGCTCTTACCGTTGTTGATTTGGCTGGTAAGTATATTTGGTCTGCGTATCCTGGTTTTTACTGACACATTTAGGCTCTGAGCGCGCCAGAACGGCCAAGACAGCGGGTGCTACACTCGCTGAAGCTGGCAAGATTAACGAGAGTTTAATGTATCTTGGTCAGTGCTTGCAGATGCAAAGCAACATCCAGGATGGCATGAAGGTATGTCTTGGTACTTTGGTTAATACCATCTGCGCCATGACTGATTCATTTTAGACCGCACTCGTTCCATACCGCCAGTGCAAGTTGACCGAGCTCCTGTTCTCAAATTCTTTCCCTTCGCCCCATCAAATGTCTCGGGGACAATATCCCCAAAAGGCCATTATGATTGTCACTGCTGACCCTCTGGGTGATTTCAATGCCACTTCTCAAATATTGCGCTACTCCGCACTGGCTCGTGAGGTTACCGTGCCCAGAGCGCCCTCAATCGCTGAGTCTATTATATCTGCATCTGGAAGCCACCGCTCAGTTAGTGGCCGTGCTTCTGTGCATGATGGGAGAGCAGAGGAGCTCGAAAGAGCAGCTGGTGAGATCACACGTCTTACCCGTGATTGCCACGGCCTTGCTGTCAAACTCGCTGAAGAGGAAATTGCACGGTCTGAGATTGAAACAAGACTAAGGGCGACTGAAGAAAGATGTCTCATGATTGAGCAAGACGTACGCGAAGAATGCTGGGCAGAGATGGATGAAAAGATGGAAGAGGAGAGGCGCCGTTGGCAAAATGCTTGGGATGAGCAGGTTGGTACACAACAAACGTTTGGTATATGTCATACGCTAAGACTTCTCAGCTCGGCCGCAATGATGAGCATATCGACAAGAAGGTCGAGCTGGTTTCCCGTGGATTCCAGAGTAAGTTGTCTCATGTGAACTTTGAGCTTGAATCATCAGACTAACTTCCACCTACAGTCTTTGAAGACCCAAACTCAAATGCACGGATGGAAGAGCTTGAGCAAGAGAATGACGAACTCCGTCGCAGACTCGCCGCTCTCGAGCGTGAGATGCATTCCCAATCTCCGACCAGAAAGCCAAGGGCCAAGAACGCCACTCCCGCTCGTGCTAATCTCTTGAGCCGCGAAAGCGACATCGAGAATGCATTGCAACGCATGGATCAGTTGAAACTTGCTGATACCATGTTTGCTCCTCCGTCCCCTGGAGCATCTCCTATCAAGAAGCAGAGGAAAATGGGCACACGCAAATGGGATCTCGCCCCCGAGGAGGACATCTAAGTTTTCCCGATTTGTTGACACGACTGTTACGATTTATCCTTCTTCCCACCCAGTTCAAGATACAGAATTTAACTACCGGATGGTTGGATTGGTTGGCTATGGGCAATGATATCCCTCGGACTAGGCGTTTTGGGAGCCATTATTTGTTGGAATATTGAATGATACTTCGTTTTGCAAGAATACCAATCTTTTGGATAACGTTATTGTGAATATTGTACATGCCAGCTCGTAAGGCAACAACCTGATGTCCTATCTCTCAACGCCAACATCCAGCTGTAATATAGCCGGAGATAATTAATCGCAGCGCCATGAATATCTGAAGAAATTAAAAAGTAAAACACAATTGAAATATAGCCCCTAGTCCATCAGGATTCAGAAGGTGTAATATCCATTGCGTCAGGGTCGCCCTTAGACGCAACATCCTTGCCAGCGAAAGGCTCAGTTTCCGTCTCATTAGCAGACTGGTCAGCAGTGAGATTGCCCTTCGTCTCTTCATCCTGCATTTCCTCATCTTCATCACCATCACCTTCCCCTTCCGTAGCAGCAGGATCACCATCACCACCACCATCCCCTTCGCCACCCTCGTTCTCATCATCTTCCCCATCACCCTCATCAGCCCCCTCATCCCCACTACCACCTTCCTCCGCGTCAGTAACAGGAGGGAAAAGAGTCGAATTCCCCTCATCGATCATCGTCCCATCGTCGTCTTCACCAACATCACTCTCGTCAGCGCTGTCATGCTCCCCGTTCGGATCCTTCTGCCCAGCAGCTCCATCTCCATTCGCGGGAGGCGGTTTGCCGGGGCCTCGGATAGCAGGAGTCGAGGCCGCGCCTGGCATCAACGCACCATGCGGCGTAGAAGGCGGGTCCGTCTCGCCCGGAGCGGTGAATTTGCTCGCGGGAGCACGGGGAGCAAGCTTCGTGTTGACGATTGTATCGGCCCGTTTCTGGATGTCGCGGCGGGCAATACCCTTAGTACGGCCGCGCGGCGCGGGGGTATCAGAAGCGGGGAGGGGGTAGGTGGCGTAGAAGTCTCGGCGGAAGCTTCGCCCGCCATGAGCAGGTGGTCGAGTTTCATTTTCTCTTTGTTCTCGTCGTTGACTTGCTCGATCAGTTGGGGCATGTTGACTTCGTAGACTCGGGCGTAGAGGTCTGCGATCAGATCCTCGAACATGGTGATTTTCATCAGGTTGTTGTTCAGCTTCTTCAATTCCAGGGCATCACGGAGCAATTCTAGGAGGGGTTGGCTGTCTGTGGACAGTTGGGTTAAGCTTTCCAGGCGAGCTGTTTTGGTGGAAAATTCTTCCCAGCCGATTGGTTTGAATACGCCTTCTTCATGTCCTTCGTTGATCATTGCTGCGCGGCGAATGAGCTAGAATTGGTTAGTATTGGAGAGGGTGGTAATATGGGTTGGTCCTGTCTCACCTTTGCATAGTTCAGGCAAATATCCTCCCACAGCTTGGTGTGATTGAGGAAATCGCCCTGCTTCTTTCTCACGCGACGTAACAATTGATCTAAGCTTGCGCGATCATCTAATTGATCAAGCAAGCCGACGAAAAAGTACACATATCGTGTGGTGTAGACGAAATGTCTACCCGGACGTTCGAATTCAGGTCGCCAGACTTGGATGGTGAGCGTCTTGGTAAAAATCTGGGACAATTCCTGCTTGGCAGCAATCGCAGCAGCTGGGTTTGGTTGACCATCGTAAACCAAATGGGCAGCCTAGGGATTGTCAATTGTGTGAACCGCTGAGAACAGCTAGGGAAAGGGAGGTATACCTTCACGCCCATTCGATGATGCCAGTTGGACTTATCGGCACTCTTGAACTTTCGAAGAACTTCCGTCATGTATGATTTCCATGCATCCATATTCTCGGGAACATCAACCTTTCTGGCCCAGGGGGTTGCGAGTAGGGCTTTGCCTCCTTCGGCAGGCTGATGCAATTGTCAGTAAACATTACTCAACCAAAAAAAATGTCACTAACCGTCATCTTTCCTCGAAGGACAAGCTTGTGCACAAAAGAAAACAGTTTGAAGTGCGGCTCGAAGATCGGATCAGAGCGCGAGTCTCTTCGCTGTGGGAGTGCGTTGATGGCATCGAACAGAGCGTCCAGCACCTCTTGCATCTCAACTCTTTTTGAACTCGTCCTAAGAGAGTCGTCGCTATTGTACATCTTCCAGAGACACTTGGCAAGCGTATAATGGGTCCTGATCACGTTAGCGTTGTTGAACATTTGCAACATCACAGGCTGTCACTTACATCCATCGTTTCGACTTGTCAACGGCTGCCCGTTTGAGAAGGTTGCTGGCAAAGTTCCACACCGAGTACTCCGACATTTCCTTGAAAGGCTGCCCCTTGTACATCTGCTGACTCTCTTCGCTGCTGAAATGACGAGGGAAACCTTCCACGCTAAAGGCACCCATAGACAACGGTTCACGAGAGGATGAGTACAGACGAATACCAAAGTCGGAGTAGAGATCCGACATCAGGGCTCTTGTCTCTGCCGTTGGCTCTGCGGTCCGGATTGCCGTTGAAACGGCCATTGCATAACAATGGATGGCGTTCCGCTGGAGTGTTGCTAGATCCGCGCGGTTGTTGTTGATTTTGTCCGCTGTCCATGTAATATCTTCATCCAGCTTGGAATCGTATGCCTGAGCGAGTCTGAACCAGGTCTCCCACCTCCCTGATCCATGATCCAAGTCCTGTCTGAAGAAGCTGATGGCATCGTCAAGCTCGCTTGTTGAACCAGGGCTGAGACGCTTTTGTGAACGGAACTTGGTCAAAGCGGCATGGCCAAGAAGGAAGAACCATCCTTTAGCGGCAATCTTTGCATTCTCGGTTAGAACCACAGTTGTCGAAAGCTCTGTAATACCTTGAACGGCCCGGAGAAGATTGGATGGGTTGAGGGCGGCTTTAAGATAGGCATTGACAATCCGACGATTGAAAGTCAGCTGTGGTGCTTGCGACGAAGACTTGGCGGCGGGACCAATTGCTTGCTGCATCTTTTCGATAGTTGTCTTCAATTCGGACTTTGACAGGTCCTTCATGTTCATCTTGTTTGCCTGCTGCAAAACAAAGTCAATCATCATGATAGCTGTAGGGCGATCCAGCTTCTCCGGAGGGCACCCATGATCCATGGTTCCATCGAATGGAGAAAACTTGATGCCGTGCAGATCGTAAAGGATTTGGCACACATCGAATTCATAGTCCCCTTTCGTCTCAAGGCCAAAGAGCTCAGCCTTGACAAGTTTCAAGAACTTCTTCTGCGAGTACCTGCACATTGATCGGACGCCCAATGCATTGTGTACGGAACGAAGGAAGTGAATCCGATCTTCGAGTGCGTCATCGAAAAGTTCTTTGTTCTGAGCGATTGCCTCCATGAAAAGGGTGTACTGTAGAATCCAGCAACGAACGTACAGCTCTCGCATCCTATCCTTAAAGTTTTCAAGCGACTTCGTTAATGATGCTCGGAGGTCACGACCAGAAGTTTGCCCGACCCGCACAGAATCTTCATATAGAACAAAGCTGTGCAACAGTCTAGCAAGGCGGGATACTGCAGACATGGATGCTTGAAGATGCTCTTGGTCGAAACATTCGTAGGCCATGTCCGACTCTTCAAGAATAAGTGGTATGGCCTTGGCCACGATGCCATCCAGAGCCTTGAGCCAGCTCAGCAGAGATACCTGACGGTGTCGATTTGTTTCTTCGCTGTGTTTCGTGGCCTCAAGTTCTGTCATCACCACTTCGATACTTCGCAGATAGCATGAGACAACTTTAGGCGGGTAGTCGATGGCTTGGTATGCCTCCTGGAGCCTGCGCCACAGAAATAGACGCAATGTAGCATCTCCGCGGTCTAAGAAGGCAGCCATTTCGCTGAGGTGTGATGTTGGATGATTCATGTCGTTCTCCGATGGTGCTTCTGCATACTCAATCGATGAGGGCTCAAGAATGGGCTCAATTGCCTCGATGAGGGACACAGGATCTTCCGAGTCCGAGTTGAAGACCTTGGCAAAGAAGTCCATGCACTTGAGCTTCAACACCTCTTGGTCTATCACAGCCGCAGACAGTTCGGACATGGTGGAGTTGTTGATGAAGCTGGCGTCTGGATTGCCAAGGGTCTGGAGGATTTGCTTCAGGTCTTGGAGGCAAAGCAAAATATGCTCCCGTTCTGCCTCCCCGGCAAGGTTGATATGGAATACAGATGCCCACAGATGACGGAGAGTGATGTCTTTTTGGCAATCACCAGACGGCCCGTTGTCGACAAAATGATCCACGGATGATCGAGCTAGCATGCCCCAACGACCCAGCCTGTCGCGTTGTGCAAGTCGTGTCTCCTGTCCTGTCTTGCTGCCTAGAGTTTCAACTGAAGCGAAGATATCCAAATGAAGTTCATAGATGGACTGTACCATCTCAAGCTCGAAGAAGTCGCTGGCCTTATATTCAAAAGGAGCTTCACTGCTTGCGTCAAGCATTCGGCGTTCGAGGTCGGCAATCAGTTCACCAGACCTTTTGTATATGAACTCATCCTCGCGGAGCAAGAGATCCACCACAGTATTCTTTAGTTCCTTCGGCCACAAAAAACGCCTGTATGCTGACTTCGCAGTGGACCAATCTGGGGTTTCTCGACCAAAGTTTGGCGTCAGAAGGCACTTGAGCCACTGAAAAGAGGTGTCATGGGGGTGTCGCCATTCACTGTTGATGGAGTCAGAGAAGTCATAGAGATGCTCCCCAGCGGGGAGGTCTTCCGCAACAATTGGTTTCCGGGCACCCTTGCGTGAGTGTTCAAGGAATACAGCCAAGCCCGATTTGCTCGTACCGTGTATATCCTTCTTCAAGGGTGAATGTTCATCCTTCTGCTGCATCAAACGAGACTTTTCGTCGTCCCATGTCTTGATGAGACCGCGGAAATCCTGGAACAACCGTGTTTCAAGGTCTTCGGGTGTATCAGTTGATTCACTTGTCGAGCACTTTGCTCTTATGCTTGCAATGCTCCCCAGTGCTTCGATTCCGACTTTTGAAAACAGAGAATCAAGCGTGCTGAACATCCAATCATCGGCATTGACGAAAATCTCGAGGCGGTTTTCGTAGTACTTTTCTTGGTCGAAGGCGATTTCCTCAGGAACTACCAGGGCGTCGGCATTTGATTCTCGGGCACGTGTCCGTCTGCTCTTCATTCGACCTCCCTCTGGCTCCTCGTTGGCAACTGATGCAGACGATCTTTTGCGAGCAGCCGCTGCAGAGCTCGGGTCAAGGTCCTCGGGATTTGTCTCATCATTTTCAGCTTGCTGATCAGGAGGTTGTGCTGATTGGCGTTCTAATGATTCCATCAATTGCTTCTCTGCGCTCTGGTCGATAGTTGAGGGTTCCTCGACTGGTTCTGCGGGCTCCTTGGTTTTTTCGGGTTCAGGTTCGGGTTCTTCGGATTTCGTCTCATGCTCAGTTGTTTGAAGCATTTCTCCGCTGCTCTCGTCGTTTTCGGCTCTTTTCTCATGTCCATCGTCTTCACTTTTCATCTCCACGTCATCTGGCTTTGTGGTCGGCGTGCCAGGAGGATGAGAGCCCCGTGTTGGTAGAACAATGCCGATTGACCGACTCGGAACTGCGGAAATCGACGCCTCATCGTCGTCGTCGAGAGCTTGGAGAAGTGCCTTTCCAACCGACTCCCAAGTTGGTGCTGCGGGTGTAATATACCTGATGGAAGTATGTATTGCGAGAGGTCCCTTGGATGAATCGATGTTCTGTAAATCGGCGGGAATCGTAGGTAAACTTGGGTAAGGATCCTCGTGCTGTTTTAAATACTTCAATAGAGCCTTCTTGGGTCTTTTGACGGGAATCTGCGAAGCAGATAACTTGTCGAAAAGGGTCTCTAGTGTGCTTCGAAGGCGTTGCTCTGCAAATATTTCCTCCAGGCCGAGCTGCTCTGGCCGCAATTCCAGCCGATTGTCATCATCTGCTAGTACGCTCTCCAAGCAATACCGCGACAAGCGATGGCTCTGCAAGGCACCACTGAGTCTCGCGCTTTGCCTCCAGAGATTCAGATCAGAGTCATCTCGTTCTAAGGCATCTCCGAAGGATTGCAGCGCTTTCCTTGACGCCTCCATCAGCTTCTTTTGCGCTTCTTTCTCGGATCCGGGCGTCTTCGGTGCTGTTCGTATGGATTCTTGTACCGCATCGAGAACGTATTTGCCGTGGTTTTTGTAGGAGAGATAAAGGGTCTGGAATAGACTGGAGGTAGAGTCGTTGACATTGAACTCGCCGATCGGTTCTGTGGCTTCATCAGAGGTCTCTTGGGTCTGCGCATCCTCGAATGCGCCCCTTTTGAAATCGGAGACGGACTCTGGGTATTTAAAGATCTCGGAATTGAGAAGAGCTTCGTATGCCTCGGCTGCCTGGGAATAGAACTCTGGACCTTGCGCGTGTAGTTTTAAAGCACTGTGGTATAGCTTCAGAGCTTCCTCGATCTGGAGCTCCTTGGTATCATCAACCTCCTCTTCGACAGCCTCATCGGGTTCAACATTCAATGCGACCCAGCTCGACATGATGCGAGCTCGGGGTCGTTCGATCTTATATATCAGATAGTCGAAAGAAGGGCGACATCCCAGGAAACCCTTAAATGCGGGATTGGTTATCAGACACGTTATCACGCGTTGACCACATCGGGGAAGGTGTGTGTGGCCTGCGTGCCTTGATGCCTGCATGCCTTATGGCCTGACACCTTCCTTTGGGGTAATAGTACAATTGTAGTCCAGGATCACTTTCACCCCTCAGTGCACCCCCTGGATTTTTTTCACTTTGCTCAGCCTATTTTATTCCAGATACCCTCATTATTCTCACCACGCTTGTGCAGGCGCCATGGTCGCGCCCGCTGTCCCTGAGTATGTTGCTCCTGTCCCCGTTTACGTGTTCCCCGGGCTGCGCACGCATGGCAATTGTCCCAAATGGGCGACAGCTGCAGCTGCGCAAATCGCAGGAATCGTGACTGACCTTGTGAACCCTACTTAGAATCCACGAGGAGGAGGATATCTTTGTTGCCGTTGATGCGCGAACAGAATCTCTGCAGAGCTTGCGGGAATTAGGCCCCCCAGACTTGGTATATTTGGTCAAGCAGCCCAAGGCCAATTCCAATTCAACTCGCCAGGTACACTTATGCCTTTGATCTGAAACAATTTATGCAGATAATTGACTCATTTCCATCTATGACAGACCGGCGTTTATCATCATGTCACCGGAATCGATGCCTCCTCGTCCGCAAGCTTAGCCGCCTACGTGAACACCCTCACATTCTCTCCCCTCGATAAGACACACAAAGTGGTATCAGGAATCTACTGGTCAGTCTCACAATCGCTACAGCGGTCAATATATGCTAATATCTATACAGCTGCTACAATGCCTTCTCCCACCTCGACATGCGTGTTGAAGTCAAGATCCCCGGAAGCTTGGAGAGCTACTGCATCGACGAGCGGGGTGACAAGCGAGTTGCAACTGAAGCCCTCTGGCTTGAAACGTTCCTTTGCGCTGTGCTAAGAGCCTACCTTTACGCCGATGACGGAAGTGGAGATGCTGTCAAGAAGATTGTCGGAGTCCGACGATTCAACCCAGTGACAAATACAGAGATGGAACATAAGTTCTTGGATGCCGCCGAAAAGCTTTTCTTCCTAGGTACGAACCATTCTATAGCTCGTTTGTTGTACCCGTACTGACAATGGACAGGACGCCAGCTGAGCTCCGACCCCGAGACCCAAGTCCCCAACACCGTGAGCAACCACCTTACATCAGGCGTCCTCAAGTACATCCACACCACTGGTCGATACACATCCGGAATAAACCTCTTCGAAAAGCTCCGCACAAAGGATGTGGAGGTCTCGTCTCTGCTCGCTCGTGTACAGATGATGGCAGACGAGGAAGTACAAGCGGTGCGACTAATGTATGATGCCCTACAAGATGTGCCAATGGATTATGCTTTGCTAGACTGCCAGGCAAACTTCTGCCAGAGCAAGGGCGAAGGCGATATGGCGCTTGAATGTGCCAAGCGGGCCGTGACCGCTGCCCCGAGCGAATTCAGTACATGGGCTCGTCTGGCGGAGGTATATGTCGGTATGGAACAGTGGGACCTAGCGCTCTTGACTCTCAACTCCTGTCCCATGTTCACATATCAGGACAAAGACACACCTCGCATGCCCCAACCATCACGTATCATGCTTCCAATTCTCGCCGAAAGCATCCTCGATGAAATCGACGAGGGCCAGCCCAAACAGGGAGACCCCCATGACTTTGTTCACCCTTCTCTTCGGAAGATCCATGCTGCTGGTTACCAGGGTACCTTCTTGAAGGCATACAATCTCCTTACAAAGATTGCCGCTGCAATCGGTTGGGACCAACTCCTGAAGGTCCGCAGCGAGGTGTTTGTGATGGAAGAGGAATACCGTGTTGAGCGACAACATGTCCCTAAACCTGCTCAGTCACTAGGGGCCGAGATCAATGGAGATAGTGCTGAGCAGGAGGACGACACTGGTTCAGTGAATGGACCTAGCCCGGTCCAGTCCACAGAAGAAACCCCCAATGGAGACGGGAATGCAAACCACGGCCAGAGCCCTCTCGAAAGACCCGAGCAGACGGTGGCTTCAGAGGTCGTCAAGTCTGGCAACGAGGATGTAAGTGCACACAACACGGACGTATTGATTATATACTGACTATTCATCTCACAGCCCGACCCATCACACGCCGCATACACACAATTCCGCAACAAACGTCTATGTGAAAGATGGCTCGATAACCTCTTCATGGTCCTCTATGAGGACCTCCGCATCTACACCATCTGGAGAACAGAGATGGCCCAGTTCCGCCAACAAGCGATGGAGTACAAGAAGTCCGCGACCGAGTGGGAGATCCTTGGTGAGCTCGCAGAGCGACTCCACCATTTTGACGAGAGTATCGAGGCTTATCAGAGCTGTCTGGCCACTCGCTTCTCACCAAAGGCCATGCGCGGGGTGTTGAAGCTCTACGAGCAGCGAAATGACACGCGAGGCATGCTTGGCGCACTCATTCGTCTCATCGCCTGGCAATATCGCTGGTATTCTGAGGTATGTTTCTCTCCTCTGCAAATAACCTTGGTCATCCATAGCTAAGCATTTCCAGTTCTCCCCCGAGCTCTTATTCCTCGTCCGCAAGCTCATCGAGGATGAAGGTGCCGTAAAGGTCCGCAGCATCGTGCAAGCCACTAACCTCCCCCAACCCGTCCTCGACCTCACACACCAGTACTGCCAGCTCTGCGCCACATTCCGCAGCAGCGGCAGCGATACCTAAGTTGCGCGCGGTCGAACAAAATACGGACGAGAGATCGCTTAGCTTTACGAGGCCATAGTGCTAATTTCTTCCCTGGATGTCGATGTCAAGATAGAAAGCGGGCGCAGGCAGGGTTAATGACCATTCTTGATTGATGACACCTTTTTTTCTTCATTTCCTCTTGTCAAATCGATTGTTACTAGGTAGTTTTTCTTAGAGTATATACTTCCTATCAATTTTTTGATCGGTTACTCAAAAGTGCATCATAGCGGGTCCATTATAGTTAGAATTCACACATTGCTGTTGCCCCCTGGGTTATGTACAGGTACCTCTAGGTGCAACGCGTGTTCAACAATCTAAGAACTGCCTCAGTGGAGAGCATGGAGACAAATGATAATCAGCCAGTCACATAGATTATACCAACGCTTGATATGCGCCATGCCCCAGTCCGTAGGAAAAACAGACGGGATCGGCCACTAGCAAGAACTAGTCGAGCTCTGTGTATAATCACCATCTACAATAAGATCCACAGAAGCCCTAACGTTGATCCAGCGATGATACAAGTAGATGAAACCATAACCTAAAGCAATCCAATACATTCCTATTATAATTCATACACCCAAACCAAGGAAGCCATTTTACAACAACGACAACCCATAGTGAATTACCACTAAAACTACCCCTACTCATCCTTCTCAACCGCCTCAGTCTCAGGAAGATCAGATTCCTTGGGAACATCACCACCCTTAGCCTTGGCAGCCGCAGCCGCAGGACCACTCTTCTCAGCTGTCGCATCGACTGGTTCTTCCTCTCCTTCCTCGGCAGCAGGTTCCTCATCTTCATCTTCGCCGCCGTCACCGTTCCGTGCGACTTCGACGCCTTCATCATCGTCAACGACTGCAGGTGCGGTTTTTCGCTTCTTTGGTGCTGGGCCTGGTGTTGATGGTTATATTGTTAGCGCGTGCGAGGAATGGATATACGATATGATATGATATGATAGGGCTAGGATTTGGGGTTGGGTTGGGTTTGGAGAATTGAATGTGGAAGTCATACCTGGGGCTTTGGTGGCTTCCTCTTCTTCCTCTTCGTCTTCATCGTCTGAGGCTGAGGCAGATTCTTCGGCTTCTTCGTCCTCGTCGCTTCCTTCCTCTAGTTCGGGTTCGGAGTCTTCATACCTGTGTTGGGGTGCCGGGTTAGTATTGCGTGAATTGGATTTAAGGGTTGCGCGTCATGAATAAAGTAGGTTGTTAGGGTGTCGCGATTCGCGCGTGACTGTTGTAATCGCATTGAATTGTGGTAAAAGGATGCGCGAAGTGTTGGCGCAAAGGTCGAGGAGAAGAATTGGACCCGTAATTGGGAATGGAAATAGAATGGAACTAGAACTTGGAGACTTACTCTTCTTCCTCTTCGCTTTCATCACTAGGAAGGGCTTGGAGCTCCTCCTCGGGTTCACGACCTCTCTTGCGGGTGGATGTCATGGTGAGGAATTAAGGAGGTGGAATTATAGAGGGAGAATTATAGTACGAGGAGGCAGGCCTTGGGGGGAAGGAATATATAGGAGAAAGGAGAGAGAAAGGAGAGAGAAAGAGCGTAGCTCCAAGCTGAGGGAAGGGGGTCGAACCAAGGGAGAGGGGGCATAAGCGGAGGTGACGGTGACGACATGGGTTAGGGTTAGTTGACAGCTTACAGTGGAGTTCGGTGCGTGGCAGATGGGTGCGTGTCGCCAGTGAGATTCTTGCTACATTCCGTGGTATTCAGGCCTCTCTGGGGTATTCTGTGCTTTTTCTTTGCTCTCTCATTGTGTCAGGAATTCGAAATCCGCCATGCTCGGGTCAAGCAGGTTCTCGTCAAGACCGAATCCGTACGTGCCGACCATGCCATAAATTAAGTCTGGCGGAGGGAATCCCTGTGCCATGGCGTTTGCCCCCCCGGGCACTTCGCGTCCTTCGACGGCTGTCTCATTGCTCCCTCGGAATTGCCAGGCTGCCTCCCACGAGTCGAAGCGCTCGAGCATCTTACCCAGACCGCGCGCGATGTGACGGGTTAGATGTCGTTCGCCTGCAGAGACGCAGTTCATAAGCTCGATCACGCGCTCGACTAGTCGTCGGATTTGGCGAGCGTTGATGCTGAGGTATGATGTGTTCCAGTTGATGGCGACCTTCAATAGGAACACGGCAGAGAATGTAACCATAGTGTGAGTAAAGATGGGAACGCCAACTATCGCATCCCGGATATCGGGCTCCTCGAGTACCATATTGAGACATGCCATCGCCGATGAAATCGCGATGTTGGCTGATTCTTTGCGATCCATAGAAAATACTGGGGAATTGGATGGGGACAGCGCTCGGAGGGAAAGCGAGTTCAGTTGGAATTTGGCAAAATGATAATGTAGCACCACTCCTTTCGAGGGATAAGTTCGCACATAGGCGCTATCAGCTGGAAGGCGCGTTAGATTCAGCAGTAATCATTGAAACGCATTGGATCACTTACCAGATCGAGGTTGCCAAAGGAGCCGCCACTGGTCAACCGCAACGTTGTATACGCGCAACTGTCCAAAATCCTCCTCAGTCAACGCTTGTTCAGTATCGCTACCGAACATGCGATAAGCCTCGGTCAGAATCATAAATAGGGCCACTTGAGCTAGAAGCCGAATGTCTCCTGGCACGACCATGGGCAGCGCGAGAAAGGTCTCATAGTTGCGAATGACTACATCCTCGTGGATCACGGGTGGCCGACCGTAGGCAATACTAAAATGATGATCGCAGACATAAAGCAAGTACCAGAGCTGGGCGCGCTCATACTGATCCGTGTGTCCGCGGGTCAGGCGCTGGTAACTCTGATGAAGGCCCATCTCGGTCGCGATTCGCACCGCATGGCCAGATAGCTTCCAGCTTAACTCAGACAGCCAAAATGCACCCACACAAAGTCCACGTATATCATCCAACGTGTGGGCTCGCGTAAGGGCCATGCTGGACACGAGCGAGACATACTCGCCATAGCACCGGTTCAAGGTCTCAGTGCGATTCGGAATGTGAAGTGCTGCGACAGTCAACACGGCAGCGGAGAGCAACGTCGAAGCGCGACGGACCGATGTTAGATCGCGATGGACCAGAATTATCCCACCCCAGAGTAGCTGGTTCATGGTGCGGCTGAAGTAGGCGAATAATTCCTCCGCTTCATGGAGCGAAATCAACCCGCGCGAGATGAAATCCTCTTCTAGCAATGTCTGCTTGGGTGGCTCGACATGATTATTTCTCAGATTCCGTAGTTTGGTCACTTCGTATAAGCTGCGCATGGGGGCCGGCACCAATTCAGGGTCCTGGAGGTCCTGCTCTGGCGACGGTTCCCGAGTGACATCCATGACTACCCCCGGCCCCTCCTGATGACTGGTATGTGTCTGCGATCTATCAATCGAGGGACGATGAGCATGGTGCGAAGCAGCGGGACTGGGGCCATTCTGACTGTCCCCGGAAGGATATGTCGAGAGCTCGGGCAATCCACCCTGTCGCAAGAGGTGCGAGACAGCTGCCTGCAGCTGATGCATTGTCGCATTCGCCTGGGATTTCCATCTATACCAGTATTGGATTAGCAAGTGCCCTGGGAGCTTCGATGTTGAGCGGTTGGAGCGGGGTCCGCGGGGAGTGCACATACATCCCATCATCGTCGACGAATTTCTGCGAAAAGTCGTTCACGACGCACTTGATACCGCTGCGGATACATTTCGTACAGGTTGTCTCGCCCGGTCGGAATTCGCAGCGAATCTTATGGCGCTTACACTCGGCGCCTGGTCCGGGTTAACAGTGTCGGGGACAGTGTAGAGAAGAGACTCACAGGCACGAGCTTTGGAGATCTTGGGCGCAGACCGACGATTGCTTTCTCGGGGAGACTCCAGGTCGTCATCGGCAGATCGTTTCAGTGGAGTAGAGGCCTCCATGGCGAAGTCGGTGATGCTCCGGGCATGCGTAGGGGGCGAAATCTGGGGAGTGGGGGAAGCTCGGAGTCGAGCTGAGCTGGTCCGAGGGAGGATTCAAGGAAGACAACAATTCAGATTTCGGGATATTGGGAGTTTACAGAGGAAACAGAGGAAGGGGTCTCAACAGAAAGAGGTGCCCGGACTCGACTTTCCCGAAATTCAATGCTCAGTGGCACCGACTCCATCTTCTCTACTTTGTTTGTATCTGGCTATTAGGAATACTTTTCGCTTCCCCTGCACTTGATGTCTAAATGACATGACCGTTGTGTAGTCTATCACTCATACAGTGATTCGGTGCATCCCGAATGCTTTGGGACCTTGACAGCCCTGGAGTCCGAGGCCTCCACGACTCCACCGGCCCAAGTCCGGTGCGGAGGACCCTCCAAAGATCGTCTCGGACTTGATGCGAATGCGGAGAGAAATGCGCTGCGACAATTTCACTACAATAATACCCTTTCTCCGTTATTCCTGACTTCCAATTAACACCTTCACAATGCATATCCTCATCACCGGCGCTGCTGGCTTCATCGGCCAACTACTCGCAAAGGAACTATTGAACGACCCAACCTACCGCCTCACATTGACCGATATTAACCAACCGCCAATTCCCACAGGCGTGCAATATCCCCAGAATGCAACTGCCGTCAAAGCAGATCTCCTAACAGGAGCAAAGGATATCGTCGACTCTTCCCTGGATGCCGTCTACGCCTTCCACGGAATCATGTCATCAGGCTCCGAAGCCAACTTCGACCTAGGCATGAGCGTCAACATCGATGCGACACGCAACTTGCTCGAGGCACTGCGACATACTTGCCCGGGAGTGCGGGTCATCTACTCCTCCAGCCAGGCTGTCTATGGTCAACCCTTGCCAGAGATTGTCACCGACAGCGTCATCCCGACCCCGGAATCCTCCTACGGTGCGGAGAAGATCGTCTGTGAGACTCTGGTGAATGAATATACCCGTCGCAAGTTCATTACCGGATTTACGTTGCGATTCCCTACCATCTCCGTTCGCCCTGGTGCACCGACCGCTGCGGCGTCTTCATTTTTGTCGGGTATGATTCGGGAGCCTCTCGACGGCAAGAAGTGTATCATTCCTATTGAAGACCGTCAGTTCAAGTCCTGGCTCTGCTCTCCCAAGACATTGGTGCAGAATCTTCTTATTACGCTCCGTCTTCCTGCCGACTCGGTTCCCCTGCATATTCGCCAGATCAATGTACCCGGCATTTGTGTCACCGTTCAGGGCATGATGGATGCATTGGAGAAGGTGGGTGGCAAGGAGGCATTGGCACTTCTCGCAGAAAAGGAGGACCCTGCAGTGATTCCGATTCTAAAGTCTTGGCCGACACAGTTCGATAATACTCAGGCTATTTCCTTGGGCTTCAAGCGTGACGAATCATTTGAGCAGACCGTGAGGGATTATAAGCAGGGATTGGAGTGAAAGAATCATGTATCGATAAGTTCAATGAATTTCTGAAAATGAAACGGAGTCCTCCGCGACCTATTTCTCCGCGGTTGAGGTTCTTGGGGTGGGACATGTCCGCTACCCCTTGTCTATATCTGATTCCTTATGCTGTGTCTCACTCTGATGGGCCAGATTTATCAGCATTTAGATACCTAACATGGCACTTGGAAAGGGGCGCTTGAACTGTAATGTACGTAGACTAATCGTATATGAGTTGAGAATAGGAACATGAATCTTCGTGATATAGGCTCTAATAGCGCTATCGAACCTGTTGTCAAGATCCATGCGAATGTGATCACAGTACCAACCAAGCTAGCAGCTTCCAGCTGAGAACAAGTACCAAGAGGAGGCCTTGATAATTGAGCGTAGCCGACGTTTACGGGTCCTTGGCATGGGGTGTCTTCAATGACATCTTCCTAGAGCAAATATTAGGAAGGATCTTCCAGGGGCCGAAAATCAGTACAACGCATCATGGCACCTGTTACAGGAGATCTTCATAAGCAACCTCTGCTTGCTAGTTTCGAGCCTGATATATTTAGCAGAGCTCAATTTCAGGCATCCCCTTTTGCGGATCACTTCCAGTGTGATGAAGATTACCTGCGTATCTTGTCACCTTGATTGAAAAGGGTCCAACTTGATGTGTGATCAGAGTAAGTTTCTGGTATTTTCTCACATACGGTAGGTTCCCCGGAATCTTGCTTTTTTCCCCCTCATAAATGCCAGTAAGGTTTACTTTAAAAAAATAACAAAAGCCCGCTCTGTACATTCATTGACACAAATGTGCAAGCCCACTGTACATAATTGCCATAAACAGAAACACGTGGGAAATTACCTCCAAACCTGGTATCGTTTTAGCATGCATCCTGTCCATGAAGGTCAACAGCTAGCCCAAACCTGTCCATCGATAGCAATAAGCCGATTGAATAATTGATTTCTCGTCCCCATAGCCGTAAGCTGATACGTCTGCCCAGGCTTCTTCCCAGTAAGTAGCAACCCATCAACAACCTCTTTACTACCAAGCGCCCACCCAACAACCAACTTCCCTTTCCATCCCAGTCCACCCAGCTTCCTCATTTCCTGGATATCAGAAACGGGCATTGTAAACAGAACGGATCCAGCCTTTCGATGTTCTAGCTCTATGTCTCCGTTCTGCGGTGTGTCTGTTGTGAAGTAAAGAAGTGCGGGCTCCTTCGTCGAGTCTATAACCGCTGTCCCACGTTTTCCTTTGTAGCGAGCATCAAATGATACTGGCCCGATGGGTGTTATCATTTTGCCCTTCTGGCGCAGGACACCGACTCGGTTCTTTGCATGTCGTGAGCCAACCGCTGCTCGTACGCGGTCGATGCCTCTTTTGCTTTCGACGCCGCTTGCTGTCGTTCCTCGGAAGAATCCTAGCACTCTTGACGCTAGTGTTTTCTTGTGGTTCTTCTCTGCCTCGGAATGGGTTTCGGGGATGTTGTCATTATCAGGCCTGACTAATGCTGCATCTTTGATTTCTGCATCAGTTGCTCCGAGAGTTAGCTCCTCGTGGTGTAATGAGGCTGGGCGTGAGGGTGCTTTTTCTTGTGAAGTCGGGGGAGGTGGTAGTGGTGATGCATTGGCTTCGCCGATGCGGAGAAGCGTGACGGCCACCTGGGCGTTTGTTGGAATGCCTTTGAGTAGAGAGCTAGATTTGGGCTGTCAGTAGGTGAAAGTTTGTAGTGGCTTGAGGAATATACTTCTGCAACTCGATTATTTTCTGCCACCTCGGGAACTGGCGGTTCAGATATCTTATTCCTCGTCTGATCACCGGGTCCCCGAAGAACGAAAATCCAACCAAAAGCGTACAGATCTTCATAAAAACATAACTTGTTGTCAGTAATGAAAGCAGGCATGCTGGACCCAGCACGGCTGCTAGACGTAGACGAGGCTTCAGTCGAGGGAATGGAGTTGTTGCCGATAGAGCACTAGATCGAAAAGTTTGAGCCTGAGCTAGATAATACAGCACACGCTTTGCACTCACTTTCCTAGTTTCTCATAGGTATCCGTGATATCACCCACGGCTTGCATAGCAAAGTTCGCAGCATCCATCACGCCCTGTCGCATGGGTTGTCGCGTTTTGTCATGAGTGTCAGTCGGCACTCCCCCATGCGCGGCACTTTGTGCATCAGCGGTATTGGCAACAATATCCATAGCATCAGGTACGTCATCTTCAAAGGGTGCATCATCGGGTACGCCTTGATCATGCTTCCCGACTGCGCTGCCCACGGTCACGCTAGCGACACTTGCTACCAAGTTACTTGCTTCCTGCTCAGCTGCCTCACCCTTGAATTTTTCCGGCGCACCAGTGATGCTGTCGTGGGAGCCAAGAATTCCTGCTTTCGGCTTTTGTACACCGCCCGTATCTTTGTCCACGAGAGCTATTGGCGCTGGGGGAAACATCAGTGGTCGCAATGGTGGGTAGACCACTAGGGCGAGTAGAACTGCTAGCATGGTCGGCGCTAGTAGATCGAGAAGCCATGCAGCGAGGTAAATCTGTATGATATCAGATAATGTTCCCAAAGAAGTTAGCATTTCAGAGTGAGTCTTGCCGTGCCAAAGATCGCCGTTCGTCGCGGCTCCTTCCAGGACCGAAGTCGAGCGATATGTTTGATACAGCTGGTTAATCCCACGACGACTGTGACGTAGAATCGTTCTATCGTAGCCCGGAGCTTATCCGGAGAGAATTCATCATCGTCCGTTCGTGTCAGATCCAGGTTTTGGAGGGGAGCATCAGGCACAGCTTTGACTCTGTAGACTTGCTAGAAACATTTCCAATATTAGTTAGGAAAACAAAGCATAAGACTATGGTCGAAGAGCGCACCTTGTCGAATCGCCTAATTAGCATCCACAGGTCTTCATTTGACAACCCAGCAACTAAAGGCTCTCCAATATTGTTGGGTGAGACACCCCATCCAACATTGGTAATTTCCTCTGTGTCGCCAGCTTTCTGCGCAAGACCTTTTTCATCCTGTTCGACTTGGGACAGCACATGGCTGTCAGTTGGGCCTTCGGGGATCGCTGATTCAGCGGTGACTTGGCTGTCGGCCTTACTTGTAGCATCGCCATCGTTGGCGGGTTTTATTTCATTGGCTGTGGACATCGTGAAGACCTGGGGACGTTGGGATGTTGAAAGTAGAGCGAGATGATGTATGAAGCGGGACCTGTTGACAGGGTTGTCGACGTCATCTCGCGGATCAGGGCAGTGGCAATCACAACGAAATCTTGTTCTTTCATCGCGCGGTCTTTTTATCTTTATTATTCATGTTACAATGTTAAGTGTATAGTGCACTTTATCATTTATTTAGAGATAAGATCTTGTATCTACGTGGGCACTAAATATGCCGGATGAGGTTAGTATGATACCTGAACACTACACAGGCTTATATACCACTCTGACGCTAAAGAAAGGATTCAAAACTCCTGCTGCTCAGAGAGTCTTTTAGCGACCGAGCTACCAAGTAGTCCCGTTTCAAAATATACACAAAATTGATTCTGAAGAGAAGGGATGTAAATAAACGAAAGACGCGTTACGTTTGAAGACAGAGAAACTGGAATTGAGAAAATAAAAATGAAATTGAGAGCCAAAGAAAATAAAATAAAGATCTTCCAGAGAATGAAACATAATAAGGATGAAACTACAGGCCTTTGCGAGCCAGAGCAAGCTTGAGAACAAAGTCACATCTGAGATTTGGATACGAGCTTTCAAACAGCAGCCTCAGTCTTTTTGGTGGTGGGTGGGGGGCACTTGACTCGCTTGTGAGCGCGAACATCCAAGTTGTTTGGGTGGATAAGCTGGAATATTGGGTCGTACTCGATGGGTCCGTCGCCCTCGCGAACAAACTTATAGTTGTAGATCAGCTTCGGGAGAATGATCTCTTGGAGTGCAAACTTGAACCCGATGCACATACGCGGACCAGCACCGAATGGAACGTAAGAGGCCTTGTGTCTATTCTTGACCTCCGAGGTGTCCCAACGGTCTGGGTCGAACTTGTAGGGGTTGTCCCAGAGCTCGGGGTTGTTGTGGATATGGTGAATAGCAGGGATAATAACTGCGTCCTTGGGAATTCTGTAACCCCAGGAAGGATAAGGTCGGTCTTTGCGGTCCGCCCAGGTTGGAAAGAACGGGTTGTGTCTGCGCTGCATCTCCTTGATATACTTATCTTGGAAGACTAGGCGATTAGTAAAATCGGCAGTGATCTCTGTCTGATTGTCGAAATTGTTGTCAATAAGTTCTTGGAGAAGTCTCTCCTGCATGCCCTGGTAGGTGACTAGGCCGTAGATAAGCCACGAAAGCAGGGGTACTCGTTGTAAAGCCAGCACCTGTCGCGACGACCAGAGCCCAGATGAGACTTTCTTTCGGCAACTTCTCGCCCTTATTGTCAGTAGCACGGATAGCACAGTCTAGATTAAAAGTTTTTTTAGTTTCAATAATAGGTAATAGAGAAATGCAAAAACAATAACCAGCCATGTTTGATGCCTGTAATGCCGCATCTTGTAGTGGGAGGTCATCTGCACCACCTCTGGCAGCATTCTGTATAGATTGCTCAACCATTCCCTCAATACGACTCTTGACTTCCTTTAGGCGCTTATTGTCGCCAAAGGGCAGACTGCTATACCAGTTACCCTTCGAAGTGACCTTCTTATTCAACGAGAGCAGCTCAGCAATTAGGTGAACCATCTCGTGAACAGGTGCGTCAGGCGAAGTAAAGTGCTCGAAGTCCAAGCCCAGAGTAAGCTTGCCCACAGCCTGAGCACCAAGCTTCAGCATATACTGGTAGACATTCCAGGCTTCACCCTGCTCATCCAACTTATCGAAGACTTTGCAGGCATCTTTGACGGTCTTTTGCATGGTAGGTGCGTAGTGGCGAACCGCTTTAGGATCTAGTGCCGGGAGGATGAATTTGTGAGCCACTCTCCATTCAGGAGTATCGGTATCACCTAGGAAGACCCCGGCAGAAGGGGTCTTCAGGGCATAAAGGGGATGGGCTTTGTTGATCTCCTTGGTGAAAAAGTGGGATTCGACACAGGCAATAGCGGCGATGTTCGGATCGTTGGTTTGGTAGGTCACACGACCCATGTTATTAGTCTGAATAACCGGACCGAATCGCTCGAAAAGTCGCTGGTGATTGCCAAGGTGATCGGGTTAGATCTCCAAGAAGTTACCCAAGACGGGTAAGCCCTTGGGACCCACCCGATCGCGGACGGCGTGGCCATCAATCGTGATCGTCACCGATCCTTGAGCAAAAGTGATGTCTGGAACATCGGCGAGTTCGGCATCTTCGAACTGGAAGGCAATTCCTACTGCAGTGTCAGAGTGTAATTGGAAATGGTATAATGGTGAATGCTGCCCGGTGTTACCTACCATTTGGTTCGACGATAGCGAAGTGCGCGGCAATCAAGTGCTTGAGTCCGTCGAGGCCAATGTTCGACTCGATCTCGATTTGTTTTGCGGACGTGACGGGATTGCCGAGAAGATAAAACGTCTGTACAGCCATGATGCCTTAGTCGTGTTCGTGGAATGAAATGAGTGTTTGGCTTGTATGGGTGTCAAAATGCACGGTTTCTGGTTTATATATGCACCCTTTACGACAGAAGACGTTCCCTCCTATAAATTCACTCGCTTTACAGGTCCGAGTGCCGAATCTTCGGAAAGACCAGCGAGGCTGGTCGGGCTGGAAACTTTTCCATTGCTTGACTGCCTTTGAACTCGGTTCAATACATAGATTTTATAAAAAGGGCTTAGGTGAGCGACACTTCTTAGGAGCGCAGCACAGTTTGGTGGAGCGGTCAGGGATGGTTCTGTTCCCAAACCATCTCATGCCAACCTAACTCGTCACGGGCACAGAATCGCTAGGGATTTCCCCCTCGGGTTCACGGCACCGCCCACCAGGCGTCCGGCGACTTCGCGGAGTACATCACGTAAATTCCACGTAAATTCCACGTAAGAACCGAGTCCGACACCAACCCACCACCTAAGACGTGGGTCGCTGATCACCCGTCCTTACTTACAGCCAACTACCTCAGTATACAACTACACCTCGTCGCTCTTGCCTTCATCGTACTCGCACCTGCCCAACGGGTCTTCTCACCATGGACGCCCAGAATCCCCCTTTTCTGTTTCTGTTTCCTCTCCTCCTCCTGATGAATCCACGTCTGCACCCTCCATGACTCGTGCGACACTTCCGACGTACGGCGACTCATCCGACGATGCCAGCAAGCTACTTCATTTCTCCCGGCACTTGAACTTTTCTGGTGACCAGACGAAACAATTCAAGGAGATCGAAGGCGAGCTGGTCAGCAAAATCAGAGCAAAAGACACGGGATATCTGTGGTTCTCAGATATCACCGAAGCCACATTCTACCAACTTCAGGACGGAACCTCACGAAGCACTAGGCGCCTCCACTACTTCTACAATTTCGACGAGCGCAAGCTCCGCGTCCGGATGCCCTCAAAAGCTCACGACAGTCTTGCTGTCCAGCTTTCCTACCTGATCTCCGATAAGCTGAGATCGGCGGGCCTACTCAACACTACTTGTGTACCGAACCTCTCACCCTCAATAAGACTTGGTAACACTGCTGCTCAGCCAGATGGATGCTGGGGCCCCTTAAATAGCGAGGACGTCACAGTTGGCATTGAGGTTGGAAATTCCGAAAGCGAACATGAACTCGAGCATGACGCTCGACATTGGATCGGACATGCCGAATCATCCTTCCAGATCTGCCTCACTGTCAAGCTCACCAAAGATCCCGATATGATTACACTTTCCGTCTGGCGGCCACAGCGGCCACAAAACCACATTTATTCCGGCCCACAGCTCCGCAGAAGACATGTTTTCGCGGCCATCACCGATAGAGCAACTATTACTCGGGGCCGTCCAGATCCTGTGGTCCGATTTGAAAGTCTTACATCGCCCACCTTCACTCCAACTGAGATCCGACTTCCTGTAGCGGCTTTCACTGGGTACCAGCTTCCGCCTGGTGTTTATGTCAATTTTGGAGATAGTATTGTCCTGACAGGAGAAGACTTGATAGGGTTTGGGAGACTCCACTGGATTCTGGCAAATGGTTACTGATGGTAGTGGCGGCGCACTCTACCCCCGCTCCCCTCTTCCTCTCTGTTTTATTGCTCTATACCCTAGCTAGCCGTGTACGCCGCTTATGCTGATGACTTTCACGATATACTTATGATAATTATGATCAATATTCTTCTTAGGGTTCAAACCAGTACTACTTCTTCATGTAGCTACAAAGTATCGCTTAAGTGTTCTAGAACGGAATAACAGACTTCTGTTTGCCAGTGTAGAGAGACGGTGCGGACAATTTGCACACTGTTTGACGTTATGATACCCATTTACAACGACACACAGTCTAAATAATCCGTGACATATTACTGCAGTTTATATAAGGGAGGTAAGCAGAGTCTTCGGGAATCTGTATATGTGCCGCTTCGATATTGGCCAGGGGCAGCTAGTTCTGTCATAGGTGGACGATATGAGTCAATGTACTAATTTGAATGCTACATTCGGTGGCTTATAGCATTAATGTCGGGGTGTAGAGGATAAAGCTGTCGCTCTAGGGTACTGATTCGTAAGTCTTGGTTCTACTGTGTGCTAGAATCTAGTGGCGGGCATCAAGGCTGACCTCTGTGTACGTCCCTGACGCAGCCATTGCCAGTACAGAAGCAAAGATCTATGGATTAACCGTTCGCGAGAAGTCATCAGACTAGTATACGGTATCTCTAAGCGGGAGGGAAGGAAACTCATTCAGTATGGATGACCGGGCTCTTCCGTATGTCGGTAGGCTGACGATGGTTACACGGCATAATCCATTTTGGGCCGGAGGTTTCGACTCAGAACCCAACCCAGCCTGGTAACCCGGGCCAATACTGGGCCCCTAGGCAAACCCAACTTTTGTATAATTCTAATCATAAAGTTGCTTAGTAATCGAAATAACTCTTCTTTTTTTACATCAGTTCTTCTCCATATCTTGAACCACTAATGTTATACTTTCCCAGTATAACTAGAGCGCGGCAAAAACCGCAAAACCGCAAAACCGCAAATCTAACTAAAGCAAACCCTAATGGTTCCGAGGGCTCCAATGGTTTGAGTTTTGCTTTGTTTCTCATTGTCTTTGACTTACAGTGAAGGCCTCTCCGTATGATCTCAATTTCTGACGGCGGTCAAAAAACCCTATGCCCTAGCTAAATAACCGTATAATTCTGACGGCTGTCAAAAAGGCCAGTGCGATAGCTCCCAGTCCCCAACACCCTTTTCTGATGGCCGTCAGATATCTGGTGCCGTAGCTAAATAACCCTTGAATCCTGACGGCCGTTAGAAAAGGGTGTCAGGGACCGGATGGTACAGCGTAGACACAGTTTGAGTCGACCAACTGGAAGTACGAAGAGCGAGACGAAGTTACTATTCGCGGCTCCTATCATGCCAGTTCCACCCAGGGCAAACCGCTTTAGTTTACTTCAATCTAGTCTAGTCTTGATTAATCTAGCTGAACTAAGCCTCTCTTGCTTTGCTAGGAAGTCCACTATCGCTATATCCGTATCAGGGGGTATTATCTCTCCTGGACTTGTGCGTCAACAAGAAGGAGACGCAGGGCAAGACGATCAGATTCGAAATGGTGACGGCCGTCAAAGCAGGGTGGGCACATACTTGTGTGGTGAGTGGCAGTAAATGAGGGAAAAAGTTGGGGAAAAAAGAAAGGAAGGTTTGGCGAGGCAGGGAAGCCACTATTTATAGCCAAATTTTAAAATCAAATGGACTAATGTACAAGTGGGTGTCTTGCACGATAGTGTGTGTAGTAGCATAGTCCACTTCTAGGAAATGGAGTGCTTCTTGGGGTTTACAGAAAGGGGTCGTCTAGATTGGACCCACCAGTGCGGATCTGGTAGTACCCGAGCCGCACGGATCTACCCGTCGGGACAGGGTAGTAAAGGGCAGCTCCTACGTCACATTTTCTGACGGCCGTCAGATTTATCACGTGGTGAATGAGGGGCAATAGACATCATCTCTTTACGCACTTGTACGCGCTATTTACATGCTATCTTACCAGCAAGACCAAGTATCTCCCTACAGCTACTATAACATACGGGTATAGTCGGAGTAGACTAAGAAGAACCGCAAGGGACTAGCCTTACCCAGGTCTTTTCGATCGTATCTAGTCTACACTACACTGACCTAATCTTTTCTCCTTGTCACTAGCTGGCATGAGTATCTATGGCTGACAACGCAAATCGGCCACGGGGGACTAGGCGGACCTACAGTAGTCCTGCTCGGCTGTACTGGGCTATATGTCCGGTCCACCCTCTATGTTCTGACCCTGATCACGAAGCACTCCTGGTGAAGGCGTATTCTCAGTAGCCCCTCTGCTGATAGCCGTCGACACTATGTCTACCTACCGTGGCTTTGTAGGAAATCCCTATATCGCCTATCTCTATTGGTTACTGCGTGTCTAGCCCGCCCTCTATTTTCTGGCCCTTATCACAAAGAACTTCTGTTGAAAGGAGCGTTCTTGTCCGTTGACTTGTTGACGGCCGTCAACATTTTCCTGTCGAATATCGGTCCATCCGTCTGTAAGCTATGTGAACGGGCGGTAGCGGGTGATATAAGGGGGTTTCCCTTTGATGAAACATGAAAGGGCGGTTAAGCTGACCGCAAGACTGATGTCCTCTTCGAATGGGAGTTGAAAGAAACGGTCATAGATAACGTTCGTGGCGACACGATAAAGATAGATCGTGGAGGGCTTCTCCTTTGACATCCTTTGTTCGAAGGACTACGTGAAAGACCCGTTTGTCGAGCCCGTGATTGCTCTACATTTACTTGTCGACTTAGTATCCTACAATTGATCGAGGTAATATCCGGTTATATAAGTACGTACTGGTTTTGTCTGAAGTAGAAAACCTAAAGGGTTCATTTACGATTGACATTAACCTGCTATGGTGCCGTATCAGGAGCCAGCCCGACTGAAGATTGTTTCCAAAGGGACGTTGGTGGCAGAGTAACCGTCGAGGGCGACGGCCTCGCATGTGGATGTAAGTAGTGAACTACGGATTAGTGCAATGGACCGATCCCGGCTAATTATATCTAGTGATGCGGTTAAGTTTCGCGCCTGCACGAACCATTCGGCGCTAGCCTACCCAAGATGCTATTATTGTGAGTTAAGAGCAAGTGATCGATGATCTTATAGCATAACTAACGCGAATCTTATTTAAAGTATCCTATCCTGTTGTACCGAATGCCCTTATTGTGGACATCAGCCTAAAAGTGCGAGTAAGGCGTCAAATATACTGAAGTATAATAAGACCCGCTATATTGTACGTCTTCTACCGTGATTTATCTGTCGAACTTGCTAATTTAGTATAGAAAGCAAACCCAGGTGGGAGATATCGGGGGCTAGAGGTTGCGAAGGGAATGTTGGGCGGTAGTCATGAGTGTGTATCCCTACGTGTACCTTACTTTAAGCGGCCCGTGATTGACTTGCTCGAGAGAGTGACAACGAAGGAGATGATGGTGGCGAGACCGAAACGAGCTTTGGGCATAAGGAGGATTCCGAAGAGAATAGTGATAGAGAGCAATGCCGGCGAGCACAGAGAAAAGAGGTAGGGCGTAGACGTCGTGCTGGAGGTGGTGCGGCTAGTGGTGATAACGGTGGCGACGGTGGTGACGGTGGTGATACTAGGATACTAGCGAGGCCAGAGATAGTGTTGATACATAGTCAGAAGTTGGTATAAAACGCATGAGTATAGGGTGGTCCATAATGCATGAGAATAGCATGGTCAAATGATATCAAATGGGCTGATCAGCAAGGGCATCTGGGGCGAGCGATCAGGTTGCTCAGGGAGCTAGCTGCCCATGTTCACCTCGTGAGCCGATCGCTTCCCAAGGCGGCAGTTTTACCGTCACCTAGATTACGATCTGCGTGCTTACCCAACACTGTAGACCCGTAGTAATTTATCGCTATTATTTCTCTGGACTGCGCCTTGGAGAGAGTTTATCCGTCAATCTACACGCAGTTGACAAGGACTCAGCTTCCGGTACAGTAGTAGACTTAGTCATTGTTGGCTAACACACGGAATGAGAAGGCGGTGATGTCAGTTGCACGTCCTGGTTTCAAATCGTTGGCTACATCTAATGTAAGAACTAATAACAGGACTTAAGTGTGCGCCGCTACCCGGAAATAATAGCCAATCAATCACAGAACAGTGATCGTCCGTATGGAGTCAACACACTACTCGCTCCTATTGGTCGGATTTTCTCACCGTTCCTAATTGTTTGGAATCTGCCTTGGATCGTAAAAATATTTAACTGTGGCGAGGTACCCCGGCTGTTTGATGCGTTTCTGGGCAATTCGATAAGGCAGGCGCGCTCCTCATTCAAAGTAGCAGACCCGAAAGCTGTGGCAGCTATACCATAATATTGGAAGTACCTCAGTGTATGATTATCCTCGGTTAGCTTTGGTTGGATCGCCTGCACGTAGATCAAATTAACAAGTTTATGTTCATTTGCACTCGAACCATTTATAATTCTGAACCCATCGAACGCCTGATTTAGGTATTGACTCTTTCTCCGTTCACGCCATGGCGCAATTTGTCCAAAATACTGTTGCCGGTGGCAATTTTGAGACGCCAGATAGGTACATATGCCATAACACTAGCTGTCGCTCACCTACTTATTTTGCCTGTAACTCAGATATACTAAGCCCAAAGTTTTGAAAATTGGTGTTTCTGGAATTGTGTGGTTTGTCTCCACCGTTCATTTCCGCATACAAAAGTACGGGGCTGCGAATCACTGACACATGCTTCAACATCAGCTCCTCGTGGGATCAAATAAGACAGCAATATGTTGCAGTGAAAAAAATACCAGAGCCGTTCAGGACGCCAGTCACTACTCAATATATTCTCAGAGAAATCAAGTTGCTGAAGCACTTGCAACATGAGAATGTGCGTTAAGTGCCATACAATGAATCCGCAGCCCAAGCTAACTGAATTACAGATCGTCCGTCCACTTGACTTGTTCATATCTCCCACAGAAGACATGTATACAAATCCAATTGAATGGTGAATAACGTGCTATTTGCTGATATGCGCAGTTATCTCGTCACGGACTTCATGCAGACCGATCTGCGTACGGTTATGAACGCAAAACCCATTAGTCATGAATTTGTTCAGTTCTTCTTATACCAGATTATGGTTCGTCCACCCCCCGTCCTTCATGAAACTAATTACTGATTGAATATTTAGAGAGGACTGAAATACGTCCATTCAGCGGGCGTGATTCACCGCGATCTTAAACCCGAGAACATCCTAATTAACGAGGATTGTGATCTCAAGATATGCAATTTCGAGCTGACGCGAGTCCAGGAAATGCAGATGACGAGCTACGTTTCCACTGGATACTACCGAGCTCCAGAAATCATGTTGACTTGGCAGAGGCATGGCGAACAGATTGATATCTGGAGTGCAGGGTGCATCTTTGCCGAAATGCTGCTAGGGAAACCTCTTTTCGCAGAAAAGGGCCATGTGCAACAATTTTGTGCCATTACAGAGCTGCTTGGAACACCCGATGAGGGATTCCTAGCCCGAATAGCCTCAAAAAGCGTCAGTTGATACAAAACTTACCCGAAGCAGCAAATTTGTAGATTACAAATTGCTGACCGGTAGATTTGTACCAGACCCTGAACCTCATTCGGTCATTCCCTCAGCGCCAGGCTAGAGGTGTCTCAAGCGTGTTCTCGGACGTCGATCCAAAAGGTACGTTTGATGTCCATGCCAGTGGGTGAGCTATTTGTTTACAGTTTGCAGCGCTCGACCTCCTCGAACGAATGCTGGTTTTTGACCCTCACGGTCGGATTTCTGCATCTAGTGCTCTTACCGTTCCATATCTTGGTTCCTATCATGATCCCACAGATGAACCCGTGGCTAAAGACACATTCGATGAGACCTTTGACGGATATTATTGTTCTCATGATTCCTGGAAGCAGAAGCTGTATGTTCACACACCACACTCAATTGGGTAATACAACATTGACCATTTTCAGGTACGCTGAGGTATTAGAATATCACAAACAATCAGAGGCTAAGGAGTCTGTCAGAAAGTGGGCCCAGTCCGTCTCGAAAGCCCAAAACTAATCATTCAACACCGATACAAAGAAGGATATGGTGTCGTCGCAAAATTACTATGGCATGGGCGAAAGAAAGGTCTGTTTCTATCTGTGCATGCATCGGGATATATCCAATTGCCCCGGATGGTTTTGGCGTCCTGGCTATTTAGCTCTCTTTTCTACTCAATCGTGACCCTCGAATGACTTTGCCTTCCATTTTTCAATCTTCTATAAGTAGTCATACAACTATTGGATCATGGCCTTGGTTCGTCAGTCCTCAAATCATCAAGAGCAGTATCCCTGCCTTTCTCTTTTGTCACACTCTGTTCTAATTCCGGTTTCGTAATGAACAAGTATTGGGTGGACTGCAATTAGTAGGAAGTGTTTTCTGTGGTTTCCACAATACAACTTGGAAATGGCGATCCTGGGGCATAGAACCCACAGGGGTTAAGGTATGAAGAAAATTCCGCATCCTCTATGAAGATAAAAATAGAAAAAGGAAAAGATTCAGGACACGGGGTTCACTATGCGATGACGTCAGGTTGAGCATTTTAATTGCCTGCATTGTCTGTCATGTTGAAAATTTAGTCAATAATGTATGTAGAAGCTGTTGTATTGCTTACTGTTTGATTTGGAATGGAAATTTATTGAGAGATAGAGTCGGACTTACATAGTTTGTATCGATGGATAAAAATACAGACATAGAAATTTGCAAGGAGCAAGTAGGTGTGGGGCGAGGAAGAAGAAAGAGATGGAGATAAAGACATGTATACACAAGGAATACTGTAGATAACAACGGAGCCATAACAATGTAGATGGTTGTAATAGACAAAACAGAAAATTACAACAAGGGCTTTGAGACAACGAAAACGAGTCTTCCTCGGGCTTTGTCCTCGGAAATAATTGAATAGAATGCTACAAAGAGGGCTCTGAAAAACGAAGAGAGATGAATCCAATAGCGATGATACCTCTCAATATCAAAAGCGCAACAAATTTCAAGATCAATACGCCTCTATATCCTTTTATTTAGACCGTGGCCTTGGTCGCATGATATCAAAGACCGATAAGCATTTCTTATCCCTTTATCTCTTATCGCACGTGTGCGTCGCGTTCCCAAAGAGGAAACATCTTCGCGTCATCAGACTTGAATCGTTCGCTTTAACCTGCTCTGCCCCTAGATACTCAGCTCGCCATGAGCGAAGAGTGCGCGAATCCTCTCCTGCTGGGGTGGATCAGGGAATGGCTAGATCAAGCCAGAGAACGCAACAGCAAAGGCGTGACCGTGTTCGTATATCCCGAGTCCCTGTGTGATATTCACCTATCTGACTGCTTCCAGGTATAAGAAGGCTTATGAGTCGATGAAAGCATGTCCGTTGGAGTTCCAGCATCCGTCACAGGCGCAGCAGTTGAATGGACTGGGACCCAAACTATGTGACCGTTTAACAGATAAACTCAAGGGTTATTGTGAAGAAAATGGACTTCCTATGCCGGAACCGCCTGACAAGGGTAAGTTCCCTTCTTACGCTTCTATATCGACAACTCTGGCTTATCCAATCCAACAGGTGGAAAAAGAACATCTGATGGTACGACTTCCGATCAACCCGCAAAGAAGCCCAGAAAAGCCAAGCCGTATGTACCAGCACTGCGGTCTGGTCCATATGCCATCATGCTAGCCCTGGGAAGCCAGGACGAGAATGCATCACAGGGAATGACCAAGGCCCAGTTAATTGAGGTGGCCCAACCATACTGCGATAGTTCATTCACAGCACCTCCAGACCCAACAAAGTTCTACACTGCCTGGAATTCAATGAAATCACTCATTCAGAAAGACCTCGTCTACGAGCACGGCCGTCCGCTACGGAAATATCTGCTTTCCGAGGAAGGCTGGGAGGTCGTCAAACGTCTCCAAAAGACATTGCCCGGTGCTGCTCAAAACACGATGTCTTTTGCTGGTGACTCCCAGACAACTGCAACATCCCAATCACAAAGCGTTCCTGTAACAACCGGTACTGGATTGCCTGAAGATGACGATGTGTTAATAGATGCCCAAGAGGATCTAACCGAGCAGGACATAGCCAACATCGAGCCTGTCTTCCTCCCTCCCAAAAGCTTCACAATTCAGCTCGTGCTAGATACACGAGAAGTGCGCACTCCAGCCGATCGTGACTACATCTCAGGCGAACTCCAAAAACAAGGGATTACACCGCAAGTACGCGCCTTGGAAGTGGGCGATGCAATGTGGGTAGCTAAATGCAACGACCCCAACGACCTCACCCGCCATGGCGAAGAAGGCGACGAAGTAATGCTCGACTGGATCATCGAGCGAAAACGCCTCGACGATCTGATCGGGTCTATCAAAGACGGACGATTCCACGAACAAAAGTTCCGTCTTCGTCGCTCAGGCATCAAAAACGTCATCTACCTCATCGAAGAGTTCGCAGTCACGCACCCCGATTCAACGAGCGGAAGTGGAGCACAGTATCAGGAAATGGTAGCCTCAGCCATCGCATCAACACAGGTCCTCAATGAGTACTTCATCAAAAAGACAAAGCATCTCGACGAATCAATCCGTTATCTAGCGCGCATGACTCTTTTCTTACGAAAGATGTACGGTGTCCAAGACCCGCCCTCGACCCAAGCTGGACAAGCAGAGTCAGATACCAACACAACCCAGAATACCAGCCCAGCGACTCATGTATCTAAAATTGCCCTCATCCCCGGCCGCCGTCTCGCCACGGACTCCTACCTCACCATCCTCGATAATCTCCGTACACGAGATCCCACCGTTACATACGGCGTGTCATTCTCGACTTTCTCGGCGCTTACTTCAAAGTCTGATATTCTTACGCTACGGGACGTTTTCTTGAAGATGCTTATGTGTACGCGTGGCGTGACGGGTGAGAAGGCTCTCGAAATCCAGCAAATATGGCCTACGCCGCGGCATTTGGTCGAGGCGTACATGGCCCTTGAGCCTAGTGCACGGGATACTATGGTGTCGAATCGTATGCAGGAGGTTGTAGGGCGGAAGAAGGTTGCTAAAGAGCTTAGCAAGCGGATTGCCGAGATCTGGGGACAAGCTAGTTGATTGACACAGGCAGACGATTGGACTACTGAACTACTGAGAGTGTGATGAAAAATTTAGAAACAGACTTGGTAACAATTCATCCAGATGCATCAGATACAAACATAAGGTAACGCTAAAATAGATATAAAACAAGAACCAACAATGTCTCTATTTACTTCTCCTCAAAATCCTCATAAGGCTCCCCATATCAATCCTCAAAGCAAGACTACTCGCAACAACAGAAATACTACTCAAAGCCATAGCTAACGCAGCCCACACAGGACTAAGTCTCCAATGCTCATTAACCATAACCATCTCCCCACCAACAGAATTATAATGGTGCCCACTGACAATGGGATAGAAGACTCCAGCCGCAACAGGCACCAAACAGAGATTGTAAATAACCGCCCAGCCGAAATTCATCCGCACGCGATTAAACACTCGGCGACTCAGCAGGACTAGTTGTAATATCGTGCTCAGGTCTGAATTTAGCAGGATGAAGCTCGCGGAGTTGATTGCCACGTCTGAGCCGGAGGCCATTGCGATACTCACGTCTGCTGCGGCTAGGGCGGGGAGTCGTTCACGCCATCACCGACGAAGGCGACGATTGGACGGGATTGTTTGGTGTTACTGGTTGTTGTAGGTGTGTCTGAGGATCCTTCTTGGATCTGGCGGACGAAGCTAGCTTTCTCTGCTGGGAGGACATTGGCCATGACGTTTGACCGGGGGATTCTTAGCATGTCTGCGACGGCATGGGCGGTTGTTTGGTTGTCGCCTGTGCACATGAAGACATCGACACGTCTTTTCTGGAGCTGGGAGATGATGTCGACGGCTTCGGGGCGGATTGTGTCGGATGTTGCGAGCACGATTGCTGGGATGAAGTTTGACGGTTCAGAGGACTGAGAGTTGACATGGCGGAGTGAGAGGACTGCGGTTGACTTGCCTGCTGACTGGTATTTTGACAGCAGGTTGGATACGAAGTATGTATCTGTTTCGGGTGATAGGACGCTATGCAGCAGGCGTTCATTTCCAATAGCAGCTTCGTATTCGTCTTCGTGCTCCGGTCGAGAGACGGTGAAAATTCCTTTCATGCCTTGTCCGGAAATCTCTTGGACGTCGGAGGACTTGACAGTGGCGCAGGGTTGGGATTTGCAGAATTCGGTGATTGCCTGGGCAATTGGATGACTGCTGCTCTCTTCCATCTTTCGAGTCAGGGCCCATGCAACTTTCGCAAGTTCCGGGTCACTAGTTAGAACTTGATGCTCGGAAACCTTCAGGCTGCCGCCTTCGGTCAATGTGCCCGTCTTGTCAAAGACGATCGCGTCCAGGCGACTAGCCTCTTGGAAGGCCTCTCCTCCGCCTTTGACCAGGATACCATGCTTCGCTGCTAAACCACTTCCAACAAATAGCGCAGTAGGGGCTGCAAGAGCCAGGCCGCAGGGACAAGCTACAACGAATACTGCAATCGCAAACTCAAGAGCCCAGAATGTCCAACCACCATGAGCGACATCAAGGTAGTCTGTGGGGAGCACACCCGAATGACCAAGGGCCAACCAGATGATGAAGGTTGAAATAGCAATGAGCGTGATGATGGGGACGAAATGCGAGGTGAGAAGATCGGCGACCCTTTCGAGTGGTGCACGCTTACTTTGGCCTTCACGAACTACAGCAATGATCAGGTCAAGCATCGATGAACCACCGAGCTCAGTAATGCGAATGCGTACAGGTTGGCCGACATTCACAGAGCCAGTATATACTATGTCATCGATTGATTTCTTGACCGGTCGAGATTCTCCAGTCAAAGAGCTTTCATCGAATTGGTACGAGGCGGTGTCAATGACCGTTCCATCGGCAGGAGGCGAGGCGCCATGAGGAATACTGACGATGTCGCCAACTTCGAGGAGGTCAACATTTGTACGTTTCATCCCCTCTGCAGCAGAGCCATCGGGGGCATCGCCACTGATAGTGGATGTGTCTTCGATCAACAGTGCCTCGGAGGGTCGAAGGTTACCCAATGACGTGACAGCATCGCCGGTTTTGGCTTTGCTGTATGCCTCTAGGAACCGACCAGCAAGAATGAAAAGAGTCAGGAAAACCACCGAGTCGAAATAGGTCGTGCTGTGGGGACTGAACTTAGTACCCACGACTGCATCGACGATAAGTATAGCCAGGGATGAGACATAGGCAACGGATGTGCCCGCAGAGATCAAAAGGTTCATACTACCAAAACGATAGAATCTCCGCAGGATGGGCACCCGACTTCCAGGTCTCCACAAGGCATATATCTCCTTCATGGCCCGGGCATGGAATACATCAGTGCCGTAAAACATCACGGGGGTTACCATGATAAAGAGTGCCCATTCTGTGCGGGTCACGCTGCCGGACCACATCGTTTCCTCCAGATACATCCGAGTGGGATTGTCGGACGAGACAAGAGACATGAACACAATGCCGATAATGAAGGTGGGAATCGCACACAAAAAGACAAACCATAGGCGTAGTAACAGGCGGCGGCGTTCATGGTGCTGAATTGCACGAGAACGGTCTTCGATGCTGGGCGGGTGATATACGCTTGCGCAGAACGAGTCATTCGCCGTATTGATGGCGGATATTAGAGAGCGAATGGTGAGAGAAGGTGGCCGTGGGGTATATGTGACTCTGAGTATTGGGTCTTTCTCAGACAGAGCTTGTTCAATGCAGACATCGGGAAGTGATTCCACTGCCTTCAAGACAGTCTGAGGGCAATGGTGACAGAACATTCCATCAACTCGGATAGAAATTGTCCTGGACTGGGCGGAATGGAGATTTTCTGGGATGTCTGTCACTGGAGAGACGCTATTGACGGCAGCATCATACCCTAGGTCTTCAATCTTCTCTATGATTTTATCAAGATTGTCCCGGCCTTCGAACTCAACCCTTCCACTATGTGAAAGCAAGTTGACAGAGACGTCTCGAATAAACGGCAGCTCTTCGAGCCCGCGAGTCACTGTCCCGCTACAAGAGCCACACGTCATGCCAGTGATCGCAATCTCGCTGGTATAGATTTCGGTGGACTCTGTAGGAGTCGAGGCTTTAGGAATCGGATTCGCCTCGTCGAGTGATGCTTCGAATCCGATTTCATCGATTTGTTCGATAATCTTGTGGACATTGTCTCTGGGTCCAGTATAAGTCAACGTGGCGCTATTGGTGAGAAGGTTCACTGTGATCTCTTTCACGAAGTCGAGTTGTTGAACTTCGGTCGTAATGCTGTTGGCGCATGATGCACAACTCATTCCTCCAATGCTGATCCGTACCGTGAATTCATCAATCGGTTGAGGGCTTGGACTAGGCTGTTCTGGAGAAAGCACGCCACGTTCCACTCGTGTTTCGCAGGAGACAACCGAAGCTGTCTCCTGTGCAGCATTCTCTGGCGTTGGCTTAAGCTTTGTGGTAGAGATATCGCGCTCGTGGCCCTTGCTTGTCCGACGATAGCCAGCGTGTGAAGACTTCTCGGCCAAAGATCGCAGCTCTATTCGAGAAGAATGAGGAGAAGTGTTCTCATGTTCTTCTTTTCTGCAGGCATCACAATTGGCAATATGTCGTTTATGTCTGCTAGCCTGAATTCGCTCTTTGATATTCGATGATATACTAGAAACCGAGTTGCGTGGTGTGGAGAACAACGCTGAGCCGCGGTAATTCCAAGCGGAAGTATCGAGTTCCGAGACGAGCGCTCCTCGCTGGTTGAAGGTCGTTACATATTGTACTTCAAATGCGGCGTGGATTAATGCGTTTACTAGGACGGTCGGTCGAACTGTAGCGCTGTGACTGGCACGGACTTCATGGGTCAAGATCGTGACTTCGATCTCAGTGACGGTGGAGATTTCAGAAAGCACTTCGGTGACATATGCTATACATGACGCACAGTGCACATTGCTCACGAAGAAGACGCTTTTTTGGGTATCATGTTCGTAGTTGGCAGCCTTCAGATCGAGGATCTGGCTCTTCGATCTTGATGAAGTCATGATCGGCAGATCTCTGCGTGGGGCCAGACACGAGGCTTGGCTTGGTAGCCGTAATGCCAAAGCTCTGCAGCTTGGAGGGATAGATGTAAATAAAAAGAGACTCCTTGAATATGTGAAACCGATCGGCAATAGGATCGTTCTCTACAGACAGGGAGTGGCGCGCCGGTATGTTGAAGGAAATAGCGAACCACAGTGTTTAAATGGGCAAGCACAAGGAACAGGAAGAATGAGAGAGATTTGAAAGAGTTATAACATGTTTTATTAAGTAAAAGAAGAAAAGAAAAACCTAGAAGTGGGTGGATAAGCAGAGATGGCGAAGATGCGACATTTGTGCGCGATTCCACCCAAATCACGCAGAAATGCCGCATTCCAAGTATTCGGAGATCATGGCCCAGTATGCTGGAGATGGGGTCAGTCATGAGGAATGAGCTCGGATCCCGCATCCCAGAACCCAGATCCCGGAGTTCTCAAGTCGACTACATGTTGCCATGTGTGATTCAAGGAAGTGAATATGCCCTGGTCGACAGGAACAGGCACGCGTCTGATGCCGCTATGCCGGATTGGCTCCTAGCGTGTCTGACTCAATTAAAGTCAGGTCAGGTGACCGAAGGACAACGACGTGAAAGCGACCAAAATGAAGTCAAAGCGATCTGAAGACAAGAACTGAAGATGCGAACAAGACAATGTATTAGTCTTCCATTGTTTCCTCACCTCAACTTGTTCAAACTGGAATGTAACTCTCCCAATGCATCTGCTTACGTAAGATTGAATAACTTTTCTCTCCTCTTTCCTTATCGCCGACTCCCGCGACGGTGATACGAAATATTTCCTGCGACCTACTCTGACAAGAATCCCTGAGGCTTTGAGGACCTCGGTTCCTCCACCGAGCGCGCCTTTCCTCCTTAAAAATTTCTACATCTCTTCGTAGAGATGTCCGCTCCCAAGCCTGCGCCAAAACCAGGCGCGCGTCCTACTATCCCGCCTCCCCGGCGGGCTCCTGTTGGACGCCTCGCAAGTCTAAAGCCACCAGGTCCAACTCCTATTAAGCGTCCGCAGTCTATCGGACGTCCTCAACCTCCCCGACCAACTACACATCCCAAAACCTCCAACTGTCCCAATCCGGGCTGTCCTGCCCCGCATATCGTCGAAGATGAAGGGGTGAAGGTCTGCTCAGGCTGTGGTACAGTCATCAGCGAGTCAAACATCGTTTCAGAAGTCACGTTCGGTGAATCGTCTTCCGGTGCAGCTGTTGTCCAAGGATCCTTCGTCGGAGAAGACCAAACACATGTCCGCAGCTATGGCCCCGGTTTTCAACGCGGAGGCGCGATGGAAAGTCGCGAAATGACTGAGCAGAATGGTATGTCTCGAGAGTATACGCGACGTACATGACCAACGGCTAATGTTTAACAGGCAATCGTTATATGCTCCAACTATCTCGAGCCCTGACTATTCCCGAAAGCGCAACCAAAGCCGCTGGTCAAGTCTTCAAACTTGCAGTTGGCCTCAACTTTATTCAAGGTCGCCGCACAAAGACTGTGGCTGCAGTTTGTCTATACATTGCCTGTCGTCGCCAAAATGGTAACACAGTAATGTTGATTGATTTTGCTGATGTTTTGATGGTAAGTAATGCTTGCTCACTGTGTTCTTGGCGCCGCCCCCTAACTTCCAACCAGGTCAATGTCTTTAAACTCGGCCGCACTTACAAGGCGCTCCTCGATGAGCTTCGCCTAGGCGGAAACGTATTCTTGATGAACCCCATCGACCCGGAAAGCTTGATCTATCGTTTCGCTAAACAGCTGGAATTCGGACAATCTACAATGGCGGTGGCCGGTGAAGCAGTTCGAATCATCCAGCGAATGAACCGTGATTGGATGACCACTGGACGACGTCCAGCTGGTCTTTGTGGTGCGGCATTGATCCTCGCCGCGCGTATGAACAATTTCCGTCGGACCGTGCGCGAAGTCGTCTACGTCGTCAAAGTTACGGAAATCACCATCAGCCAGCGTTTAAACGAGTTCAGTTCCACTGAAAGTGGTGAGCTGACCGTCGATCAATTCCGTTCCGTCCAATTGGAAAACACTCACGATCCCCCTTCCTTCACTCGCGGGCGAGAAGGTCGGTATCCTCGAATCAAGAAGAAGGTGCCAGAGACTGCAGCGGAAATTGAAGATGACCTCACCGATAGCGAAGCGGGATCAGTTCCACCACGTCGTTTGGATGCCGACGGCTTTACTATTCCCAACCTCCCCATTGATCCGGCTATAACGGGTCGACGTTCATCGGTAGTTGCGAAAGCCGTCACTGATGTGGCAGAAGAGTTTGAGACCGAAGCAAGCTCCAAGGGCAAGAGGCGACAGCCTGTGCCAGAACCTCCCGCAGAGGAGCTTGCATCTGAAAAGGCACTAGAGGATGAAATGCGGACAATGCTGGCTCAAGGCTCAAACCTGGTTGAGAGTGCCACTGAACCCGAGCGGCCTCCCGTTTCCGACAGCACTGAGATCGATGCCGCCGAGTTTGAAGATGATCCCGAAGTCGCCAACTGTCTCCTCTTGCCTGCTGAAGTGGAAATTAAGGAATCAATCTGGGTGACTGAGAACAAAGAATATCTCCGTACTCAACAGGCAAAGGCTCTGAAGCGTGCCATGGAAGAATCTGAAGGCGGTACAACATCTCGCAAACCTCGCAAGCGTCGCCGTGGTCGTCTTGGTGATGTCACATATCTCGAGGGTGAAGGTGAAGAGGGCCGTTCCCGAGCCTCAACTCCTGCCGAGGCGACTCGTCGCATGCTGGAGCGCCGAGGCTACAGTAAGAAGATCAACTACTCTCTATTGGACACACTTTACGGCGGAGAAGGAGCCGATGCCAAGGCAGAGAGCATGAGCCGCAGCCAGAGTCGCAGCCAAAGTGTCATCTCGCGACGCAGTGCCAGCATCGAACCACAGGCAGCCTCTCGGCGAGCCACACCCTCGGACGCCAAGCCTGTCCTTCCTCCCTCCACGACGGCCGCACCCCTGCCCACTCCCCCTACCACGCAGAATACCCAGGAGCCAACCAAGGAAGATGGTTCTGCTCCTGCAAATCCTGATCCAGATGACCAGGATGACTATGATGACGATGATGGCGAGGAGGACGGTGTTGACGATGCCTTCGCAGGCAACTACGGTGAATACGAGAGCGACTACGACTACGATGACTAGTGAGTCATTGGGTTCGTTAGACTCACAGTATAGACGAGTGGCCCGGGGTTGGGATGTGATGGTAATCCCCTCGCTTTATCAGGTCCTTTTTACGAATTTCAAAATGATACCATGTACTTTTAGCGCACGCATTGGGTCCGGATTTGAATCAGTATTAATCAATCAAATGCTTCAAGGCAACTCCATGGTCATGTCATGGTCGCAACACACAAGACATCGTGCCTCACCTTTGCCTACTGTAACTCCACCTTAATGCAGCATGCTAGCAGTCTGGATCATCAGACATGGATCCCCATCCATGCACCGTCCGGCTGCAGTAGCTATACTCGACCAACAGCTGGACCAAGAACGAGAGTAAAAAGGAAGAGTAAAAAGGAAGAGTAAAAAGGAAGAGTAAAAAGGAAGAGTAAAAAGGAAGAGTAAAAAGGAAGAGTAAAAAGGAAGAGTAAAAAGGAAGAGAAAAAAAAGAGGGCAAACCACCTGAGGGGTGCTGGGACGATATATTTTTCCCAGTTTATGCGTTGGGCACGCACCTCAGACATGGCAGCTAATAAGATAAGCCGCATCTTCCAAACGGACCCAGGTTCGCACTGTATGTACGGTGAGTCGCTATATAATAACTGGAGCGTTTTAAACGCTGAGCAATCAGGGAGGCGTTAGGGTATTCCTTCCTTACCTTTTACCGACCCGATTAAGGAGGTTTGTGCCTGACAAATCAGGTCAAACGGTCACCCAATTTATGCCTGATAATCCAGGCCAATTATGCCATCTTGCATCTATGCACTTCGGTCGACGGTATTCTCAGCTGCTTACGCGCTTATCCCTCTTCGGCCTTGCGTTTTGTAGGCTATATATGCATATGCAGTTTCTAACAGAATGATTCATTTTGAATTTAACTTGGGCCCTTGAGCCCTCGAGTGCCCTGTGACTGTCTGTTTCTCGCGCGGTACGATACCCCCTGTCTACAGATTTCAATATAACCACATGCATGTATCCCCAATAAAAGGAACACACTACACCGATCTCCTCTCATAACCACACGCCACAGACGCCACAACAAGCCATATCCTTACATCCCCAGTAACAATGCCCCCATCCAACACAAACAACCCTCCCACAAGGCAACCATAAGCGCCAACCACCCAAAACGACAATCCCAACCCCAAGATCTGCAAGAATACAAGCAACGTCACAGCGACCCCAAAAACGGCCTTCTCCCCGAACATGCCAATCTCCCCGCACTTCCCCAGATCCCACAAAAAGGATAAAAGGAAAGTGACAATCAATCAGCCGAGGGTCGATCTATACTGTCGAGCTTCATTTCACGAAGGACATTGGTGGAACTCTCCCGTTTAACCCCCTTTTTCCCTTGTCCTACCGGCGTAACTCCGTGCTCGAGACACCGACGAAGCAAGGCTGGCGCTTTCCCATGCCTCATTTGGGGGAGGAGATTCGGGTCGCAAGCTGGGATTGGTTTGGGGGGTATGTACGGTAGCTTTAGTTTAATATTGTAGAGATGCTCTCTGTGGTAGTTTGGACAATACAAAAGGACGAGAGTCTGCCGTGTCGCGGTGTGGGATCTACAAGTCCTTCCCATTACTAACATCACATCTCTATTTCTGTTTCCCTCGTACAGGCTATGCCATAGCCATCGGGCTGAATAGCATCAAGATGGTAAAACTCAACATCTACGGCCGAGGCCGATCACTGCGAATGGCTATTATGTTTACGTGCCAATTGGCATTTATCTTCTTCGGTGCGTATACTCTATACCCCGGATTAGAGAACGGGACCCAAACAGCTAACATCCAAAACATAGGCTACGATCAAGGTGTCTTCTCCGGAATTGTAGGAAACGACGAATTCCTCGACATAGTCCACCATCCCAGCGCCGGTATTCTGGGTATCATAGTATCAATATACAATCTGGGCTGTTTCGCCGGAACGATAGTCTCATTTGCGATAAGTGATCGAATTGGACCGCGGAAATCAATGTGGTTTTCCATGGCGTGGATTATTGTGTGTTTCTCGATTCCTTTTCCTCGTATTAACAACGAAAGTAACACTTATATGACCCGTATAGGTAGGAGCAACATTACAAACAACCTCATTCTCAAGACCCCAGTTACTCGTTGCGCGCTTCATCACTGGTATAGGTACAGGTATCGAAACCACTGTCGTACCAGTGTACCAATCCGAACTATGCGAAGCCAAGAAACGAGGAAAATACGTCTGCAGCGAGCCGCTTTTCGTTGGTGTTGGTATTGTTATTGCTTACTGGTTTGACTATGGGATGAGTTATGTTGATGGAGCTATAAATTGGCGGTTGCCAGTTGCTTGTCAGATGATTTTTGCTATCATGGTTATTTTGTTGGTTTTTGGGTTAGTGACCCCTGGGGGACAATTGGGAAGAGAGGAGATCCAATTGTTTAAATGAAATACTAACATTGGCCATAAATAGTCTGCCTGAAAGTCCCAGATGGCTCTACCGACATAACAGACCAGATGAAGCTCTCCAGGTTCTATGTGATATCTATGACATGGGACCGGAGGATGGTAAGGTCGCTTCTGAATCCGAGGGCATTATCCAGGCTATTCAGCTGGAGACACTACATGGCGAATATAAATGGTCACAGATTCTCAAGCGGGATGAGGTGCAGACTGGTCGACGGGTATTGCTGGCTTATGGAATTCAATTTATGAATCAGATGGGTGGGATCAACTTGGTTGTGGTGAGTTCATTCCCAGCACTGTCCTACTGTATTGACCTAAACCATCAATCTCTAACACTATGGGCCTTGCAGTACTATGTGACTTCCGGTAAATATCATCCCAAATCACAAGCTTCCGTCAAAATCATGCTGATAGAAACAACCTATAGTCCTCGAATATAACGTCGGCCTAACTCGCAAACTAAGTCTCCTCCTTGGAGGAGTAATCCAAATCATGTTTGTGATTGGTAAGTTCACAATCCCAGCAATGAGAAGATATCACACCAGAGCAACCCCAACTAATGCACACCAGGCTCCTTCTACCCAACCTTCTTCTCGGACCGCTTCGGTCGCCGCAAGCCAATGATGTGGGGTTCCTTCGGGCTCTTCATCTCAATGATGATGATATCGATTTTGCTCTCATTCAAGGGTGCGTACACTTCTACAAATCTGTTATACAAGATCTCGTCCTAATTGGCACAAATGACCATTCTCCACATCTTGATACTGATATCACTATTCCAAAACAGGAACATCAATCGAAAAACCAACAGCAACAGCCTCCGTCGCCTTCTTCTTCCTCTTCATGTTAATCTTCGGTGCATCAGTGAATTGTATTCCGTGGGTATACGGACCTGAGATTTTGCCTTTGCATGCTCGCGCTAAGGGGTGAGTAACTCATACACCACACCGCTATCAAACACCCCATCTATCTCTTGATGTCCATGTAGTCACCAAGACATATTCATATTCACTAACCTCCTTTTCTCCCATAACAGCCAAGCAATCGGAATCTCAGCAAACTGGCTCTGGAACTTCTTCGTGGTAATGATAACGCCGACATTAATCCAAAATCTGGCTTGGAAGGGATATTTGATTTTCATGTGTTTGAATCTGGTTTTCGTTCCGGTAAGGCCAATCACCATTCTAGTTTATGCTACGACCCCAAAGTCTGTAGGTGGGGTTGTTCGGTTCTGTTTTGCTAATGATATACATTTACATGCAGATTATCTACTTCTTCTACCCCGAGACTGCGAATCTCACGCTCGAGGAGATTGATTTCCTATTTACGGATCGGGCGAGATACCCTTCTATTGCGGAGTTGCGGTCCGCTGGGAATGGAGATGTTCGGGTGGATGGTGTGGATGGGAATGAGAAAGATGAGAGTGGGAGTGCTGGGGGTAGTGTCAGACATGACGAAGTGAGAGTAGGAGCTGGAGGGAAGGAGTGATGCTCTTGTTATTAGGGAATATTACATATGGAGATAGTTGTTGATGCTCTAGTTTATCATATATTGACGTTATGAAGATCTAGTGAAGAAAAGGGCTAGCTAATTACATCAAACTAGAGCATTGTAGGTTATGGAAGTGAATTGCTACTCAATGGACAGAAAGAGGATATGCGCGTTTTACTCGGCCAATATCCCGCCCCCTTTCGTTGAGTAGGTTTTTGGGCCAATCCCAACTTAAAGATATGTAGGCCCCAAAGATAAACTCCCAGTCGGGCATGAGTAACAGCCGGGAACAGTAGAAAGGGGGCACATATGTTGTCCAAGCCTCGTTCTCCGGGCGAAACAAGGGATACATCCCATAGAGTGAAAATGGTGCATCCCACTGTCAACCCGATGTCGACGCAAGCGATAAAATACGAAACGGCATTCCGCAAAAGACGGATAAGTATTCAAAATGGGTATCATTGGTGTCCTATACTAAACAAGCGCCAGGGTATCACAATTTGTTGCGCGGGTTTCCTTTCGCCTGATCCTTGAGCTCTTCTTTGAAGTAGTCGAAGAACTGCTTGAGCCCGGAGCCTAACACGGATAAGTTAGCCATGGCTTCTTGTTACAGACTCGCATAGAGCCGTACCATTATTTTCGAGTTTGGTGCCTCCCATCTGTTCCGGAGGCACCCCGTGCCTGACGTGTTGAATTTTCTCGTGGACTCGGCCAACCATGCGATGGAATATGGGGCTTCGGAGGAGCTGTGAGAGCGATGTCAGGATATTGATCAGAGTTAACGGGCGACTTCGATGCAACATACTCGAGCAGTGAGCCAGACCTGAGACAGACAATTTTGTCAGTGAAGAACGTCGTGGCAGAAGGAGAGAACTCACCTCCAAGCCTCGGAACAACAGAGTACTCCACGCCATCTTGGAGATTCTCTCTAAGATTTAAGCATGAAGTTCAAACCATGGGGATCTGCGAGTGCGAAGAGGAAGAGACCTCGGCCTTGAAGATCCGGAGGGTTTCTTAGTCAGCTCTTCCCCGCGAAGCTTTTCTGAATCATCGCGGAGAACATTCGCGACTAATAATTATTTCCAGCCTCCTTTTCAATAAACCACGGAATGTACAGCTATGGTCCTGTGGCTCCAACAACCCGCCACTGAGTCTTGACCACTGCCGACGATGGCGAGTGGCACCGAACGAACTACTCAAGTGGCTCGGTTCTTCCCAATCCAGATCAGAAACTCCGTTTCTCCTACGCGGTCCAGAGAATGACCAAAGGTTGCTACACCTGTCGACGACGTCGCATCATCTGCGACAATGGCCAGCCCACCTGCCGGAAGTGTCGAGATGCGGGGAAGGAATGTCTGGGGTATCAGAAGCCGCTCGTTTGGGTCAAGGGTGGTGTGGCTAGTCGCGGAAAGATGATGGGCCGCAGCTTTGATGATGTGGAAAAGCCATCGAGCAAACCGAAGCGCAGGGCTACTGAAGTATCCGATTCTACTGCGACGAGCAGTGGGTTCGGCTTCTTTTCCATCGCCGAGTCTTCCTCGGACGCCGAATCACATAGTTCTGGGAACCAGCCTAGTCCGGAGACAGAGGGATGGATCTTTGGGACGTCGGAAAATCTACCAACTGGAGATGATGTACAGTTGGATTTTAATACCACCGAGGAGGACAACGCTGTCGTTCATGTTCCTCGGAGTACTCCTAGCACTGACTATGTTCCAGCGCCATGGGGACTGGTAGATCCGCTATTCAAAGATCTCGGCCAGTACTCACGGTACTATGTATATCACTGTGAGATACTCTATGCACACACCAAGTGGTCCGGCTAACAACTGACTAAGACAACCAATACATGGTCAACGACTTTGCGCTTTACTCTCAGTCTAAAAACCCCTTTCGAGACATCACCGCCCTGGTCAACCATTCCCCGGTGCTTGCGCACAGTATCTCCGCTCTCGGGGCTCTTCATTACTCGCTTCTCTCGGAGTCGGATTCCTCTCCCATGCCGTGGTCATCCAAAAGCCAACCGTTGGAGGATTCGCATTTGTCTGTAAAGGAAATCGAAGACATTGTTGCGCCAGCAAGCTCAAGGAAGCCCACCTCGCAAGGATACCAACATTTCTTGGAGTTCAAGCAGCGTGCTCTTCGCCAATTGTCCATGGACCTTAGCAACCCAGCAATGCAAAAGGACGGCAGAACATTAGCTGCTATCGTCTTACTTGCCTTCTTGGACATCATCGAGTCAGGCAGCGGAGCGTGGAGCTATCACATAGAGGGCGCAAAGAAACTTCTCAAAGACCGACCTGAAAATGGTCTGGGACGAGGGATCCTCGAAGACCTGGACGCATTCGCCCTTGACGGATGTTTAATGTAAGAAACCTCAACATCCACCAAACCCTCCCTCTAACAAAACCCCAGCATGGAAATCATGGGATCAACACTCGCCCGCCCAGGCGCCCTCTCAAAACCCTTCTACTCCTCAGCAATGGGCCCCTCAATCCTAAAACGCCTGGAAGAAAACTCCTGGGTCGGCTGCCCAGCCTACCTCCTCGAAGTAATCTTCTTCGTCCACGCCCTCTGGTACCCAGACTCGGAAATAGCAGCCGCAACCCCCCAGCCAACCGCCCTCCCAACCTCAATCCAACCAGGCCAACCCCTAACCCTAGAATCCTTCGCAACCCTCCTCCAAGGAATCCGAAACTTCGACCCCATAGCCTGGAGCCAGGAAATGCAAGCTGTCTTCTCCATCCCGGATCTGACATACCGTCTCGCCCTCGCGACCTCCTACCAAGACGCTGTCTACCTCTACACCAGTCGCGTCCTCTCCCGCACCAGACCGGGCTTCGATCCCCCTTGGTCAGACGTCGGCCTGCCAGCTGATCACTCGTTCATCGCTACGAATCTCATTACCCAAATCTGTCTAATCCCGCCTTCGGATCCGCACTTTAAATGCCTCATCTGGCCTACTTTCATTGCCGGCGCTGAATGTCGCCCTTCGCAGCGGGCTCTTGTTCTTGAGAAATTGGGTTCGCTTTATGAAGCTTTGACTAGTGTTAATGTTCGCAATGCTGCTTGGGTTTTGAGACTTATGTGGCAGAAGCAGGATACTAAGCGTCGTGAACGTCAGGGTGGTGATGATGATATCGATATTAGCTTTGATTGGATCGATGAGCTGGATTCTTCTCGTCTTGACTGGCTGTTTATCTAAGTGGCTGTGGCTGTGGCTGTCTGTGTCTGGGATAATTATACGTATCTCTCCCTGTTATGACTTATGTTTGTGTTTGTATATACCTCCAAGTACATTATTATGGATATTACTGTTGTTACGTGGTAGTGGATATATTGAATTTGAATTTGAAGATGATATTGACGAAAGGACTATGTACTTGAAAGGATTGTAACAGGTGCGGGAATTCTCAGCCTAGAGAAAGAAGAAGCAAACTATGTGCTGTGGTGATAAAGAGATTTTTGGGGGGGGGGGGGGGGCGCGAGAGTGTATACCAGAGAAAGTAGAGGAGATAGAAAGGAAAAGAAAGTCACAATGAAGAGGTCGGATCAGGAGTTCAGAGGAAGACATTGAAAGAGGATGGAAGTAAGACACAACGAGAAAAAATGATAAGGGAATGCAAATGACCTTTTCAGCGAATAGCCCAAAAAAAAGAACCAAAAGACAAGAGGGGTGGCAAGAAAGTAGGAAAGAGGATAAGAAAAAGTCAACAGGTCTACTGTGATTCAATACCAGCTCAGAAGTACTTGACACGGTCTCGAACAGACATCAATGTAAAAGAAAAGAGCAAAGCAGAAGAAGTCTCAATGTTGTGGACAGTATGCTTCAGATCAAATCAGGGATATATAACAGTGGACGACACAGAAAAGGAGATGAGAAAAGGAAACACGACACATGAAATGGGGAGTGTAAATGGAAAACAGTCTGAGATACAGCAGACGGCAGAGAAAGATAGAATGCGCATGCTCCCTTCCGATTCTAAATGCAAGAAAACATGGTTCCCCAACAGAGGTAGAAAAATGAAAAAGAAAAATTGTAATCAACAAACACGCTCGTCACTGGAATATGCAAAGGGTAGGTCAAGTAACCGATATGCGAGGAGGACATCCAGTCTTTGTGCGAATGTCAGTGCATGGAAGAGAAAAGGAACGGGAGAATGGGAAAATGGGAGACTGGAAGTGAGGAGACTGCCAGAGGTGTGTCATATTCCACCTCGATCACAGTCGGGTGAGATACCACCTATTGCCCACGAACGAAAATAACCCCCAGGGCTAGGAACAAGGTGTACAAGAAATGAGTCAAGTCGAGAGCAGGACGCTTTTTGGTTCTTTGCCACTAGAAGACGGCAGCAAGGCCATTCTTCGAATGACGCTTGCTGAATCTCTTTCTTCCTTTTGTTGACTCGGAGTCGGTGGCCTGGTGTTTCACCAGATGGTTCCGGCCAGATGGTGGTGGACCTCTGTCATCTTTCTGCATGTCGGAGGTGCGGTCTAGTGTGTTGGCGGGGCTGGGAAAGCCGGATGAGAGGTTTTGGAATGCATCATCACCGAAAGCACCGGCGCTTTGTTGCAATGATGCCATCTCTCGGGATCTGTCCAAGGCATCCAGCCATTCTTGGACCTGGACAGCTGTGGCGCCTGATGAGGCTTTGGGGTCCTCGAAGACATAATGTTTATCTCTCTGTAGTGGCATTAGATGAAGTACTTGATTGCTTCGGGATGGGTTACATACCGTGTCCACAATCCACGAGGAGTGTCCTTTGGAGTCGGTCGTGCTCCGGTAATGTGTCCCTGGGGCCAAGAGAGGGATCTCGAGCTTAATCTTCTTATCATCACCACCAGACGCAGCCAGGATAATCCGCGCATGTGAAGTGACCATCACCAGCCGTTGCCGCTTTTTGGTGGCGCTTCCAGAGAAGAAACGAGAGAATTTCTTAGGGGCCTCGAACTCACCACTGCTGTTTTTGGATGACGGGCTGTGCGAGGCAGCAGATGAAAGTACCACTAAATTGCCCAATTTCAAGATCCGTTCGTTGTTCTTGCTGAGCACTGGTGACCATTCAATATCCAGCTGACTCGGTGGAGGTAACTCGGTCACTACTCGTGGGAGCTGGCGGTTACTGGCACTGGGTGCATTGGAGGGGGCGGTTGAAACGACCGGCGGCAAATTCTCATCACCTTCACCACCATTGAGCTTGATAGGATCGCGTGCAGGAGGCACATAAGACTTCAAGCGAGGAGCCTTTTGTTTCCAAAGATCCGGACCCCAAGTGATACCTTCAAAGAATTGATGGTTCTTGATGTGCTCGATTTGAAGGCGTCGAGCAGGATCCAGGACCAGAAGACGTTCGACAAGATCACGAGCGATAGGAGGGAATCCAATGGGGAACTCGTAATCCAACCCCACGATTTTCTGGAAAGTCTGATACTCATTCCCAGCTTTGAAGGGTGGACGACCGGCTAACAACTGGTAAATGATGCACCCAAACGCCCATAGATCACTGGCCTTGCACGCGTTCTTGTCTGTCAAAAGCTCGGGGCTGACGTATTCCGCAGTACCGACAAAGGAACTCGCGCGCTCTTCCTCGGGAACCTCGTTGTCGAGAGGGGGAAGGCCGTTTTGGTTTGAGTCCGCTCGTCGCGAGGTTTTGAGGATCTTGGCCGTTCCAAAATCAGTGATCTTGACATACATTGCGCTGTCAAGCAGCACGTTCTCCGGCTTCAAGTCTCGATGGATCACACCGCGCTTGTGCATATAGTCTATCGTATCCAGGATCTGGGCACCGTAAAACCTCGTACACTCCTCGTCAAATGTGGTCATCCGCTTGAGTGTACCGAGCAATTCTCCTCCTTTGCACAAGTCCAGCACGAAATATAGCGACTGCTCATCCTGGAAGGTATAATAGAGCCGCACAATACCTGGATGATCGGTCAAGCGGTTCAGGGTATCCTTCTCGATGTTCACGTATTTCACCTTCCTCTCCTTGATGATGTGTCGCTTGTCAAGGATCTTGATCGCGTATTCCTTCAAAGTCTGCCGGTCTGTCGCAAACACGACCGTACTGTAGGAGCCCTCTCCGAGAGTATTCCCGAACGAGAAATCCCGGACTCCCTTCTTGATATAGCGGGAAACTGTTTTACCGTTGGCATCCACCTCTTGCCTCACAGATACCGCAGCACCACGCTCCTGCCAATCCTCGCTGCTGGGCAGCGGCCCATTCTCCATGTGGGAAGTTCGAGACATCTGAGATGCTGCGCCTCCACTTCTTGCGTGTGCTCGAGACGTCTGACGCATCACCGCCGGACCGTTGCCGGGAATCTGGGCGGTTCGGTAGGACCGGTCGCTGTGCGAGTTGTCGCGCGCTAGAACACCGGCATGTAAAGCCGATGAACCTCCTCGGGTGTCTACCCGCGCCTGAGAGCCAGATGTAGATGAGGCGCCTGAGTCGGTTCGAATGCGGTAGGTATTGTCACGGGGGAGGTTGGAGGTTGCGGAACCATTCGCGTATACGGCGGAAAGGGGTCGGTTGGGGTTTGGAGGTGTCGAGAGCGGAGTCGAATATGGCTGATATGTAGGCACAGGCTGTGTGTCTGGAGAAGGAATGAATCGGTCCTCTACCGTAGGGGCTTCGATGGGTGCAGGAGGAAATGCTGAGGAGCGGTCGTCGTTGGAATTCTGTGTTGATACCGAACCGCCCGGGCGTCCGAACGGACTGGTCCCCGATGAATCCGCGGTCGCATCTGGTAGAGGCGAATCATCAGGATTGGCTATCCGAAGTCCTCCCAGGGACTGGGAGAGACTGAGATCCCCGTTCATGACGAAGGATGAAGTCGTCTAGCGGAGATGCAAGGTTGAAAAACACGAAAAAAGACGAAAACTATTAACACGGATGCATGGTCCGGAGTGAAGAGAGAAGAGAGAGGGGGAAAGGATCAACAGGAGGCTCGTAGAAATCGGGTCTAGTGTTGAGGGGCTGAGTCTGACTATTAATACTTGTAGTATCACCTCCTAAGACAAGTCTTGTTTCTCTCTACTTCTAGACTTCTGTGCTACTCTTCAGACATGCTCAGACGTCGCCCAACTATCATCCTCCTGGAGGACTTGGATTCTCTCCAGCTCTTCCCGCTGACAACAGACTTCCAGAAACTGACCCTGGACGAACAGGAACAGAGCTACGATGACCTACTGGGGGACCTCTCATCCTGCGCATCAGAGGCAACTACCAGCATTGACCTTACAGCTCCCAGTCACGGGAAGCCCTCTTGTGAACGCGACACCTCTTCACCCAGTCCCGGGATCTTCGCATCTCCAAGCACAGCTCCACCATCCGCACCCGCATCCACCAAATCATGCCTGAAATCCCACCTCCCAATCCGAGAGTCCTTGCAGAACACATCTCCGGGAGTGAAGCCGCGTCGAGCGTCCCAGTCTACCGACCCACCACGGCCAAAAGTGACTTTCGCGTTGTCACCGCAAGAACAAGAGCTCCATAGCGGCAGAGCCAATCGTTCATCCGAAGAACAAGAAGGTACACTAAACCGCGCAGTTTGAGTCGCGAACCCTTCTAATATAACAACAGATGATCGTATTGAAAACTGGCCTCGCCCAGACACTACTACAGCCCTATCCCTCGATTCGCCGGCCCTCACGCCACAACTCTCCTTCTTGTCGTGTGGTGTCTCGTCAAGCCCGGCCACTGCCAGCGTCCCACTCCGGGACCTAGTCTTAGCGTCCACACAGTCTTACGAGGCAGTCTTGGCCGAGAAGACGGTCTCGCCCGAGTTAGGGGATTGCATCGGTAAAGGCCGTGGTATTGTCTAGCTGTCAGGAGATGCGATGTCCGAGATTGGTGGCTGGGTTCTGGCGGTCTACACTGTACAAGTGCGGACAAGTGCAAGCTTGCCATGAGCTATTGATTTTGTGGCTTTTTGTTTGCCCAGATTCATTCTGTTAGGTTTGTATAGGTAGTTTTGTATAGATAGGACGCGACGAACTGACGAAGTATGATACCCAATATGAATATGAATATGAAGATGAGTTATGAGTTATGAGATATGAGATATGAGATATGAGATAAACTTCAAGCTATGAAACGCAATAAAAATAACAGAACCACGCATACCCAGTCCAGTCCCAGCCTAACAATACATATACATGCTGTACATGCAAACCAACAACCCCCAAAAGGCCCAAGGATAACAACAACCCAGCCCTGGCGAATGTTTCACGTTAAAAGAAACATAGACAATCTAGAATCCCTCTTCAACAGGTCCATCTGAAACAATCCCGGCAATCTATCAAAAGTTCAAGTGCTAAGTGGAGAGAACTACTAACCGGGGCCCGGCATCAGAACTGACGCGTCGCTTTGCCTCCATCCCACATTGCCCTATGCTGTCATCTGCCCTATAATGGTGAATTTGGGATGGAGATTAGGGTATACGTCAGCTATATACATATACATGTACTCTATTTCTATTTCTATCTTTGTCCATAGTTATACTACAGTGCTGTACATGCATACCAGTACGGAGTACAGTACAGTGTTCTTGTATGTACTGCTGACTGCATGGTTCAGGATCCACAACGCCACCCTGCACGCAAACCTTGATTCATTCTGGAATATTTCCGGCGTTGGTTAGGTCGCTTGGTGAGATGGGTTCCTATGGTTGGCTATCCAGGGGTTGTGTATCGTAGAATTGAGTTGATTTTTGGATGGTACATATAGGGATACAGTCCTACTGAACTCCGTATTCCGTGCGGGTTTCCTGATCCGGTGATTTGCGATCTGGGATTGGTGATTGCCTGGCGATCGCCGTGTGGCGAGTATAAGTGTCCTGGGGCGAGAGGCGAGGGCGAAGGGCGAGGGGTTTAGGTTGGGTTGGTGGGGCTGGACGTATGTACATCGGTCTGTGCTGAGGCTATTGGTACGTGTAGAGTTATGTGGGGGAATGAATGAGTTGGAGAGATTGGACGGATTGCAGGTCTGATTTTTGAGATTGTAGGATAGCCTATTAGGAGACCGCTATTTGGAGGTTTGATATGTCATGGCCTGTATTACGGTCTACAGGTACTGTGAACTGTTTGCAACTGAATCAATTAGGAATAGCAAAACCAATCAAGCCAGTCTAATAAAATGTATATCAAAAGCAACCCAGCTCTAGCGCACAGGAGGAGAGAAGAAAGGTAAAGAGGGTTGAATGGAGTTAAGTAACAAGATGAAACGCCAACGAAAGATCATCTCCCAGATGTCGCTTCAAATGCTCCCTCGTGTATATTTTTTTCCATGACGGTATGAGCTCGTTTCAATTGTATCAAAAAAAAAGGAAAAGGACAAAAGAAAAACATTCCTTCACACAAACATGTGACGGACCAAGGGGGAATTATCTACTGCTTCTTGGCGAAAACCTGGGCACCGTCGACCAAGCGGCGCTCGGTGTTCTGGCGACCGTTGACGAAGTCGGGGTAGTTGAGGGTCAGCTCAACGGCACCGTTGACAATGTTGTCAACAGCCTCGACACCCAGCATGAAGGAGTGGTCCTGGTTGCCGACCTCGTAGCGCCAGCTACCGAAGCGGCCGCGGGACCAGATACCCTTCTCCTGGAGCTTGGGCAGGATCTGGGTGAGGGCACCCTCACGCTCAAGGGATGGGGTGGGGTAGCCGTGGTCGAAGCGGCGGTGGTAGGTGGAGACGATCTCATCACCGGGCTTGAGCATCTCGGTGTTGACGAGACCCTGGATGGACTCGGCGAGGAGAGTGTCGTTGTTCACGGGCTTCATAGAAGACTCGGAAACCTCAAGCATGATGGACCAGTAAGGACCCTCCTGAGCCTCGGAGCTCTTGGGCTTAGAGCCGTCGGCGAGCTGGAGGGTGGGCAGCTTCTTGGAGGCATCGGGCTGGTTGTAGGGGGAGTAGTTGGAGAAGATGGTGGCACGGTAGAAGGGGCAGTCATTCTCGGGGAAGTAGAGCCAGCACTTGTCACCGATGCGGTCGGGACGAGCACCACGGATACCAACACCGATAACGTGGGTGGAGGAGTAGAAGAGCTGCTTGGTGAGGGGCATGAGCTCAGTGTCGTTCATGGCCTCGGCGAGGTAGTCGACAGCCATGGTGGAGACCAGCTTCTTGTAACCGATGGTGGTGCCATCAGCCAGGGTGACGGTCTTGTTGTTGGCGTTGACCTTCTCGACTTTGCTCTTGGGGCCGTAGCGGGTGTTCTCCTTTGGGAGGGTGTTGGCAACAGCAATCCAGATACCACCGGTACCATCACGGGCGGGGAAACGGAAAGTAGCGTTGGGGCCCCAGTTACCGGCGGTCTTGTTGAGGATAACGTTGGTGGTCACGGCCTTGACGTTGGGGGCAGCGACACGCTCACCGAGCCAAGCGCATTGCATCTGGTGGAATTAGTATCGTTGCGGTCGGTCTCTGAAAAGAAATAAACTCACCTTGGTGGTAGGCACAGCCCAGACCTTGTAGTTGTAAGGTCTCATGAAGAGGTCGGCAATACCAGTACCCATCATGCGGACAATCCACTCGTCAAAGTCCTTGGGCTTGGTGTTGGAAACACGGGCCTCAAGGGCGGCATCGATCATGCCGTCAATGCACTTCACCTGCTCCTCCTTGGGAAGCATGGAAATGTTGTTTTGGAAGGGGTAGGGAACCCACTGCTCCTGGCAGCGGACGTAGGAGATACGCTCGTGGGTGAACCAGTCCTCATCCTTGGGGAGGGCCTCGTTGATGCAGTCGTCGAAGTACTTGTAGTGGGAGAAGATAACGTGGCCGCCGACATCGTACAGCTACCAAAGTGTCAGTTTATACATGTGGCAGTTGAGGCGAGTCGCAACTTACGAAGCCCTCGTCGGTAACATCAGTAGAAGCAAGACCACCGGGGGTTTCGTTGGAGTCAATGATCATCCATGAGGCGCTGTTCTGTATATTCAGTCAGTCGCGAATTCTTCGGAATACCCCTCCCCTTTTTTTTTTCTCGGTGCCCCTCCGACACAACAATTGAGGATTTGAAAGACTTACGATCTGGTTCAACCGCTTGGCGGCACCCAAACCAGTAGGGCCAGCACCAATGACGAGAACGTCAACAGAACTAAGCAATTGTCAGTGTTGACAGTGACGGGATGATGGAGTCCCAATACTCACATGTCGGGGTGGGTCATTCTGCCTTGTAGGAGATCCTGAAAGCTGGGAACTCTTTTAAAAGTCTTGCGGGCGACGTTCAGCATAGAAAAAGCACAGCTGCAGGAGGTCTGCAGAAGATAAGTTGGGAGCGGGAGAGGTAATAAATGGGAAGGGGGGAACCAAAGAAGGAGAAGTGGGAGGGACAACGTGACAAGCCAAGCTATCCAGACGCAGTCGGCTAAAGGTAGAGTGGGGAGGACGTGCCTGTTTCAGGTTTACTGATTCGGTATTTTACCCCCTATTCTACTTTATACTTGCTGTACATGTGTTTCTTAATTTTAATTTTATAAATTTTAATCCTCAAACACATTCGATCTGTCTTCCAGGGTCTATTGGACTCCATAGGGACCCGTGGGACACGTAAGGCAATCTCATCACATCCCATACTGTAGGGACCCTGGTGAAACTATTGAATCTATCATATCCTGCACACGCCCGTTATTGGTCTGAGGCTTATCGACTCCAAAAGCAGGGACCCGGAGTCGATTTGCATGCGGGCAAGTCGTTATTGGTATTCCTTTGGCGGATATTGGACAAGTCTGGAATGCCGTTATCATCTCCCATCTCGGACATTTTCAATGCTCTAGGAAAAAAGGGGCAGATAGGGGCCATTGAATCGAGATGGAAAATGGCTGGACTAAATACGCCACCGATGTCGAAATTAGCACGTTTCCGACTGGATTAAATTACCTTGCGGCAATATCGTTTACGAGCTATAGATGTAGTTTAATTCGAGGGCTCCATTTCCCAACGCTCTAGATGACCATATATAACTTAAACATACTATAAACATGCTCATGTACTCCGTACAGGTAAGATATTGTATCCTCAATTTTTCTTTGCAACATATCATATGCATTCAGCGCCGATAGGGCAGGGGAAAATCCCTGAGCCCGTTGATCGGCCACTCATATTGACCCATCAATCTGGCGGTCTCGAAAGGAACGGGATTCGCAGACTTCAGGGCACAGGCGACAGGGTCCACTGATTGTCGCCCCCAAGAAGGCAACATAACGAGGATCCTTCGTGGACTACGTGGAAAAACTTCTGGAAAACATGTTACAAGTTCCATGTCACCGGTTCCAAGGGAACATGTAAACAACCAAGTCAATACAGTCTCTGTGTACTCACTTACCAAAGCTTGGTCCCCCAGTCCTTGCAGTGGAGCGAGTCCCTGATGGCGTCAGACACAGCCCAGGGCGATCGCCGCATTCTCCACCCGTAAGGGACCGGATGGACCAGAGGGTCGCCGAACGCGGGTCCCTGTGGGCCTTGGCTAACAGCTGCTTGCGTAACCCTCTGTCAAGCGTGTTAATTCGGATCTGCGCCCTACGTAGTGGTGTTCTATCTCAAACTGGTACCGATTCAGATACCGAGTCCGTACATTCCTTCTACAGTATCTTATCTGCTTCCAGGTAAAGAGTCAGCCCTATAGTAGTACATGTGCAAAGATAGAAATAGAATTAGAATTAGGTGCCAAATAAGCCAGTGGAGTGGAACTTGACTTAATTGGTGAATTACCACAAAAAGAGAGCATCGCCACGAGCAACCCATGGTAGTCAAGGCCCAGGCTCAGGTAAGGGAAAAGGGCGGTACCATACAATCCAGCCAATCAGCGTTGATGACAGAGTACAGGTGGCCTTAGCTGAGATGTAACGGTAATTCTCATACCTTGGAAACATGAACCACGTCTGCAAACAGAGTTGGTGTTTTCTGTTTTGGGTGTTTTCTTTACGTCTAAACAACGTCTGATCCCCCCGACGGTTTTTTTTTAATTTCCTTTCCAACGATTTGGAAGATTCAATTATTTGGTTCCTGTATGTACCTCATCATTCCTTCATCCACGCTCGTTTTGGTCCAACTGTCTCACACTCGTTAAACCAGTGTTCGCTATCTCCCTTTCTTATCTCGCCCACTTTTTTCTCCGTGGCTTCCTCCGCATTTAGTCAAGGAAGCCTCTCTCGGCCGCGACCCTTCGAATTCAAGCGCTTCCTTTCCGAACAGACTCCAACTTTTAAAATGAGCGAAGGCGAGAAGGTCCGCGCCTCCGGCGAGACTCCCCGGGAGTCCCTGCCTACAGTCAACCCCGCCGCTGAGAAGCAGGAGCCCAGCGCGGCCCTGCATCCCGCGGTCTACGTGACGTGAGCGACTATTGTTCCAGAGGGAGACACATTCGCTGATATCTGCCAGTACCTGGATTACCCTCAGTTCCACCGTTATTCTGTTCAACAAGTACCTCCTCGACACTCTCGGCTTCCGTAAGTTACCTAGCAGACCTCTGGACGCGACACGGAATCAAGCTCTAACAATTGAACAGGCTTCCCTATTATCCTCACAACATGGCACTTGACCTTCGCTACCATCATGACCCAGATCCTGGCCCGCACTACCACCGTTCTCGATGGCCGCAAGAGCGTCAAGATGACCGGCCGCGTCTACCTCCGTGCGATTGTCCCCATCGGTGTGATGTTCAGTCTGAGCTTGATTTGCGGTAACATGACCTACCTCTACCTCAGTGTGGCCTTCATCCAGATGCTCAAGGCCACCACTCCCGTGGCTGTCCTGCTGGCTACCTGGGGTATGGGTATGGCTCCCGCCAACATGAAGGTTCTCGCCAACGTCTCCATCATTGTGATTGGTGTGATCATCGCCTCCTTTGGTGAGGTCAAGTTCCAGCTCGTCGGTTTCCTGTTCCAGGTTGGTGGTATCATCTTCGAGGCTACCCGTCTGGTCATGGTCCAGGGTCTGCTCAGCTCTGCCGACTTCAAGATGGACCCCATGGTCTCTCTGTACTACTTTGCTCCCATTTGTGCCGTTATGAACGGTGCCGTTGCTCTGTTCCTCGAGTTCCCCCGTGTCACCATGGACCACGTCTACTCCGTCGGTGTCTGGACTCTGGTTCTCAACGCTGTCGTCGCCTTCCTGCTCAACGTCTCCGTCGTCTTCCTGGTAAGTGATTCGAGTTCAACCCCGCGAACCCGCGCTAACAGTCTCTACAGATTGGCAAGACCTCCTCTCTGGTCATGACCTTGTGCGGTGTCCTTAAGGATATTCTCCTCGTTGTTGCCTCTATGATGATTTGGAACACTCCCGTTACTGCCCTCCAATTTTTCGGTTACTCCATTGCTCTGCTCGGTCTCGTCTGGTACAAGCTTGGTGGTGACAAGATGCGCGAGTACACCTCCTCTGCTGGCCGCGCCTGGGCTGAGTACGGCCAGGCTCGCCCTGCCCAGCGCAAGTTCGTTGTCTTTGGAGCCTCTGCCCTCATCTTCTTCCTCTTTGTTGGCTCCATGGCCCCCAGCTACGCCCCTCAGTCCGTTGACCGCGTGAAGGGCATGCTCGGTGGTGCTACCGCTGGTAACGCTTAAATGCAGTTATCACCCCTGCATCTCCTATAAACCGGAATGCACCTAATTTTGGAGCCAACGCAGTTTCCTAGCGTTGGCGTGAGCAGTGAATGAATGCAGATGCTCAGCATGTAGCGGCTTTGGCACACTCTCTACCCTGTATGATGCCGCCATGTTGTTCCCAAGCCCCGGTGTGATGGAAAATGGGGCTTGAGTTTTGTCTTTCTTTTTTTCCCAGCCGCATTTGATGTATTCAGTGACATGTGGTGTTACTGGCGGTGTACTCTTTTTCTACGAACATTGGTTTTGTTAGACTTGCACGAGCTCTGGTGTCGGTTTTTGCTGTGGACCTGTTTCTGTGGTCATTTTATTACCATTCGTGTTTCTATAGTGTTCCAATAGACTTCTTCGTCGTTCACGCGTCCCATCCCTACTTCACGTGACTGTCCACGGGCCTCATATCCGCGCAGGCCTGAGGCGTAGTCACCTCGGTTCTGATTGGCCAATCGCAACGGGGCTGGACCCAATCATTGACCGACCCACTGCTCGGAGGCGGCTTGGCTGCATAGACCAATCGCCTCACTGTATGGTACTTGTATTGTGACAGTTTTGGTCGATCGGATAGCTGCTTTTGGCTGGTATCTTACCGTTTGTCACGGTAACTCCGCATTTCACGCATCGGATCATCCACTTCTTCAGATCCGTCTGGTCTCACTCTTACTCTACCTCTTCTTCTCTCTCTTTCTTCCCTTCCTCTTCTTTTCTTCCTTTCTACCTTCTACTCCTCTACTTCTCTGCTCTCCCACGTTTATACTCTCCCATCCCCTCCTATATATATCCTCCTCCTCATCCTCCTTCTACCTTTACATCTTCCTACCTCTCAACCTTCCTTCCGCTTGGACGTGATCCACAGGTGGTTGAAGCTTCTTGTGTCTTGCTCACCTAATCTAACAGAACAGTATATCTTGAGGGTCAATCATAATTATAATGTGCCCAATGATCCTCAATCGCCTCTCCGACGGTCCCGCGACGGTCCTCTCTCCCCAGGAACACGCCTTCGCTCAGTCCCCCGCGCAGTCCATGCTGGACACTCCATCAACCTTCAACGGCTTCTCTAGTCCTAACACGGTCTTCGCCAATAACCCTGCGCAAGCTTCCTCAAGCTTCAACTTCACAGCCCCTCCCAAGCCGTCCCGCAAGAGGTCGCGTGATGAAGCTTCCTTTGAAGAGGCACTGGCACCCAGTGCGCCGGCAGCACCCACGCCGGCACCACCGAAGGTAGAGCCCATCTATGGCGAAGGAATGGTCCTCCTAAACCCGCAGACTGGCCTTGCCCTCTCTGCCGAGAGCCAGACCGGCACATGGTACGAGCAAGAGTCCGAGGCGCAGCAGGCCACCGCCGCTCCTGTCTCCTCCCGGTCCAACGCGCTGCTATCTGACGCCGGTGACGCAAGCCGCAAGTCCCAGCGCCTCGACAAATCCGCCCCAGGCCTGGACGACATCGCCCTCTCCTCAATCCACCAACGCCTTAACGACTCCAGCTCCAACGACCAGCACCGCACCCTTAACCTCGGGCCTGCACCTCCCGCCGAACCCCTCGTCGACGATACAACCCGTCTCCTAGGCATTGGCTGGCAGCGCGTCAGCACAGATGACGACATGGCTTGCGCCGTCCGCGGCTGGACAAAGTACATCGACAACCAGTACTCGGCCCACTTGCACGACTCGCAGATCCTCATCAAGAGCCGCGCTCTGGACGCTTTCCTTGTGGCTGCTACTCCGACCTCTGGACTCTCGCCCGCCTTCTACCTCTTCACCGAAGACCTGACTCAAGGCCAGCTCGTCGCTTCTTCGTGGGAAGCATGCATCCAAAATCTGCGCAGCACGCCCATGATTTTCGAGGGCGCTGCCCCTCTCGCCGCTACCGATCGACCCGACGCCCAACCCACCCCCTTCAACAACATGGACACTGGCGTGCCACTCCTCCAACAAGCCATGTCCAACCACTCGCACGCACCGGGACTGAGCGGAGGCGTAGAAATGGGAATGGAAATCGACTCGTGATTCCTCTCTTTCAACCCAATCCCATTCACTACCCCCAATACATCGAGCCGATACACCATCAGTTGACCTGACCTCGATTTCGACCCCGACCTCGACGTCCACCAATCCGCATCGACCTCGAATATCATCTTCTTCGTCCATCTTCGTTTTTACTATTGCTTATTTAGTTATGAGACTTACGCGCCTGACTGACCCAGTTCGGCCCACTTTGGTTTTCGCCCTCTGGAGGGTTTATGGGATGGGTTTGGGTGTTTTCTTTTTCCCTCTCTGCTTCTTTGAGGGGGTGGGCTATGGCGTCTCGTAATCTGGAGTTTTATCTATATTCTTTTGGCTCCCGACTTATCTATGACTATTTTGACTTCTAAATCAAAAGAAATTTTATGAGCTCTTTGGTTTGTAGGGTGGGTCCGGTCTCATCAGCTTGTTTGCGACTATCGTAAGTTGTAAACAACATGAAAAAAAAACCCCCTCAGTCACAGCAATACTCCCCGCGTGGCTCCTTTCTTTCTATTTCTTTCTTTTCTAGCTTTTTTCTATTCTCCAATAGGTATCTCATTGACAGTCCAAACTCTCATTCCTGCTCAGAAGACCCATCCCCATGGGCAACCTACCATGATTACCACCGGTACTCAAACGCCTGCCAAAATACAGATGGACAAATTTTGTGATTATTTTGACGCTGAGGAGTCATCTCAGTCTGAGGTAAGGCCACCACCAAGCTTCGGCCACACCCGAAGCGTGCCCTCGAGCATTCCAGTGTGATAATACTCGTGGGAGGTTCATGAGGATAAGGATGAGAATCCTGCACGATCGCCTGACCCTGCCCCGGGAAAGGCCAGGATAGAGGTAAGCCTGGGGGTTGCTTCTTCAACGACTCGGGCTCATTTGCCAAAGCGGAAAGTTCAAGCTGCTGCCAGCCCTGCAACTATTCTGCGACTAGTGACATTTTTAGATGAAAGATTCCCTGCAGACGGTACATTCTGAACGGCTCACAAGAGAAAGTTTCCTGCTTCGACTGAAAACCTGCAAGCTTTTGTAGAGTCCTGCAGAAGGCCACACTATTCGAACCACCCATATGCATCCAAGTGGCTTAAAATTCTAGGAAGAGAGACGCCGCTGCTGGCTGATCTGGGTAAGATTATTAGACTTCTACGTGACTGCGAGACAGACCGATACAATGGCTAGCAGCCGCACTTGAAAAGGATGGTGGGTGAAGTCGGGTTCCAAATTGGACCGAAAAAGATCTAGCACACTTTTGTGTGGAAAGCTTGTTGTGGTAGGAATAGTGGCAATTAGGTAGGGTACAGACACAGAGATCAGTTCGGAGTTAGTGCCAATAGTCTATTGCCTTGCTATACACAATTGGTTGCTTTAGAAGCTGATGATTCGCTGGACGCTGGTAACCTTTAGGGAAAACTTGCGAGAGGATTGTCTCGATATGTTACAATAATCTGAGAAAATCCCACGCGGGTAGATCCTATGTACTCAAGGCTATAATGCACTGACGGATAGTTCCCCCGGCATTCAAGATCGTCGTGCCAACCAATGCGCTCACGCATGCTAGTCACTGGTCCGTATCTAGCAAGACGTTTTTTACTGCTTCCACATGATAGATAAGAAGAGCCCTTTGTTCTCAGAGGAATACAAATGGCGGGCTTTGAAATAATAAGCACAGGTTCTATCTATCATTTTGGAGATGGGAGTTAAAAAAGCTTTGAAACATCCAGGTACAGGGAATATGTAGTCAAAATTTGCCGTCCAATTCTACAAATAGGTGCTGTGGTCGAGGGGTTAAGACACATCGTTGTGGAGATATCTTCGGATATCTGCAGTTCCGATGTAGCCCCGGTTCGAGTCCGGGCAGCGCCACTTTTTTTTTTCCCCTTTCATAGCTCGTCTTGCTAAGGATCTTAGACTATAAAAAGAAATTCAATACATACAGGCAGCAAGCAAGTGTAGAAGAGACTAAAGAGACACAGGTAACCAATATGTCTAGCTAGGCCCTTCTTTTTATCTGTGTTTTTGCCGTCCTTCCTAGGAAAGTAACTAGAAAACAATGACGACCGACCTAGGATGCATCTACTAGCGATGTGGCTCTCACAGCTATTGTTCAATCACTTGTAAGAATCTTCTATTGCCACAGCTGTATTGTCTTGCGGGTTGAACATGTCCGTGCTATCTTTGGTCTTAGTGATCCTCTCGCACTGGACTTTTGAGGTACCCTTCCGAGTGTTGAACTATTTCCGAATCTTGGTAGGAGATTTGATTAATTACAATATTACAGCGTTGTATTCACATACCTGGGTGTGCGGACCTAGTTCGTGTTCTTAATGACGCTAATGTTCATGTTGGGAAAGGTAAAGAGAGAAGTGCCGTAGATGTCATATAGGGTCGAGATCAATAGAGAGCATTCGATTCATAAAGATCCTGCCTTCAACTCACGGTGTTATCGGAGAGAACACACCGCTACAATACCACATATTGACGGATGCCTCGATGGGCCTCGATGGCGGCATCTCTTCGCGTTTCCAGTCATCGCCGAGACTTCCCACATATTTTGAGTAATCTAGTCCGTAACGCCCTTTAATAGCTGCAAAGCAAGACCGCAGACTATATGGCTCGGTTCATATGGGCAGATCCCGCAATCACAAATAGGAGAGAGGATTCTTTCGCGTTTCTGGGCAAGATAGCAAGTCGTGGAAGACTTATCATCTTATGGAAAACAATTGAACGGGTGTTGAAAGCATAACGATTTAGAAATATCGCTACCTTAATGTAACCCGACCAAGCGGGAAACGAAGGCTGAAAAGTAGAATGGAGATTGTGCTTCTATGAATTGGAGGGATGTCGGAGAAGTTAGAAGTGTTGGAAGCTATAATGCTGAATCTGGTACATAGAGCACTACACAACTTGTCAAAGCCTTCTTGGTCATAGAATGGGAGGGTCTCGAGAAGGTCTATGGCCTTCCTATGAAATGAGCTAGAGTCAGAGTCAAAGAACTTTCTATTTAAGAAGCCACAGACGTTGATACTCGCCCCTCTAGCCCTTTGATATCTTGCTTGGGTATTTGTTTGTGTGCCTATGCGACATTGCGGGTCATGTATAGCTACTATCCCCTCGTCACTCGAGGAATGAGACCGGCAAAGAGGTGCCGCAAATACTTGAGCATAGACATGGTCCAGTGTAAAATTATCATTCACATTTTAAAGTTGTTTCATATCGCCACTAATAAGGACTGCGTTCATAAAGTACGTTTGCGACGTCGTCGGGACTATTCTGCCGTCAAATACAATCGTTGCCATCATTTTGCTGAAGTAAAAAAGTACACAAAAGTCTTAGTAGGTCTTACTACAAAGCTAAGTAGGCCAAAAAGAGTGGCGCTGCCCGGACTCGAACCGGGGCTACATCGGGAATGCTGATATCCGAAGATATAACCACAACGATGTGTCTTAACCCCTCGACCACAGCACCTGGATTGTGATAAGCAGCTCTTATCAGTGTAATATGAGGATTATATCTTCAAGTAATATTTTAGGTTTTTCCCTGTAAAGCTTTTTTCCAAAATTTTTTAAGTTAGTACGGAGTCTCAGCTACACGTAAATATTGTTGGCAAAAAACGAAATGGCGCTGCCCGGACTCGAACCGGGGCTACATCGGAACACTGAGGAAATCTCAAGATATAACCACAACGATGTGTCTTAACCCCTCGACCACAGCACCTGGGTTGTGATAAGCATTTGTTATCAGTGTAGCATGTTCTTGAAACCTGAAATAGTTTGAATGCGAGCTTCAAAAATGTCTCAGGGCCTGTAGATTTTAGGATCCATCCAGGCAAAGAAGTCAACCCCAAGGCGAGGCTTTCAGGATCTTCTATAGGGCAAGCAGTCGGATAGGCAGGGAAATGATCAGGGCCATAAAGGAAAAGGCTAAATTAAACCCACAAGAAGGGAACTAGTCTCGTGGTGCCGCGCCCTAATTAGAACGACACCGCTTAGGAGCACGATTAGAAGGTTGTTCCCAGTTATAGCTGTAGCATTGGAAAATTATTCAGCATATATCTACTCGCAGCGTTATTCGGTGGTGATTAAATAGACACCTAGCAATAGATGTTTTCTTATCGTCACTTACAACCACTCGTTCAAGGTTAAGAGAGTGATATATCGAAAGTAAAATGAAGGTGCCGTTCACTAGGCAAGAGCGGCCTTAGTGGGAGATGTACTCTCCCTAGGAATCGATGTGGTGAGAGGCTATAGGATGAACGAGCTTTTAGGAGTGGTCATACAAAGGCCTTACGTAGGTAGGCCACAAACAAGACTGGTGCAGATATGTTCTACCTAGACACAAAACATTCGAATTACGGAAATTTCGTGCACCCTACAGCTATCAAAGTCTCGCAAGATCTATCTAACAAAGACAAACAGAGGGAAGGCAAACGAAGCGGCATAGGGATGAGAAGGCAAACACGGTAATCATTTATGCAGCGGAAGTCACTTTTAGCACCGGTTAAAGTGCAGAGCAATCACTTCTTAGGTCTAACGGGTGACCTGATGCTAGGCCCAATCTATTTTTTCGGTTTAGGAACACGAAGGAATCGTCTATAGAATTCGTAAAGTAGACTATGTCTAAGTAAAGCGACGTAATCTACTCCGGGCAAGATGTATTCATGTCTTCTAGGGTTCGATTGCTTGTAGGGGTGAAAAGCTCTATGAATAAGAATACTAAACCTACCGATTTAAAGCCCACCAGGATTCTCCGCATAGGATGGTCGTATTTGGCAGATAGAGGGATTGTTCAGCGGAATTTAGTCAAAGACCACACGGAGTCGTCGCCGTTTCGTACGTTATTTAGCAATATACTTTGCACGCGCACTCTATGCTGACAATGCAGGATGATTCCAAATTTCACTATCTTAGGAAATAGTTTGTGCTGCCAATGGCTCTCTCTCCCCTTAGGTATATGTAGAGAGACAAATACGGTGTTATAGTAGAGATGTAGAGTTGTAATACCACATATAGACGCCTCTAATAAGGGCCTCCCTCGGTGGTGTATTGTTTCAACAGGTTTCTGCCATACGTACAGTCTCTCGTATTATTTTCCCTATACTATTTGTTACGACTCACTCAGTTGGTTCAATTGCTAGGGGTTTCACCAGGTGCTACTAATATTTATCTTGAAATAATAGTAAAAAGTTAGTTCTTAACCGTACGGGAAGGTAAAAACAAAAAAGAAGTGGCGCTGCCCGGACTCGAACCGGGGCTACATCGGAACTGCAGATATCCGAAGATATCTCCACAACGATGTGTCTTAACCCCTCGACCACAGCACCTTCTGGTTATGAAGAGTTCACCATTTTGACTATAAGAACCCAACCAATTTTGTGTGACCCGAGACGATCAACCGGCATCACGTGTTTTCGATAGTCGAAGTAAGATGAAAGGATAGGGCAATAATATAAGTAACCGGTGTTACTTACTTATTAAATGATGGTTTAGAATGCTTTCGCATTTATCTGAGACTTTGGGTAGGGTTGGAGGCTGCTTTGGGAAAGAAGTATATTAGGATCTTGATTATAACTGATATATATTAGACGCTGACATCTATTGATCAAGGTCTTTTATCTGCCTATCAGTCATAATTGAAATTCTTCAAAATACGATGGAACTTTTTGGCCAGTCCCCAGACCCTAAGCCTCTCCATGGCTCGGAGGGAAGTATCCTTGAGCGCATTGAAATTACGCGCAAGACAAATATCATCGACCGACTCCAACGAAGCCGGTCCACCCTGTTCTATCCATATTTTCAGACGACTAACCGATCCCGAGGGTTTTGAATTCTGCGTAGGAAGTTCGTCCAATCTAACCGATATAATCTCATCTCGGGGAGCTGATGGTACCTTGTCAAATGGAAAGAATCTTGCAAATGCAAGCAGGAATGCGAATGAAAAGAATACTCGCATGGTCTCGCACGGTGTGAAGCTGGTACATTCGCGGGAAATGCCAACAACCAACGCAGCATGGCGGACAGATCTCCGTGTAGCGACTGGATTGTGCTGGAACCGTTGGCGGAGATTTTCAAGAGCACGAGCGAGCTCCTTGTTTAACTGAGATGTGGAAGAGCCGTGGGTCCACGAGTGATTGTTTCGAAAGATGAAGGTGACAAGGTCCATTGTATCGTCCCCGCTGTTCAGGTAGGCAAAATGAGTTGCCAGACAAGCTACACTATTTAGATTGTTAGTTCCTGCTGAGGGGTTTGCTGTAGCTTGACTTACTTCATATTGATCACATCATAAGTGCAGGTTGGTCTGGATAAAGAATTGCTTAAAGCTGTGAGACTTGCCAACAAGTTTTCACGCGTTGCTTTGTGGCAATTTGCGAGAGAGGAAAGCCCCAAGACTTGAGTGGATGCGGCATCTTCCAACTCCCGCAAGTCCCATAGAAGCCGACTGACGACCAAAGCACAGATACGCTTGGCCCATGCAGGGACTGATTCTGACACAGCATTTCGAGCGATAATATTCCGGAGCAGAGGATAGAAAGGAATTCCATCTGGGGGGCTCGCCGAGAACGAGACTACGGAGGCCCAGGCATTTGCCGAAGGGGCATCCCACAGACTTTCAGAACATGGGAGCTTTGTAGGAAGCTCCGAGATGCTGAATGCCCCTCGTTTGCTAGTCAATATTGAAAGAGCACAGTCAAACTCGAATACCGACCACGCTACTCGTCTTTCAATCTCAATGTCTCGCCATCGATTCCATGATTGCTCCAGGATGGGGGCGTCCATTTTTTTTAAGCCCTGGAAATCAGTTTTACTAGCTTCACTTCGCTCTGCGTCAGAAGATAAAACCCCAGACTCTCTCAAACCTGTTACTAAGAGCCCTCTTGACGCATCAGCTAGCTCATAGAGTCGACGATTCCCAGAGCCCAGGGCATAGATCTGATGCAAGCAAGACGCGGCAATGTAGGCTGGGTTGCGGAATGATCTGCTATCCGCTTGACCCTAAAATAGGCGAGATTAGCCTGTATTAACCTGAGACAGTGAACCACCTACCATCCAAAAAAGAGTGCGCTGAGTGATCTCTGCCAGTAATGCGGCTATTTCTTGAGAGCCCTCAGCGGTGGAATAAGTTGCCCCTATACACGCCATTGCGGCCAGCAGTGCGCTAGGACATCTCTCGATTCGCCAGGTTGGTACATGCACGATGGGCAGAGCTGGGTGAAATTCAGCAAAATAGGTCGTGACCAATTGGCCTAGAAAAGCAACCGCGGGTAAAGCCTCCAGGGCAGGGCTGTCATTCAGTGATGGAATTAGAGGCGCGGATAGTACCCTGATAAGGTCCTTAACTGTGCTAGTTTGAACATCTGGCAGACCTAGGCCCACAGTCTGTTCCATTATTTCTCTGAGAGGAGGTAATTTGATTTTGCGGAAGCCCTTGTTTGAGGCGTAGTCAAAGGGCCACATTTCATTGCCGCCGTGATCTAACACTCCAGGCCAGGTAGTTTTATCATCTTTTTCTGGAAATGAAGGGGCTGGATGTTGTTCAATGTCCATTGGTACTGGTTGCGGCTGTCTGGTAGACATTGTACGAGTCATAAGATCTTCTCTGCACGGCGAGACTTCGGGATATACATGCGCATTTTCGGATAGCGGCGGCACTGTATGCTGATCGGAGAAATCCGTCTCACAGCCGAGCCAATCCATTCGCGATGCCCTGAACATACTGTTGTCAAATGCCTCCAAATCCAGAGATATACCATCTATCCATTGACTGGTGGCTCCGTCGATTGGTGGACACCCGGAATCCTGACCAAGAAGGGTCGTTGGGTCTTGGAATTCCCAGCCAGAAGACAGAGCCCCATGGTAAGCTTCGGAACTAATATCAATACCGTGCTTCTGAACAGACTCATAGGACGGAGGCTGGATATGGGGCGTAGCGCCATTCATAGGGCCGTTTGTCGTTTGTCGTGATGGGAAATCTGTGGCTTGTTCCACAAGATGTCGTGAGGATCCGACACAATCCTGACTCGGATTGTGCCCTGGACCTCCAAAGTTAGAAGATGTTGATGCATGGCCATCTGCACCCCCGTGAAGAAGTGGGTCTCTTGGACTCATAGCTTGCCATGGCTGATTGATCTGATTTGGGGACTGTGATTGTTCCGATCTCTGAGACGCCGACCTGCTCACTGAAACATCATAATTACAAGGGACTTGTTTGCGAGAACAAGCAGAGCATGGAAGCTCACGGCTACACTTTAGTTTGTAGCGAATGCATCGTTGGCAGGACTTCTTCCATCCTTTTCGTTGGGATGCTTGCTTGGGGTCATGAACGGCTCGAAGATGGCGTTGATACACATCCTTTCGATTAAACTCTTTGTTACATAAATGACATTGGAACGTCTCTTTGGGGCTGATTGATATATTGTTAGTACAGCAGATTAAAAGAGTGGGAGCTTCCCGAGTTCGCCTGCCTGGAATGCTGCAGCTGGTGTCGATGCAGATGCGAAATACGTGAGAGTTTAGCACCACAAGCGCGACATGTGTAGCGTTGCTTATTCTGATTGCGATCCACCTGTGCATTCCGTTAGACCTCGACGTAAGATGCTTCAATAGGTCGGGTGTGTACCGATGCCGCGCCCTCGTCGCCGCTGGGACTGCATGGATCGGACATTGTCGACTCCATTATTCTAGTGACGTGCTACTTCCCGGTGCTGCATTAGAGATGTTTAGCTGACAGTTCTTATCAAGCAAAAGGGGGTTAACAACGCATGATGCGGAGGGAAGAAATGCTTTCCCCCGCATCGGAGTTCAAGGTGGGGTTAGGGTTTCAACCTCGTTCGGTCTAGAAAGCGTACTTGGATGTGTTGCTATTTGGCTAGCTATTCAGTAATGATCTTCCACGGTCAATGTGCCAGTCTTCGTGATGAGATACTCTTGTACTGCTACATCTTTTCCGGATTCTTTGCCGTATCCCGAATCTTTGATTCCACCAAAAGGCGCTTCCGTTGCTGAGGCATTACCGGTGTTCATGCCAATCATTCCAGCTTCTAAGTTCTCAAGAAGACGCCATGTGCGGTCGACATTTTTGGTAAAGAAATAGGAAGAAAGACCCATCTGCGGTTCTGGGGTTAGCGGTTCGATCATAGTAGAAAGCGGAGAGAAACAACATACACTGGTATTATTAGCTTCTTGAACAGCTTCGTCTTCGGTATCAAATGGATACAATGCCAAGAGCGGTGCAAAGCTCTCCTCAGAAGTGATGAGCATACAGGATCGAGCATTTTTGATGATGGTCGGCTCGAAATAGTAACCGCCCAGCTTGTCCACTTTCGAGCCACCAGTTAGCACTGCAGCGCCGTGTTTCTTAGCGTCTTCGACCTGACGAGTAGCTTTTTCGACGCCAGCGGGAACAGTAAGAGGGCCCATTGTAGTCTTGTCATCCATTCCATGGCCAACACGGAGCTTCTTGACCCGAGAGACTAGAATATCAGCAAACTGATCGTACACGCCCCGTTGGACGTAAACTCGATTTGCGGTTATACACGCCTGACCGGCATGACGGAATTTCAAACTCATAAGTGCTACAATGGGTAAGACTCGAGTTTTAGTTCTAATCGAAGATGAAGCGTACCTTCGCAAGCTTGATCAAGATTTGCATCGTCAAAGACAAGGAATGGACAATTTCCACCCAGTTCAAGGGTGAGCTTTTTGAGTCCTCCAGCACAGTGTTGCGAAATGAGCTTCCCGACTCTGGTCTATAGAGCTTCAGCTTCAATAGTCCATCATGAATTCAAGAAGTGACTTACCGAGCCCGTGAAACTAATTTTCTTCACAAGCTCATGCTTGCACAAGGCTTCACTGAGAGCCGGAGTATTGGCCAATGTCGTTGGAAGAACACTAAAAACTCCATTTTCAAAGCCTGCCTTCTGAGCCAGATAGGCCAGTGTTAGGGCTGTTAGAGGCGTCTCAGGTGACGGCTTGGCGACCATTGTGCATCCAGCAGCGAGCGCGGCACTCGCTTTTCGAAGAATCATCCTGTAGCAGGTATTAATATTCAACATTCCCCCTTTATTTCCTTTTCTGAACCGGATTGAGCTTAACTCACGCAATTGGGAAATTCCATGGAACAAGCGCAGCAGCAACTCCAATAGGTTGTTTGAATGTGAAAATGCGTCGTCCTGCGACGGCAGGTTGAAACACGGTTCCTTGAATACGCTCTGCTTCGGCAGCAAACCACCTCGTGAAGCTGGTAGCATACTGGATTTCTCCGTACGCTTCAGCAAGAGGCTTTCCAGTCTCATAAACCAAAATCTTGGCAATGTCGTCTTCGTTTTCACGAATAAGACTGTCCCATTTGAAAAGAAGATCTCCACGTTGTCGTGGGGTTAGAGTGCGATAGTTCTTAAAAGCCTGGTGCGCAGCTTGCACTGCATCATCCACGTCCTCAGCTGCCATATCACTGCATGTTGCCCAATTTTCTCCTGTTCCAGGATCTATTTATCACCTGTTAATGCAGGATTTGATGATGCTTTGGAAGGGGTATATTGACCTATGATTTCAAATCTCTTCTTAGATATCGCCTCAATCCACTGCCCGTTGACATGGGCTTGATCTCTATAGAGATCGGGATTCTTGAGCTCAAGTTGAACCTTGAAAAGGTGAAACCATCAACAAATGCCTTGTTTTGAGGACGTTCATTGACATACGCTTTTTGTAGTTGAGCCCATGTCTAAAAGTGCTGGTCTAGGACTGTGTCACGAGATAAAGTCTTGAAATGGTCCTGTTTACTGAGGCGGCTTTCAGTCGCAATTGATATTGCTTCGGGGTTAGAATATTTGGGGAAAACAATCATAGATAGCTAGATAGAAGACTTAAGTATCCATTTGGAGTCAATCACATTTCCGATGTCATAAATCCCCCACAATGTTCTCCGATGTTGCTTCTCCCTGTTCAGTCTATACCCTATACCCCACCCTACGTTCCGAAGTGATTACATCGCACTCTACATCCTAGAGATGTGATTGTCTCCCACCCTACATCTTAAACAAGTGATTGCCTCATATCCCGAGTGGCACGCCTTGCAGGGATTAGTGAGCCACCTGGTGTTAATTGAATACACATGCTGACCATAGCGCGTTGAAGGCCAATTACACATCGAGCGCTCAAGAACTCCCGAACAGTGACCTCCTAGACATTTGGAGGGCAGGAACATGTAGGTGCCTGGTAATAACCGTGGTCATCTTTGTATGATGTCTAATCAGTGGGCCCCTTCCTACAATTGCTGATTAGGTCTAATGAGAAAAAAAACATTCGACTGTTATTCGGACGCCACGGTATAGGTTTCACTCTGTCAATACATTGAAAAAACACGGAATAGAAAGAATAGAGACCATTTAGAGGGCTTGCTCATCTAGTAGTTCCAATAGCGTTTTCCTGATCGCACTTCCAATCTCTGTTGTGGAAGCTGTACCCTTCATATCCCTTGTTCGAAGCCCCTCATCCAAAGTCAGGGTGACAGATTTCTCAATTGCAGTAGCTTCCTCTTCCATTCCGAAGCTATACCTGAGCATGAGAGCTGCACTGAGAATGGCTCCGATTGGATTCGCAATTCCCTGGCCTGCAATATCTGGCGCCGATCCATGCACCGGCTCGTAGAAACCCTTGATTGGTTTATCACCCCATTTTTGAACAGGAATGTCTGCAAGGCAGGCCGACGGCAAGACACCAAGTGTCCCTGGGATGACACCAGCAAGATCAGACAGCAAGTCACCAAATGTGTTGTCGGCAAGAACCACTCCATTGAAAAGCGTGGGACGCATCATCATGAGTGTGGTTGCACTATCGGCAAGTTGATGCACGATCTCAACTTCTGGGAATTCTCTCTCCATAGTTTCCTGGACGACTTTTCGCCATAGTCGCGAGCTGGCCAAAACATTGGCTTTATCACAGCTAATGACGGTCTTTTTGGGGCTCGCTTTGGAGATGGCCAAATGTGCCGCCATGCGAGTGACACGCTCAATTTCAGAGCGTTTGTAAGACCACAAGTCTGAAGCATAATCGGAAGTTTCTTCCTTAGGCCCATAGAAAGCTCCACCGCAATTCTCGCGAAGAACTATGAACTTTGTTCCACGAACAAGTTCCTCTCTGAGGGGACTGTTTCCTGCTGCAAAATATTCACAAGGCCGCAGATTCGCGTATACCTGTGTCACTTCACGCAGGCGTAGAGTGGCACCTTCGGGGCCTTCAAACCCATGCCTCATTCCATCCCATTTGGGACCTCCAACGGCGCCCATGAGAATGGCGTCGGCTCTGCGGCCCGTTTCAAGAACTTCTTCTGTGACGGATACTCCATGTTTGTCAATAGAGCAGCCACCAAAGAGCCGAGGGAGAAGCTTGAAAGTTGCACGGCCCTTGGGATGCGCCGAGAGTAAATCGAGAATTGCGGTGGCCTCTGCGGTGACTTCAGGGCCAATTCCATCTCCACCGATGACGAGGATGGAAAACTCCGGCTTGGATTTGGTCATGATGGCTTCGTTCGTATTGTTCTGAAAGATTACAACGTTTGAGTTGTTATGAATGAGCTTGAATCACAGGGAAACAGTTAACTATTTGTGTCTGTTTTCTATCTGAATTGATTGCTTCACACCTACGGAGACTCTGGTGGGGATGTGTGCCAGATGCTAGTTTGCGCCCCACGACAAGATCCGATGCACTAGTCTGCGTTCTGAATAGCACAGGTTTCAAAACGACTCCTGCCGAAATAGCAGGGTAATTATTGATGAAAGCGAAGAAGAGATGGCAAAGGGTTGAACGCGTGCAGCTCAAACAATCAACAACTTGGAACTCTGTCGGAATCACAAGATAATGGCTTAAGGTACAATAATCAACTGCTCAGATCCTGAAAGATAAATCAGTTCATTCATTCATCTAGAACTATTTTATGTACGCATTGAAAATATCCTAAATGGTTCTGCCCCCATCTACATCCAGATTCACTCCGGTGAGGAACTTGCCCTCCTCGCTCGACAAGAAAAGCACTGAATTAGCCACATCTTCAACCTCAGTTAGGCGACCCAGTGGTACATTTCCGAGGAACTTCTCACGGTTCTTGGGTGTGTCAGGGACGCCAGCGAAGGACTCGAACCTGAAAGTTCGCGATTAGCACTGATGAAATACCACTTCCATAGGTATGAAGCTTACAGTCCTGTCCCACACAATAAAGGGCAGACCGAGTTCACCCGGATTTGGTGAGGGCCAAACTCTAGTGCCAGCCCTTTCGTAGCCTTTGAATAAATTAGATACACAAGTGAAGAAAAGAACTGCCAAATAGAGCTTACATTAGACACAGCCCCTTTGCTGGCATTATACCACACCAGACCCTGGCGAGGTCTACTAGCGCCACAGCTAGAAATGTTGACGCAGATTCCTGCCTTCTGTTTCACGAAGATAGGAAACACAGATGAGACAGAGTGGAAGATTCCCAAACAGTTGACATCAAAACAACGAGCGTACTCCGCCTCAGTGACGTCTAATGTCGGCTTATTCTTATAGCTTGTTCCGGCATTGTTGATCAAAATATCAAGCTGGCCAAACTCTTTCAAGATCCGCTCGATAGCAGCATCCCAGTCGGCACGCTGAGTGACATTCAGCTCCTGAGAGATGACAGAGCCAGCAGGGCTTGCAGAAATGACTGCATCAGCACCGGCAATGTTGATGTCTCCAATGAGGACTTTGGCCCCTTCCTTTGCGAAGAGCTTTGCTATCGCAGCACCAAATCCTGAACACCCTCCTAGAAATATTATCAGTACTGTTTGCTTCGAAGTCCTCAAAGGCATGCTAAATATCACCTACCAGTTACGAGAGCAACTTTTCCATAAAGGCGCCCGTTCTTAATAGTCATTGTGAAGATTAGTAAAGAGGTCAAAGTTGAAACAAAATAGAATATTGGGATAGCAGTTGCTTAGCACTTCGACTTGTGAAATCGAATACGGATGAGTAGACGCGGATATCTTTATACTATTGAATATTCAAGCAAGCTATGCAAACTTGATCAAGGCAAACAGACTATGTGAGGGGTTGGAATATGCTAATCGGAGGGAACGTGGGGATCAATACTTTCGAGGTGTAAATCATGCTCCCCACCCAAACACCCGATATGATGGATGCGAATAATTCAGTCTGGAAACATACATTGAAGCTATTCAAACCGTGGTGAATACGCCGCACGAATGTCCGAGAAACACGGAGTTTTGTGCGGGGACTTGTGGAGAACGAGGAAGGGTCGCTAGGGGCTCCCACATGAATTGTCGCAGAAATGACATCGCAATTATTACTTGGTGTGATATTCAGAGTTTGATGAGCGACGAGTTACTATGAATCTTAGCATGTCTTTGCTGTCAGTGCTCTGGGGAGACTCTGCATTCTCTCCTCTCAGCTTTCTGGGGTCGAATCATCAGGATGTCCTTCCAGTGCACCATAATGCAACCTCGCTAGCTAGCGAGGATGACTTTCTGAGTGCCTTGCCTGTTGGATTCGAGAAGGTCTCACTTTCTTATGTGAAGGATAATCTTGCAGTCATCCCCGGAGAATGGGAAGCCGGTGACATTAGTCAGTTTACACTTGAAGACCTTCAGTTTGGAACTTGAATTAATGTATATAATAGTGACACCATTTTATGATATCCAGTCTGATCAGTCCCATGTTTAAGATGCCCTTAAAAAGATAAGATTTACGGACTTTATCGCATGGGATGCTTCATTTTTCAGCATTATCGGATCGGATGCAAAGCTTGAAAAGATTCAGTCCTTCGAGGGGCAGCCCCCTCGAGTACATGAAGCGCCTGCATTTGTCCCGGAGACCAATGAACTTTTTTTTGCTGATACAAGCGAGACAGGCTGGCTGTGGGCGATCAACGTGGACACTCATAAGGTACAGTAGCTGAATCACTGGAAAGACTAAGATGTTTTAAGCTAATCGCGACATGGAAAAAGGCGCGCAAGGTCGAGACATCTCCACCTCTTCCCAATGTGAATGGAGGAAGGTACCACCAAGGACGAGTGTACCTGACCACAAACGGTGGTCCAGCCCGAGGTATCTATTCTGTTGACCCTCGCGACGGCACCGCCATTCCGATTGTGAACAACTTCCGCGGACGTCATCTTAATAGTCCCAATGATCTGGTCTTTGACTCAAACTCGAACATCTGGTTCACTGACCCTCCTTATGGCTGGTGCCAGGGATTCCCGGGCGTGAAGTCCCCCGAGCTCCCCAATGGCATCTATTTCTTCAACACAAAAACGAAAGCCCTTATTTCTGTCTCAAACCCAGTCGTCACCACCCCAAATGGCCTCGCATTCTCTCCTGATGGATCGACTTTCTATGTTGCCGACTCTAACTCAACCTCGGGCAAGCCCATGAGCCATTCTCCCTTCAGTTTGCGTAATGTGTGGGCCTTTGATGTCAAAGGCTCGATTTTGAGCAACCCACGGCTGATTTATTCGAATGAGGCTGGCTGGCCTGATGGACTTCAAGTGACGCGCAAGGGATACCTGATGGTGGCAGCTTTGGGCGGGGTTGATGTCGTTGATCCTACATCTGGGGCTCTTCTGGGCAAAATCAACACCCCTAATGATATCATCTTCAATTTGGAGAGAGGACCTCGTCAACGAGATTATGGAATGTGGCTATTAACGGGGCGGGACTTCATTTACAAGGTCTTAATCAAGGAGCAATAGTCCATGGTGTTAGTATGACATCGCAGTTTTAGACTACGCCTTCAATACACAACGGCAAATGAGAATTTCTTACTCTGGTCATTTGATATGCTCGTCATTTCGGAGAAATGGAAACGCTGGAAAGATAAGATGACGTGGCGTGGCTATTGGCTGAATGGGATGACCAGGAAGTCGGAGATGGTCGTGGGGAGGAAAAGCTTCCACAGGATGAGGTGCTCTGGGGAATTGTGGGGTTGAAGCTTATTTCCTGGTCTGAAATATATGGCATTATTACCGTTAAATTGTCTGGAAGGCTTCTTCTGAGGCTATATATGATAGCTAAGCGCACCTGTCAGCACGAGAGAGTAACTCGTCAGGGCAGCTTGTTCTCACCACGCTATTTTAAGCTCGATCCCAGATACTTCCTTCATCTGTGTGGCGCAGAGACCAATCCTTGAATGAAATTAACAGTTTTGGGGAGCCTAGCTGTGCTGGGCCTCTATATTGGGGATTATTCAAGGTACTAATCGATCATTTTGACTGCCATTGCTCTTCTCAACCGTGAGTGTTTGATGCTGGACACATTATTGGAGAAGTAAAGGTGCAAGGGTTTCGACTTCATCTCCGAGTAATTTAACATCCTCCTGAAAATAGGAGAGCTAAGGAGGAATTTTGATATTCCCTGTACTCGCGTCTAGCTGTCGAAGTTATCTCCAGGACTGGGGCGACGAGCTTAGCTAAGCATGTAAACGGCCGAGTAAGTCATTTTCATAGGTCTTCACATTCCATTTGAACACCTCCAGCGTTCCTTTCGCAATATTCCCCACATATATTGCAGAATATCATGCATTTGATCAAACATGGATTCACCAACTCCTGAAACGCCAGACTCAACGGGCAAAAGAAAACCCCGAACATGTCCTCACTGTAAGCGTCATTTTCGCCGCCACGAACACCTCCAACGGCACATTCGGATTCGTATGTCCACCCCCAATCATTTCAATGGAAGAAGCTAATTATTCTTAGATACAAATGAAAAGCCATACAAATGTACCTGTGGCGCTTCCTTCGGCCGGCGTGATCTGTTGAAACGCCATGAGGACATTGGCCATTCTCCAACTCCTCCAACTCAGCAACCATCGCCTGTGACTGGTCATAGTAACCAGAGTATCCCATCATCAGTGAATGATGCCTCCACCGGTAATTCAAACACATCGTTTTGGGGACTTCCTGACCTCCAAGGGGCTGGTGTGTCCGCCGCAATTGATTCGCAGGGACAATTTTCAGGCTATCCATTTGAAGGTACATTTCCCCTTTCATTTCATGTGGAGCCTGAAACAAAATGCTTACTTGGGTAGGGGATTCATTGTTCAATGCCCAAGATCTTTTGGTTTTACAAGACTTGGAGTCCTTCAGTCATAATACAGGCCTCAACAATGAGTGGACTCTCCCCTCTGAGCCCAGCATTGTACAAATTCTTGCTGGGGAATCCAATATGCACCCTACTTATGTCGGAAGCGCCGGATATACGTTACAAGAACAACCTTCTTCGCAACCAGATCAGTCTCTTAGCCAGCTTCCCATTGAAAGAGAGTCAGTCGGTGGGTATCTCATCCCTATACCCAGAGATAAACTGACCATGTGATATTAGCCGAGTTTGGAGTCTTAACGTTACCTATTCTGAGAATCACTGATGAATATCGGAATCGTCTTCTACGGGCTGTAAGTCAATCTGGTACGGCAATGGCTGACGCTCTATTCCCATCATGTCATTCACTCACTCGATTTGTGAATGGATTCTTCGATGGTTTCTATCCTCATATGCCAGTCGTCCACATTCCGACATTTAGAGTGGATAACTGTGAGCCGGAGATTATCTTAGCCATGGCTGCACTTGGTGCCCAGTATCGGCATGAACATCGAAAAGCAGTCCTGCTATTTTATGCCGCAAAATCAACCTTAAAACATCGTGAAACGCAAAATGGCTGTGAAGGTTTGTCCGAGAGAGAATTGATGCTTCAGATACGGTGCGCTTTTTACCTGATTGCTTTTGCAACTTGGCAGCGTGAGCCCGACATTGTACGGGAGGCTTTCAACCTTCAGAGCTTTGTCGCAAGGTGTGTCAGAGAGGGCCAACTAGATGAGAGTACCCAAAATCTACAAGAAGATACAAATTGGCACTCATGGGTACAAGAAGAATCCGACAGGAGAGTCAAGCTATTCTCTTTCGCCCTCCTCAATCTACATGGCATAGCATTCAGTACTCCGCCAGTCATATTGGCCGACGAAATCAATCTCCGCCTTCCGTGCAGCTGCTTCGAATGGATTGCCCCGAATCAGCATAAATGGTCAATGGTGCACAAGCTAGACAATGCACAACAAATGCCTTTCCAAGAGGCCCTTTCGCAACTAATGAAATCTCCCAGCGACACCCAGGCATTAAACTCCCAACCTGTACCATCGCCTTTGGCAAACTACATTCTTCTACATGCCTTAATACAGAGAATTACACTTGTACAGCAAGCATTTGGCTCATACAATGATGTGAATGACACCTTACTCAATGGCCAGAAAGAGGTCATCCGGTAAGATAATCAAAGTGACACGCCAATGTAATACGCTAATACCTTCCACAGAAATGCCCTCCACGCATGGACATCCCAATGGCAACGAGCTCCCGAATCAAGCCTCGACCCTCGCAATCCCAACGGCCCAGTCACATTCACCTCAACAGCATTACTGGGACTAGCGTACGTCCGACTCGCTCTAAACATAGGCCCATACAAAATCCTCGGGTCTCGGGATCCACAACAAATCGCAAACAGACTCCTACAGATGCCAAAACTACCCGCTGGTCCCCATTTACTGCCTGCAATCTTGCATGCGACTCATGCGTTGAGTATACCAGTTAAGCTGGGCGTCAATTTCGTTGCGAGGAGCCACGCATTCGTGTGGAGTATTCAGCATTCACTTTGTGGATTGGAATTTGCGATTTTCCTCAGTAAATGGCTGTTTTGTATTTCTGATTGTCAGACAAGGAGGCCGCTCGATGGTATGTGCTTTCTCCCAATAAGTCAGGCTGAAATATGCTAACGTTTTGTTATAGAGCATGAGAGTCGCTTGATTAGCTGGATCGGGGATATTGTTGAAGAGGGGAGAACGTCGGGAGATGAAGATTTGTGGTCTAGGCCTACGTTGTCATCGAATTGTGTTTATCTGGGCTTCGCTGTGGTGAAGCTTTGGGCGCGATTGATCCGAGGAAATGAACAATGGGCGATATTGAAGGTTATTGGGGAGGGACTTGATATATATGCTGATACATGCGAGCAAAGATTTGCTAGTTCTCTGAAAGATCAATGAATATATTGCTGGTATTGGTATCAGCCCTGCCCCTTTTGACAGGAATATACACAACGGGTAAAATGGCTATAGAAACGTCTATGGATAGCAATCAATGCATAAAGAAACATCTATAGGGTCTAGCTAAAAGAACACTGCAAAATCACCACTTAGATACAAACTTCGATCTGAGCCTCAGCGTCTCCCCGTAGTTATAAAGCACATAGATCCCAACCACACACCCAATAGTCAAACCGGCCAACAAGCTGCAACCAGGCCCAATACCCAAATTCTCATAGAGAGGCTTGGAGAAGATAACAGCCCCACAAGCAAAAGCACTCCGCGTAAAATCAGTCGCCGCAAACACACTAGCAGCATACTGAGGATAACATGCGGGAATATACAGAAAAACACACTGCATCAAGATAAACACACAAGCCGGATAAATGACAATACCAATAGTCGGAACGATCCAATGAACATTCGGATTGGCAGCCCAACCGAAAAGAAACAGACCAATAGCCGGTCCAAAGCACGCAAACAGAGCTGGAACCAAGACGTCTTCTGGTTTCCGGACACCCCCTTCTTTGGCCTTGGGGACGAAGATCTTGCGGATGTAAAAATTGTAGATCACGAACGAAATCACTGTCCCGACGACAATGGCTAGGAAGGCAAGTCCCATTTCGCCGAGGTTGAATCCGTATATGCCTTGGTAGACAATTGGGAATGCCTCGAAAAAGGAGTAATAGATACCATAAGTCAAAGATGTATAGCAATTCAAGAACAGAATTGCTGGATCAAGGAAAGTGATCTTCGCAGGGATCAGCAAGGACTCCTGTACAATCTCGTAAAAAGAAACGCCCGCCTGGGCAATATCAGCAGCAGTCCTATACTCATGGGTATGATCTGTATCCATTCTCTCCAAATGTTGTGCGCGTCGATGCAGAATAGTAGCAGAACTAGTCTCAGGCAGTAGCAAAAGAAGAACGAGGATCGGACCAGCAGCAATCAAAATTTCCCACATTGAGAATCGCCAACCAAGGACTGGGACTGCGAAGCCCGAGATTAAAACACCAATAGCAGGAGCGCAGAAAATGCAGAAAACCCACGTTGTCATTGCGTGGGGGAGCACGTCTGATGAGTAGATATCCGCAATTGAGGCGCCTCCAGTAGCTAGGCATGGACTCCCGAAGAATCCTTGAAGGAAGCGTAGGAAGTAGAAACCGATTGCGTTTGGTGCTATTGCTGTTGGGATACTGATTATGCAGAAGAGGACGAAGGAGACAACGTAGGGAAGGTTTCGACCTATGCGAGGGATCTCGCTTAGAGGGCTGAAGAATAAAGGGCCGGCTCCGTATCCTAAGCTGTGCTTGAAGTTAGCAAAAATGGTATCTGGTGGTTTCAAAACCTTGACATACACGTATAGAGCAAGTCCAAGGGCGGCTTCTGCATTGTTCACGCCGAATTCTTCAATAAAAGCGTTTTCACTTGGGGTGTAGATTGGTGCTGCCATGTAAACCACGAAGCTATATGCACCAATAACGAAGAGAACAAAGGTCTTTTTAATTGATGACCAGTCATGAGGATTTTCCTCGTCGTCGGGAGACCATTCGACTCGAATGATCTTTTCATCCTGAAGGACTTTGTTGTCGAAGCAATGCCAGTGGGGATGCTCTTCGTTGTATTTCAAGCTGGAGATTTTGCAGAATTGGCGTAAAGTTTGTCCCACAAAGCTGTCACGCAGCCATTGAAGAGGCATCTTGGGCAAGTTAGGGTTACAATTGATTCGCCAACAAACTCTCAAATTTAACTTGTAATACACTAACTCTAATCAACCCGTCGAATTGATTTTATACAAGAGTTTACAGATTATTAATTCTAAAGCAGATTTGTCACTCAGCTCCTGCAGTTTCTGCATTGAAAGGTCCCCGATTACGTGTGGGGGTGGTCGTTGGAGGTGGTTGAATCACTTAGACGGTCGATCTTGGAACACCTCCACAACTCACCTCCAACGCACCTCCAACACACCTCCAACACATCTCCACGCGCCACTGTGAAGTATACAAGCACCAAATTTTCATTATTTATCATCAATCCACTTTACTATATACATAGCATCCCGGACGGTATATAACATCTAAACTTCATATATTCTCAGACCCTACCTACCTACCATCCATCCAGTTCAACCAACCCCAAACAAACATGTCTTCCAAACTATTCGAACCTCTCCAAATCGGCCACGCAGCCTTAAACCACCGAGTAATAATGGCGCCCCTGACTCGCCTACGTGCCGATGAGAATCATACCCCGCTCCCGTTCTCAAAGACATACTACGAGCAACGCGCCTCAGTACCAGGAACAATGCTCATAGCCGAAGCAACCCTAATCTCCCCGTCCAGCGGCGGAATCCCCAACGGGCCAGGAATCTACACGGAATCCCACATCCAAGCCTGGAAAGAGATTACAGATGCTGTGCACGCCAGAGGCAGTTATATCTTCTGCCAATTGATTGCGCTTGGCCGGGCCGCGGATCCAACTACATTGCACAAGGAGGGCGGGTATGAGGTGCTCGCTCCGAGCCCTATCGCCATGGAAGCCGGAATGTCTGTGCCGAACGAGTTGAGCGAGGAGCAAATCCGGGGTATTATTGGGGATTTCGGTGTCGCCGCGAAGAATGCCATTCGGGCTGGGTTTGATGGGGTTGAGGTTCATGGTGCTAATGGGTATCTTGTTGATCAGTTCTTGCAAGATGTGTCAAACCAACGGACGGATGGATGGGGTGGGAATGTTCCGAATCGCGCGAGATTCGGATTGGAGGTTGCTAAGGAGTTGGTTGAAGCTGTTGGGGCTGACCGTGTTGGGTTCCGTCTTAGTCCGTGGAATACATGGCAGGGGATGAAGATGGTTGATCCTGTTGCTCAGTTTGGATATCTTGTTGAGCGGTTGAAGGAGCTTAAGCTCGCGTATCTTCATCTGATTGAGTCTCGCGTGATCAACAATGTGGACTGTGAGAAGACCGAGGGGATTGATTTCCTTTTGGATATTTGGGGGAAGGCATCTCCTGTTCTTGTTGCCGGTGGGTATAAGCCGGAGAATGTCGATGCTGCTTTTGATGAGTACAAGGGCAATGATATTGCTGTTGTGTTTGGCCGGCATTTCCTTGCGAACCCTGATTTACCCTTCCGTCTGAAACATCAACTTCCACTCAATCGGTATGACCGGGATAGTTTCTATGCGGCTATGCAAGAAGCCGGGTATGCGGATTATCCATTCAGTGCGGAGTTTTTGGAGAGCGGTCTTTGAATGTATGCTGAGTTTCTGCGTTTTGTATAGGCTTAGGCAAATATATAGCCAAGAATGCGATGGCATGGGTAGCTATCCCAATTGACCACAAAAGATAAAAAGGAAAGAGCGTATTAATTGAAATTCTTAGAGAATACTCCTATGGACTGCTGTATAGCATAACGTGGCCGAAACGTGGACGCACAGGCCAGAAGTACTCGGCCAAAACACCAAACAGGGGGCCAAAAATAGCGACGGGAGGCCAGCGGTAAACATGACCTCAAATAAAGTCCCTGATGAATATCAAATAGATGATATTGTTGCCCAACAGTCCAATGTCGACCTGGCAGATTGTGGATATTCAAGAGCCACCGAGCCAAACACATAACTTACATAGACAAAGCCCCTCACTCTACCCGGGGGATCCGTCCTAGCGCCGACTGTGCCTCGTTGCCAAGGCAAGGGAAAAATGCACCAGCAGTGCGGACGAGGCAACTATTCGAGACTGTCAGCGCCAATCTTGGGTAGAGTCGACGATCTCTACGTCATGGAGACCATCAATAGTGCGACTCTGCAAGAGAGCGAGTTAGGCCAGCCGTCAGCAATGTCAGCGTGGGTGGCAATGTGTACTCTATGTTATGCCTTACTCGGGTATCTCAGAGAGAATAATAAACATCGTATTATACTTTACACCTTGACAGGATATTCAATGATGACCAAGTCCCTTGAGTCTAGAACCCCTAGAATCCCTATGTGGATTCCAGCTAAACAACCCTGTGCAGGATGTGTACGTACCCGGCCAAATTCCAGAACATGCGACCATGTCAGGGCTAGGGTTAAGAGACTGCGAACTTTCAGGCCTTTTTAGGTCCGGCTGTGTCGGCTCCTTTGACTGGGGCTGGAAGGCCCAGCGCTAGGGCTAATAAATCATCCCACACGTGAGAATTTGCCATTCAATAAATAGTAAACATAGGTAGTAGTCGAGGGTAGCATTTGAACGTCATACATGTACTTACAGCACACAGTGCATATACTCTGTACAGTACACTAACGTACGGAGAGTGGGAAGATCAGAAGATCTCCAGGGCTGGTTTGTTACTAAATATGGGACTATTATGGGCCCGGAAGCGAGGGGTCACCCTCAGAGTTTTCTATACAAGGTATAGTGATTCTATGTTTTTCTCATGATTGTTCATATCTATGTTATGCAATTCCCATAATTCGCCTCTGTAATTTCCTAAATCCCTCAATCCTCACTCCCGAGGGAAAGGAGCAAATTGAGCAGGCGACAACGGCGCGTGTCTATTGAAAGCCCCAGCCAATCAGAACTGCAGATCTCTCGGCGCTTGTGCTAGTCTGAGACTAGTTTAACCCAATCTGGCCTAGTGTGATTGATGTGTTTCCAAAGGTTCGCTTGGACTCCTTTTTCATTCCTGCTTATTCTTTGACATTTCGACTTTCGACTCACATCTTGACTTTGGTCATATTCCCTCGTTTTGTTCATCATGCGTCTCTCCAGCCTCTCGTTCATCGTCCACGCTCTGCTGTTGACTGCTGTCGCAGCCCAGAGTGGTGGTGTCTCTGATATCCTAAATCTCACCAGTGAGACCTCTTCGTCCAGCTCTGCTGAACCTACATCGACGTCTTCATCATCGACCTCGACTTCCTCCACTTCCACTGAGCCCACTACTACCAGCGAGCCCACTACTTCTTCGACTTCCTCCACTTCCACCACCCCGTCAGCGGAACCTACCACTGCCGCTGACCCGACCACATCGTCTTCTTCCTCTTCCTCTACTTCTTCAACCTCGTCCAACAATGAAGCTGCCACTACCAGTGCTGGCAGCAGCACCACCGAGCCTCCCTCCACCACCCAGACTCCTGTCGTGAAGACCATCACCTCGTACGAGACACGAAGCGGATCCACCGTGGCCAACGTGATGACCACCACTTCCACTCCCGTTTCCGATGCCACCTCGCCTTCTCTCAACGGCGACAAGAGCTCCGGCTCTAGCGGTGTCTCTTCCTCCGACAAGAAGATCATCATCGGTGTTGTGGTCGGTGTCGGTGGTGCCATCCTGATCGGTGCCCTCGGTCTCGTCTTCTGGAGAATCCACAAGAAGCGCAACGAGCAGTTTGGCGACGAGGATGATCTGATGGGCGGTACCGCCGTTGGCTCCGGACCTCGCGAGAAGGCTCCCAGCCCTGCCGGTAACACCCCCTTCAAGAACACACTGGACCAGTACCACAACCCTGGCCCTGTCAACGCGGCATCCAACTTCTAAGCCGCGGAATTGACACTTTCAGTGTAAAACTTGTACGATCATCATGCAATTTACAGGCGCTATGGATAGGCGAGGGCACGGTTGCTTCTTTCTTTCGGTTGCGGACTTATTTTTATCATTTTTAGGCGTCTTTCGCCTGGTCTCTCTTTCATAGATTGGACATTTGCACATTCATTGAGCGTTCCAGCAACTATCACATTCCTTTCGATCGCAACTCTCGATCCTCGCGCGACTGACAAAATCCGGCACTACCTTACGGGTTCTGCCCGTCTCTTTTGATTCCCCGTGTCGAAGCGCTTGGTTTATCTGTGATTAAGTTCATTCTGTCTCGACAATCTTTTCTTTCTGGAGCATTGGACGCTGTATAGTGTATCTAGACGCCAAGTGCAAAGGCCTTTTTCAACCTTATGTATGTAATTTGAGACAAATGGATTCAGTCATAGCAGATATACCCTCTTTACTCCGTATATGAATTAAATTTACACTAAATGAATTAACTTGAGCCTAATCAACGTAGATCGTTGGATCAAATCGGTCCAAACCGAAGCCTCACGTGACGTGTTCCAGCACGCGTCTTACACGCGAGATACATGCAGTACATGTCTCCCAGCCTACCAATTTCATATCAATTCGCTCAAACCATATCCTCTTTATCAAATACTCCACCATAATCCACAACCTACACTCATCAATCCCAAACCTCAACCCAACTCAATCCTAATCAACCACTGACGCAACCCTTCCGCATCCGAACGGATCCAACCTCAAAATGTTCGCCCATCCACCCTCAACACCATTCCGCCAAACAGGCTATTACACTCCATCCCGACCATCCCCCCTAGGCCAGCGCAGCACGAACATCTCCACGCCCCCATGGACAATGTCACCGACGCGAAGCGGCGCGCCTAAGCCAAGCACCATGGACGAGAACGCGAACACCACCACCAACGCCGACAATACAAATGCATTCCTCAACTCCTCACCCATAGCGACTTCCTTCCAACCCTTCAACATTCAAAGCGAACCAATAATCCGCCACACAAACAACCACCAATCGCCCATAACCTTCAACGCACCAACCTCAACCTCCAACACACCCTTCACCTCCAACAACCCCTTCACCTTCCCAGCCAACACAAACACATCCCCTCCACCCCACTCACCGACAACACCAACACGCACAACCCCCAAACCGAAATTCGAAGCGCGCTACGCCTCAACTATCGCAAACCCGCTCAAAAACGCCCCATCCCTCGCCCGCAGCAAAACGCGCAAAATGTTCCTGAATCGCGTGCGCAATGAGCGTGACAGCGGCCGTTTCGAGGCACGGGGTGAGCAGATGATGCGCATGGAGTGTCTCGCTGATCGGCGGCGATGGGAGGAGAGTATGGCTGCTGATGGGGAGGTTATAGGGTTAGAGTTTGATGGGGAGTTTGAGGGGGAGGGAGAGGATGATATGCTTCCTGACGAAGCTGATGCATTGGATGAATTCATTTCCCAAGAGGAGGCGATGGAGATGGCGTTGAGGGAGACACAGTGTGTTGCTGCTCCTCTCCCTGGACGGGTTGATTCGTTGAGGGGTGATGGGTCCCGTGTTCCGTTTAGTGATGATGAGTATGATGATATCTTTATGGGATTGTCGGATTCTCAGTTTGGGAATGGGCCTCAGGATATGGATATGTCGTGAGAAGGGCGAGGTATTGATTTTATTGTTTGAGTTTATGGTTATGCATAGCATGGCATTGCATGGCGTTCTTCTTTGGGATATGGGATATGGGATATGGGAACTGTGAGCAATTCAGTCTGCATGTAAATAAGGGTATCGACAAGAGTTTGTGTATATGTACAGTACAGAGCCGAGGAACAAGCATGACAAGTTCAACTTCAACTTCAAGCCGCTTCTCCAATCTTCATTCATATCCACATCCATATCCACATCCACAATCAGATCACTGCTGCGGGCAATCTGGCATACCAGGGACTCCAGCAGCACCAGCACCAAGCCCACCTAGATCCTCCATAAGAGGATTCGAAACAAGCTCCTCAGGCGGACTACCAGCAGCTTGCATCTACACCCAACCCAACAGTCAGCAATCAATCCAAAGAAACCCGTCACCACATAGAAGAAATCAAACACTCACCTCCTGCATCCTCTCCCAAACATACTCCCGACACTTAGGATCATCATCCGAATAACCACTCTCCTCAAACTTCCCCACAATCTGCTTAACAACCTTCGCCTGAGTCTCATACCGTCCCATATCCTCCTCAGAAACCTGCCCCTCAGCTTTACTCTTGACAAGCCAAGGCCCAAACTTCCCATCAAGCTCCTTCATCGGCTCGTACAACATCTCCTTATTAGAAAGCTGCTCCATCATCCCCATAAACATCTTCGACAAATCCCCTTCGTCGCCTGCACCTGATGCACCGGCTTCGACGGCTTTGAGTAGTTGCGCTAGCATATCGTCTGAGATGTCATCTTCTGAACTTGCCGCTGCGGTGGCTTTATCGCCTGATTCTTTCATTCGGCCCATTGTTCGTTTGATGGCGTCATTGAAGGATTCAGCGGGTTGGTCGGTTAGTTCTGTTGAGGCGGGTGAGGACTTGCTACCTTGAGCTGATCCCGATCCCGATCCAGAGCCAGATCCGCCGAGACCTGCTGCCGCTGCCGCGGCTGCATGACCTTCGGCTGATGCACCCCCACCACCCTCCTCGGCCATAACATCCGCAAGCAACTGCTTCAGGAAATCTCCTGGTGGAATCCCGCTTTCTTCGAGTTGTTTAGCGAAGACGTCGGCGCCTTGGTCGACTGTTGCTTGGAGATCTGCCGGGTTGCCAGCTCCTGCTCCTGCTCCCGGTGGTGCCCCGCCCCCGCCCATCATATTGGCCATCTCTGCTTCTAGTTGTTTGAGGAAGGCATCTTCATCAAAGTTTGCTGGTGCGACGCCCGTTGATTCATCAGGGTTTGCGGTTGATGATGGTACGGGTGCGGGCGCTGGTGCTGGTGCTGGTTTGGGTTTGGAGAAGTCGTCTAGGACGTCTGTTGGGTTGTAAATTGGAAGTCTGATATATACAGTGGGGTCAGAAGAGTGATTTACCATCTAACTCGTCAAAATCCGAGTCTTCATCATCGTCTACTTCTTTCTTCGGGATCACGGTCTCGGTTTTGGTTTCGGTCTGCGGCTTGACATCAACAGGCGCGGTTGTGGTCTGCCCTGTCTGCTCTGCAACGTCCTTAGGCTGGTCGCCCTGGGCGGGCGACACGTTCTCCATGACGAATAATTGCGGGTGTTAAGCAAGGGGTTGGTGAGATGGAAAGAAGCGTCGGGTCTAGAGATGTTCGCATGTGATGAGTTTGGCGGGGAACCGAACGGTAATGCCGATCGCCGAGGGTTAGCATGGTGTACGGAGTACAGTGCGGACAATAAACAATAAACAGATACTATAGGCCAATGTCAATTGGAATTGTTTTCTATAGACTTGCAATAGTGCTAAAGACAGAAATAGGAAATAAAAACAAAGATCTACTTTGGATCTCACAACTCAACCCGGACGATCTGGAGGGCCGAGCCAAGTCCCATGAGCTGTTTGTCTGTTTGTCTGTGTTTGTCTTCTTATATTGCCTCGCTTGCACCTACATGTACGTACCTATAAGTAGCAACAGGACTATGGCATCATAATTAAATGAGATCATATTAGATGAACATCTGCAATGCACCCGATCCCTCTTGGCAAATATCCCCGCACCAAAGTTGAGTTGCCGGCTGAAAAATCTGCACGTACATGTACCACATGTGGGTGTAGAATCTGTGGAAAGTCCGGGGAAGGGGACATCCCAGAGCAATTGGCCACGTAGGTGGGCGCGTGATTCTAGAAGGTCATGTGGTTAAGTTGGAGTAGGTACGGTGAGCCTAAGTAGCATAGAACATACCTAGGGAGATGACTATTTGGGGGCCCGGTATCGGCTATTCGGCCTCCTAATGGCCTGACACTTGGAACTCCGCGGGCAAATTTGCGCCTTGGTCGAAGTGGAGAAATGACCCCAAAGAGGCTAAAGACCAGAGAAAAAAAGAAAAAGAAAGGAAAAATCCGTATAGGCGAGAGCCCCTCCCCTTCAGACTTTTCTGTTATTCAACTTAGTCAATCGTTTTACCTCACGGCTTTCTCTTCTTCCTATCTCTCTGTCTGCCTTTGAATTGTGGTTTCTTTTATGTCATTCTAACCGCCTAGACGCGCGTTTGTCGCCTTTTTTTATTTCCTTTTTCCGCGGGGAAGCTGTGTCTGCGGGCCGCAGGCACAGGGTAGAATGGTCTCTGTCGAGAATGACATGGTGATGGACCCCATGCCCAAGCATGAACCCGGTCCAGATGGGTCAATCAGTTCAAACGTGTCAACGCCAGACCCCGAAGCCGAAGTCTTGACTCAAGATGCGGCGCAAACACAGAAGAGGAAGGGAGGCAGGAAACCTGTACGTAACATCTTTGCAAACCTGGGGCCCCGCATTCCTCGATCATCTTTCCATGTTGGCATCCATTGACTGACCTCCCTAGATCTATGCCACCTCGGAAGAGCGCAAACAGCGCAACCGTCAGGCCCAAGCCGCCTTCCGTGAGCGCAGGACAGAGTACATCCGCCAACTAGAGACAACCATCAAGCGCAATGAAGAATCGCTTCAAAGCCTCCAGCAAAGTCACCGCAGCGCCGCCGACGAATGCCTAATGCTGCGCTACAAAAACTCTCTGCTGGAGCGCATCCTCCTGGAAAAGGGCATCGACGTCCAAGCCGAGCTACGCCTCAAGACCGGAGCGCCGGGCGCTCCCCCAAAGACAAACCCAATGCCACAAAAGAGCGCACCAGGTGCGCGCTCAACGCGACACCCAGCCGGCATCGCCTCCAAACCCGAAGCCTTCGGCATGTCCCAGCGCGAAGGTGCCTACGGCGTCCCATCCCCCCAGTTCCAGGCCACACCCACCTCCCACGTCTCCTCCCCATCCCACGCCAAATCACCAGGCTTCGGCTTCCAGGGCGCCATGTCCCCCGTCGAACAAGGAGGTCAGGGTCGTCCCCAGCTCCTCCCCCAACCACGGAGTTACAACCAGACCTCGCCGCCGGCGATTAGCATGCCGCAGACGGAACCCTCAGACGCCAAGCCATCGCGTATGGGACCGCGCGGGGGGCGCGTTGCTGCAGCATACTATCCCTCTCCTTTCCAGAAACATTACGACCAGCTCGGTAAGCATGCCAATCATCCATTCCGGAATCCCAAACTGACCCTCCAAGCAGAACAAGAATACGACGCCCAAGCCGACCTCGTCGACGACGAGCACGATGGCTCATCCTTCGTGCCAGGCTTTACGCCACAGTCCGTCGCCTCGAACTCGCACATGTCTGGCTTTAACCAGTCAGCAGGCGAGAGCACACCCGGCGATTTCAATAATGCAAATCACCTCCTCGGACAGTATGAGCCGATGCTGGATACAGATCCGTTCGGGTTGAGTGCTAGCATGCACTTCCCCACGCCATTCAACTACGAGCAGAATAACTCGCGGCAATGAATGGTTGATTTAAGCAAAATTGTCTCTTTTATTGTTTATTATTCTCCTTTTTCTCTTGTTTTATATTTCCCTCGAGGATCATTTTTTTTTCCTTCTTGGCTGTTGCTGTTCTCCATGTGAGTGGTAAATGGTCGTCTCTATCTAAAAGTTTGATTTGAGCATTGCCCGGCGTTGTTGCGAGGGGTTTGATACCAATGTTCCTTTCTTCTGGTTTTCTGGGAGGTAACTTGATCAGTTATTATCTTTACATGTGCTGTATATGAATATTTGAATCAATATTCACATCATCACCAATACTATCACCAACATCATCCCTTCCATTCTCATCCAAACAAACGAAAGCACCCAAACCTCAATTCTCAGTCCTAATCCAACCCACACATCTCCCTTGGCCACCCAACCAACCCAAGAACCTCCTCATCCCCATCCGCACAAACAATCTCCAAGTACAAACAAATAGCCCGACACTCCAACCAAGCCCTCCTAGCAATAAACCACGCGTCCCTACAAAGCGGCGCATACCAGTATGCAAGAAGAAGCAAAGCGCGCAAGTCTTTCACCTGCAACAACCGCCTAAACGACCCCTCCATAAAACTAATAAACGCCAGGTCCCGCGGTATAGAACCATTTCTGCATTCGGGACCGCGGAGACGGGTTAGGATTGATATTGCTTTTAGATAGGGGTTAGGATTGTGTGTTCCATTTTCATTCTCTCCGGTGGAATTGATATCGATACTGGGACCGTGAGGTTGATCGTGATCTGCGAGGTTGAATACATCCACAAATTCAACCTTCAATTCTGATATAGCACATATCCCCGGATCAACTGTCAAGTCCCGATATTCATCTTTGAGGATGTGGAAGACGCTATCTGGGCGGAGGGGATTCGTCACTTTCCAGATTGCTTCTTTTCCTTTTGTTAGGTTCATCCATTGGAGATCTGACAGGTCCGGCGGTTTATCTTGGTTTTTCAATGGCCATGTTTCTTGTGGTGTTGTTGATTCGATCGAGGTTAGGCTTGTTACTCCCAGTAAAGCTGCTGCGGCCCAGAGGGCGTCGCGGTCTTGGGGGTTTACTGTCGTGGAGAGCTTTTTTATTAAGTTTTTGGCTGCTTGTTGGCGGTGGTGGGATTCTTTGTGGGTTATTGGTGGCGGTGATGTTGATGTTGATGGTAGTTTTGATGGTAGTGTTAGGGAGAGGCGGTCGTGGGTTGCTGTTATGCCTAAGATTGTGTGCATTAGGAATGGGTGCTAGCAGGGGTACTGTTAGTTTGGTGCGTTCTATGTTAGACTGTTATGATCTAATTTTAGGCTTACTGGTAATGCCAATCCTATAATAACCCTCTGGTATAATGCTGACATCTTCGGTGTACCAATAGTAGGCAGAGTCCGCGTCTGGAAGCGATATAGTCGAGCCTGGCTCTCGATATCAAGTATGAATGAATCTGGGCCATTTCCCACTGTAATTGGAAGTAGGAGCATCTTGGGGATTGGCTTTGCGTTGAATACTATCTGTCTTGCTCTGTTGTTTTCGGGTTTGTTTGGTTCCCCGGTTTGCCAGGCTAGTAGGTCTGGGGTTTGGCCTTGAGCTTGGGCTGTATAGTTGCAGCTGACGCCGTATTGCATGCATTTTTGGCATTGGGGGCGGGTTTCGTCACACTAGGGGTTGATTAACGTTTGGGTTTAATGATGATACTGTACATGGGTAGATGTTGTAGGCTTACTTTCACACGGCGGATTTTGCAGTTCCGACAGCCTTGTCTGGATTTGGTGTGAGCTCGACGCTTGCGCAGCTCTTGGCCGACTGGAGCTTGTTTGTCTAGGGCCATCTTAGCAATTTATCATTTGGAGAAAGATGACATGGTGGGAACCATACTGGTTCTATGTCTACGCTTGTCGTTGCTGTTGCTTAACTCCGAGCCCCGAGGCGCGATATCATTGGCTTGGGTAGTTGGACTAACCGTTCTCGTACAATTGGCATTGCTCTAAGGTTGTAAATAAGGGAGATACTACGTTCTCTATCGTCTCGCTTTAGAGAAGGATGCTACCGGTTCCTATTACCACGCTGTTGCTAAGGAGGACATTGTTATAAAGGAGATTGTGGAGGTGATCGGTGCCTAAGTTAGTCTTCCTATTAAGTCTCTGCCTATTTTAGAGGCCTTAAAGATTGACAACTAGTTGCCTAACATCATAGTCATTAACAACCCTACTTTTAGCGAGAAGTCTCGCTAGGAGCTTAGGTAGGAGATTTCTGGCCAAGCCTTGCTAGCGGACATTAAGGCCGATGTGTACTCCCAGGAGTAATTGACCATGAAATCGATGGAACTGAGGTCTGGTCCTCACAGCAATGATTGAATGGCAGGGACTGACAAGGTTGAATCACAGTTGAGATAATCGACAGCTTCTAGCTGATATGCAGACTCTCTACTCACATTGAATTTGAATATAAGCTTATGCATCTCTGTTATGACCATGGATAAGCCCGATTACATAGCTTCTGTAGGCGTAGTCCACATCGACCAGATCGACAGACTCCACAGCATGACAGATGCACCACAGGAAGGTCATTCTAAACAGCTCACACAAACTCATACACCGAGGTATATCCCTACTGTCGAACAAACGAAGCTCCCCCGTAGTATATGTCTTGACGCCATCATTATGTAAGGTACCCTAAGCCCTAGCATGCGGGCAGCCAATCAACGGATGCGGGCACATTCGCTTAGGAGCAGAAGCCGCCTTTCCTGATTAGTCACTCTGCACCCAGCAACCACAAACCGTGGACCTCCCTCTATTCTGCTTCATCATCATCAATCTTGAAGGCCGGATCTCCTTGGGTTCTGCCTTGTGCCCCGTTACATCCTCTAGACAACGGTCTACGATAGTCGAAGCGCCTCCCCCCGGAAGGCCTCCGCAACAACAGGCGTCATGGCCGACGTACGGTCCAAGGTACGCTGAATTGAAAGCTCTCTCGCGCGCCCGCCGGCGACGTAATACCGATCAACTCGAGATTCGGAGGAAATTCGGGATTTCCAGGGATTTTTGACCAGTAACTAACTCGAAACTTTCGCAAATAGAACCTCTATGAGCTTCTGGGTAAATTTCCCCTCCCTTGAGCACCGGCTATCTTTTCCGACTACAATTCGTCCTCTCAATCGCAATTCCAACCCGATCAGTCTCTGTTTTTCAACGCATTGATAGCTGACCTTGTCTTTTCCTCCCAGGTAACGACCCAGAGCTCGACCCTAGCAGACCCGCTCCTCCCCCACGAGGGCTGTCGACCGCACCGCTGACCGCTCCGGCAAGCGTGATACCCCCAAGGAGCCCGCCGCTCGTCACAATGAGGCCAACGCTCGCCGCGGTGGTCGTGTGACCGCTGGCAACGAGGCCGGTATGTGGTCAACCGAGTGATCTGAGATGGAACGATGGGACTAACATGAGGGTAGCTTTCCGTGACCGCAACGCCGGCCGCAACAACAACCGCGAGAAGCCCACTGACGAGGCTGCTCAGCCCGCTCGCCGCCGTGGCGGTGGTGGCCGCGGTGACCGCCAGTCCCGCACTGGCCAGACGTAAGCGATCCCGCGAAGCAATTCAAAGCGAAAACATACATATGTTTTTGCGATATAATATCGTATATGGGACTAACGCCATACAGTGACACCCGCAAGCAGGTCCAGCAGGGCTGGGGTGCCGAGAGCGGCGAGAAGACCTGGGACGACGAGCGCCAGGGAGAGAAGATCGCTAAGAACGAGGAGGCCGAGCCCCAGACTCCCGCTGACGAGGAAGCTAAGGAGGAGCCCGATAACTCCAAGTCCTTCGCCGACTACCTGGCCGAGAAGGCCCAGAAGGAGACCCTCGCCGCCAAGCCCGTTCGCGCCGCCAACGAGGGCAGCAAGCTCGATAAGAAGTGGGCCGAGGCCAAGGAGCTCGCCAAGGATGACGAGGAGTCCTACATCGCCGGCTCCGGCGAGAAGACTAAGCGCGAGAAGCAGCGCAAGGAGAAGAACTTCCTCGACGTTGACCTGCGCTACGTCGAGCCTCCCCGCAGCGGCCCTGCCCCCCGCGGTGGCCGTGGCGGCCGTGGTGACCGTGGTGACCGCCCTGCCCGTGGTGGTGAGCGTGGTGCCCGTGGCGGCGACCGCGCCCCCCGTGGTGACCGTCCTCCCCGTGGTGCTCCCCGTGGCGGTGCCCCCGCTGCCCGTGGTGGTGCTCCCCGCGGCGCTGCCCGCGGCCCCGCCGGCCCTACCGTCGACGAGAAGAACTTCCCCAGCCTCGGCGGCAACTAAATCGCCTGAATCTCGGGATATGCTCCACGACCGGTATAAGAATTCGTTTTTGACACCCGGATCTCCTGTCCCTCTCTCCGTCTGTTGAGTGTGCTTCTTTTGTGTGTCCTAGGGAAGAGAATCATGTTTTTTTCTTCTTTCCCATGTGTGAGTTGAGGGGGAGGACGTGGTGGCTTGTGGATTTTACCGTGTTCTGCTGGATGCATTCAAGAGCCAACTCGGATTTTACTATGTTTTCTTTTCTTCCCTTCCATGGAAAAGAGGTATATCAGAGCGGGTTTTTTATGTGTGTGCTTTACATTTGCCTTGTGTGCAAGCGCGAATTGGATGACTGAATTCGACGGGCCCAATGTAATTTGATTCGATCCAGAAGTCAAACAAAAAATAGGAACACAAAGAAATCTTCAATTGAACCATGGGACGTGTTTGTTTCTTTATACTTTAAACCCTTTTAGTGTTTCACTGGTCCATGTCTACTGTAGTCTCACTGTAGTTCCGAAATAGCCTTCATGGCACGGAGTATAAAGCAAACTTAGAACACTAACTAGAACACGAACGGATCAGAACTGTAATATATTCAACATCGGTCCTACCAGAGGTGCTTAGGATATACTCTAGGAAGCTAGGCTTATGTACTAATGATAAAGCCAAAACTGCAAAAGTCAGGCCAGGGTATGAATGCAAGAAAGACAGGACGACAGACATACGTCGTCAACGGCGATTCTCCACCTGCTATCCCCACTGCAACAGCCAATTCTATCATATAGTAACCTACAGCTCACCCTCGCGTTGACGATGGATCCAGGGCTCGGTGAACTCTGCCGCCGCAGACTGGGCATTTTCACTCCAGGTTGCCATGGTTTCTTCATCGACATCGTCGAGGAAAGACAGGCCAGACATGGCCCGACCACCGCAAGCACGTTCCAAAGCGAGGAAAGCAAAGTGGCCACCGATAACCGGTCGAGCAAAGAAGTTAGGGCCAGGGAAGCCGCCATCACCTTCTGTGTTGTGTAGGTCTGTAAGGGGACGATCGGTGGCTGTCTCGTTGACCCAGCGAGCGACGGACTCGAGGATCTCGGAACGCACTGGCTTGGAGGCGACGGCCATAGAGAAGAACTCCCAGTCTGTCTTGGTGTAGAGGTGACGGCTGTCAAGGGGGAGACCGTACTTCTGACGCACGTAGTGGTACCAGATGGACTGCTTCTGGTAGATGTGGCGTGGGACGAAACCTGGCTTGTCTGATTCGGGTCCATCGAGATGGAAGCAGAGCTGGGCGTCGGCGTAGAGGTTATAGATGGTCGTCCATGAGCCGTACCAGTCGTAGGCGAGCTTTGCGTGGGTGCCATCTCGGGACATGCCGAATTGTTCCCATTTGGCGATGTAGTCATCGGCGATTTCCTGTATAATAGTTAGCCGGAAGTCTGAATAGATGCATCTTGTTACATTTCATACCTTGAAGTATGAGGCGTCGGACTCGTGGCCAGCCACCTCGGCGATCTTGCTCATCGCATTGATACCGACAATACCTTTCAAAGCTAGGTTGGTCTGGAGGGCTAACCAGCCAGCAAAGTCATCGGTGGAAACTGTACAAGTCAGACTCAATAAACCAAAAGCAAATTATATAAAGAAATAACTCACGTTGGTTGGCGGGCTCGAGAGAGAACTCCACCAGATAGCCAGTCCATTGCTTCCAGAGACGGTAGCTTCGCTTCACCCACTTCTCTGCCTGGCGCCGGCCGTCACGACCACCACCCCACTTACCATCTTGGTGGGCAATGCCAGAAAGCGTCTGCAAGTCACCAAGAGGGAAGATTCCGGAAGACTCGCTTTCGATGCTCGGCGAGACTGAGCCCTGTGTTGACCAAATGGAGGAGGCAGCAGCAGAGTCTTCATACAGAAGCGAATTCACGATTCCCAAGCCCATGATGAGGATGTTACCACACTCCTCCACCGGCATGTACTCATCATTTCCGTCAGGATGGCCGGTGGCATTAGGGAAGTGTGTGCCCAAGTCGTGCATCGCATACTTGTTAGGGTACTGTCCGCTCAGCATGTGCTCGATCAGCGGCTCCAGGAGGTAGGCCAACCATCTGGGGTTGGTGTACAAGAAGAAGGGGAACGCCGGGAAGATGACATCGATGGTCTGGAAGTTGCCATTCGAAGAGATCTCCTTCAGGAATAAAATAGGGGAATCTGGAGTTCCTGAGAAGGTGGTTGCACCCATGACTTGTCGCGCGGTTAAGGCAACGATGTCGACATAGTCATCAGCACCCGACAGGTAGGCATCCTCCGCTACTTGCTGGGAGTAGTTGGAGGCCAGATAACTGGCTTCAGCGTAGTCCCTGTAGTGGAAACTCAAAAGCTGCTCCGTAGTAGGAAACCACGATTCCCACAAAGGCCGCATCAAGGTGAGCCCACGAGCTGCGGCATACTGCACGACGGGGCTTTGAACAAGAGCAACAGTGAAAGTGACACTATCAGCGTAGCTCTTTGACTGCTGACCTGGGTTGAATGACTTCGAGAACGCGAACACCGGTGTCCGGTCCTGAATAGCTCTGAACGATTCATCGTTGGCGTTATGCAGAGAGCCGCTGCTAGCGAAGACACGGCGAACATTGACTGCATCGCCAGACTGATAATTCACATCCTGGCTCGAAGTCAGCAGAAGGTTTCCCGTTACTTTTGATGAGAAGACTTACAGCAGGTCCAGTGAAATGAAGTGTGCCCCATTCGGCACGGTCGCGGGTCTCCGTCAGCAGAAGCTCGGTCTCTCGTTGTATTTGCCATCTCTGAAGATCAGAGTTAGAGTTCTCGTGCTGAGCCTTGAGTTTGTCCCAACCCCATTTGATCTTGTTATGGGTATCCCCGCTGACCCAGCGGCCATCGACATCCATGTAGATATTTACTTCAACATCGCCCTGGACGTCAATTGTGACGTATGAGGCCGGGATCGACTGTCGCAGAGTCGAGGATGGAGTAATTGGGGAAAGGAAAGACACAATGATATCCAGAGTGTTCGCGGAGCCGGTATCAATGTGGTATGTCAAGTTGGTTGTGGACGCATCGTAATTGTGGCCGAGGTACTCAGGGTACTTGATCTTGTAGCTATGATGTGTTAGATATTTGTGCCAAATGAATCCATCCCATCCAGGGCTCATACCTTTCCTTCGAAGACAAGGATTCATGCGGCTTGCCTAGCAAAGGATAGACCGCACCCTGGCTGGGGACTTGGGCCATCAAGGAAAGCCCCACCTCCTCTCCGGTATAAAACATGGGCCATTTTTTCCAGGGTGCCTCTCTGGCATCGCCAAACCAAGTGCTGAGATAGGGATTTCGCACAATGAGTGGAAGGACAGGCGGAGTCAGTGAGGAAGCAGCGATAACCGCTGCCTGGCAGGCGACCAAAACGGCTAGTGACAGCTGCATGGTCGCGTTGAGGGGAGTGAATGTGACACAAGTTTTACAGTGTGTCACCAACTATTGGTATAAAAGATCAAGAGAGTGTTCAGGAGTTGTAGAAACGAAGATCGAAACCCAAGGGGTGAAGGGAAGAAATGCGGGGAAGGATCATCTGGTTCACGGCGTTGTGCTTGGCCTTGGGCTCTCGGATGTATGAGGATTGGCTCTGTAGTTCAAATCGATTGTATTTTCTTTCTTATTTCCTCCCAGTCTCTTAACTCTTCAGTCAAGAAAGTCGTGTTTCCTCTTCGATGATGTCATGCGGAGAGATAGCTCTTATCACAGCTTCTCCAATATTCTGCATAGATCGACCGAGGGTTGATGAACTACCTAAAGAATCATTGCAGTTTGATAGTAGAGAATATTGACAAGGTAATATATTGATAAAATGGTATTTGTGGGAGAAATGTGGATATCAGAGCTATGTATCTATAGACGGGACAGCGCAAATGACTAGGACACACATACTCCTAGGTAGGGGATCAGTTCAGGCACAGCACGAAGTCTCTCATATTTCCTCTTACCTGCGGGGCAAGGTTTGTCTTTGCTCACAGTTTCTCCAAGTTCAGCTCAAAGCTTTGTTCCGGTTGTTCTACGGCGATATACTCCAAAAGGATTCGCTTAAAGGTTCTGGATTGAATAAATATAGGGAAAAGCGAAATTAACAACCAAGGATAAATCGAACTGTCAAGTCATTATGAAAAATAATTTGGTCTCCGCTGTTATTGTCACAAAACAGCAACATTCCGTGATATATAATCCCGGTCTGTCCCAGGTCCTTGAATTTGTTCAATAGCTGTCCACGGTACAGCATAATTTATGCCTTATAATGTAGACAATACGCTCACAAATAGCAATAACATGAGATTCATGGTTTCTATTTTCTATTTAATAGCCCACTTATGCGGAATTGGCCCCTGTGGATCCGGGAGACACGATGGAGACACGATGGAGACACTGGACGCGCCCCAGGACGCGGGGCTTGAGTATTCGCTTAATTGCGTATGCCAGTAAACACGTCAAAACAGCCCCTAAAAGGGACTGGAGCATTGAGTCTAAGAAACAAGGGGCGAAACGGAATTGGCGCTCCAATGGGCTGAATTGGCCTGAGAAGAAAGGCCAATATCAATATCACGTACGCCCAGGCAGTATACCGCCAGGCAATATTGACATACTACATAGCATAAGGAAAACAAGGAGTTAATCTAGCCTAAATATTGTATTTCAACAGTAACATAACAGAAACATCAAATATATCAAACCAACGCGTGCTACGAGTGGGTACAAAGTCCGTGCTCTATACAAGCTAGTAAGGTATTGGGGACTATACGCGATCGACGCGCCCGTTTTTCTTCATTTCGGACATTTCGAACATCTCCTTTCCTCCATTCTACCTTCCCGTGGTCCCTTGGATATCTGGCCTGGGTATCTGGTCTGCACATCTGGTCTGCATTCCAATTGCCTGGTATACTTCCCTGCATATCACGAGACTCCCCCGCAGAGCTACTTTCGGACCGCGCTGGTCCCATCCACTTCTCTCCTCACGACTCGCACCTCAAACCTCAAACCTCGAACCGAAGTCGAAACCTCTACAATGAACACAACCGTGCAATATAGTCCTGTGAAGGACGGCCGGCGGATCCTAGGCGAGAAAGACTCCAACGCGTGTCTGCCCCCCGCGCCACAGGCCAAACAGTCATTCCCGGTCACAGGAA